CGGGCAATCTCACCTCTGAAACTCCGGTTATTGTTGTCGATAGTCCCGACAAGTTGGCTAGGGGAGAGATTTCGCCTCATCTGGATGAGAGGAGATCGCTGCCAGAGGATGATGATGTGGAGCGTTTACTGTTTGTGTCGTACTCTTCTGGTACGACGGGAAAGCCCAAGGGTATTATGAATCCCCACAGGGCGGCAGTTCGCTCCTACGATCTGAGATTTGCTGTCAGCGATCTCAAGCCTGGTGATAGGGTGGCATGTAATGTATTCTTCATTTGGGAGATGCTTCGACCTCTGATTCGGGGTGCCACAACTGTCGCTATTCCTGACCACGCCAGCTACGATCCTGTTGCTCTTGTCGAGCTTCTCTCACAATGGCGAATTACCGATACCCTCATGACTCCTACACTTTTGGCGACAGTTCTGTCCCGGCATCCCAAGCTGGGCGAGCAGCTTCCTCACCTTCGTTCGCTGTGGCTGAACGGTGAGGTGGTCACTACAGATCTTGTGCGCCGTGCGATGGATGCTCTTCCCGAGACACGGCTTCTCAACGTCTATAGTGCTTGCGAGACTCACGAGACTGCTGTTGGAGATATCAGAACCTTTGTTGACTTTGACACACGAGTGTGCCCTGTTGGTCCTCCAACAGACCCTGAGCACACTTATGTTCTGGATGAGGCAGGTAACAGAGTCAACCAAGGTGATAGCGGCGAGCTTTACGTTGGTGGTAAGCTTCTAGCACGAGGATATCTCAACCTGCCAGAAACAACAGCCAAGGCATTCCAGCCGGATCCTTTCGCTGGAGACAAGGACGCGCGAATGTACCGAACTGGTGATTTGGCTCGCATCCTTCCTAATGGGCTCTTGGAGATCACTGGCCGAGTTGGCGGCATGATTAAGACTCGTGGCTACACCGTCCAGCCCGGAGCCGTTGAGAGCGCCATCCGAAAGCATCTCGCCGTTCGTGACTGTGCGGTTGTAGCTCACGGTGAAGGCCTGGAGAGACAAATTGTTGCTTACATCGTTCGTGAGAAGGGCGAGACTAGAGACCGAACCATTCCTCTCGTCGATGAATATGGCTACAGTCCCGTCGCTCGACGTGCTCTTACCGACCATCTCGCCCACTACATGATTCCCTCAGTTTGGGTTGAGCTAGAAGAGCTCCCTACACATGGCGTTTCTGGAAAGGTCGATCTCAAGGCTCTGCCCGCGCCACCATCTCCGAGATCACCTAGACCTGCGCAGAAGAAGAAGAAGGAGCATAACATCAAGGTCAAGACTGAGACCGTTATTCAGTTATGGGCTGCGTCGCTTAACATGCCCGCTAGCGTCATCACACCGAAGCACGACTTTTTCGACCTGGGCGGTCATTCGCTGGCTCTCGCTGACCTTGCTGGCCGACTTACCAAGACCTTTGGCTTTCCTGTCCCTCTGGCTCCTCTTGCTGGAACACCGACTCTTGAGGGACATGTTTCAGCTATCAAGGCTGCTCGCGACGGCCACACTGCTGCGGTGCAGGCTGATCTCCCCGCTGTTCTTCGCGCAGACTCTGTGCTTCCTGAAGATATCCAGGGTAACGGTACCCCCATGCGTGCGCTCAGAGATGCTGAGACTATTCTCCTCACTGGAGTCACTGGCTACCTTGGTGCTTTCCTCCTCAAGAACTTGGTCGATTCTACAGACGCACAGATTATTTGTCTCGTGCGATTCCCTGAACCTGTCGAAGACTGTGCACCCGCTGGTATGGCTCGTATCCGAAAGAACTTGATCGATCTTGGACTTTGGGAGGATTATCTCCTGGAGCGTATTGAGATCCTGCCTGGTACACTTACCCGAAAGCGTCTGGGTCTTGCTCCTGATGTCTTTGATGAGCTGGCTACTCGTGTGCAGGTCATTGTTCACGCTGCTGCTACCGTTAACCTGGTTTATCCTTATGCTGCGCTGCGAAACGCCAATGTTATGGGTACACGTGAGATTCTTCGTCTTGCTGGCCGCAGCGGTGCTACTGTTCACCACGTTTCTACTAACGGCGTGCTTCCACCTTCACATACCGGGTGGTGTGAGGACACTGTCATCGATGTGGATGATGTTCCTACTAAGTTGTTGGATGGCTATGGTCAGACCAAGTGGGTTGCTGAGAAGCTCGTCAACGAAGCTAGCCGTCGTGGTATTCCCGTGCGTGTATACCGCCCTGGAACCATCTCTGGTCACAGTGTCTCTGGCTCAACCAACGCTTGGGATTTGATCAATGCTATTCTCGTTGAGTCTCTTCAACTTGGCCGTGCTCCTGATGTTGAGGGCTGGTATATCGAGATGACCCCTGTGGACTTTGTCAGCGACGCCATCGTCACTCTTGCAAACCACACCAACGACACCGAGCAGACCATGTATCATCTCGGCGACCCTGCTCCCGTTCCCTCCGGAGAATTGTTTGCATCCCTAGCCAAGCTGGGCTACCCTACCGAGACCCTACCATGGGACGACTGGGTTGCTCTATGGTGGGAGAAGCGCGGTAACAGAAAGACCGGCGACGATCCTTTCACAGTCGACATTCTCCGCGGTGGTATGCCCAGCGTCGAAGTCCTCAAGTCAGTCATCGTTCTCAAAGACGGCAAGACACAGCCTACACTCGACAAGTACGACGTCCCCCGTCCCAAGATGAACGACGGTCTTCTCGAGATCTACATGCGACACTTCTACGCCCGCGGTTGGCTCTCCCGCCCTCCCCGCCGCGAACAAGTCAACGGCGTCGCCAAAAAGTGCCGCAAGGGCCGTCTCGCAGGAAAAGTCGCCGTCGTAACAGGTGCATCTTCCGGAATCGGCGCCGCAGTAGCAGCTGGTCTCGCCAAAGAAGGCGCACATGTTGCAGTCGCTGCTCGTCGAACTGAAGCCCTTGAAGGCGTCAAGAAGAAGATCAGCGTCTACGGTGGTAAAGTTCTTATTCACAAGACGGATGTCACGAATAAGGCTCAGGTGGAGTCGCTCATGAAAGAGGCTACTGAACAGCTTGGACCGGTCGATATCCTTGTTAGTTGCGCGGGTGTGATGTACTTCACCATGATGGCGAATAACCAGACCGACGAGTGGGAGCGCACCGTCGACGTCAACTGCAAGGGTCTTCTGCACTGCCTGTCATCCACAGTCCCAGGCATGTTATCCCGTGGAGCAGGCCACATTGTGGCTATCTCCTCCGACGCAGGCCGCAAGGTCTTCCCGGGTCTGGGCGTCTACTCCGCGAGTAAATTCTTCGTCGAAGCGACGCTCCAGGCCCTGCGCTTGGAGACCGCAGGCTCTGGTCTACGGGTCACGGCCGTGCAGCCTGGAAATGTGGCGACGGACCTGCTGGGCATGTCGACCGACCAGGAGGCGCTGAAGAAGTACGGTGAGCCTACGGGTGCCGAGGTTCTCAAGCCTGAAGAGGTTGCTAGCGCTATTGTGTATGCTGTGTGTCAGCCGCCGCATGTTGCTGTTAATGAGGTTCTTATTGAGCCTCGTGATGAGCCAATTTAAATGTTTATGCATGGCGTGAAACAAGATTTGTATCTAGATTTATGATCTCAGGAATTTGTTATCGTGTTTGTTTGCTTGATCGGATCATGATCATGGGTCGGACCACGAGATGTTGGGATGGAAAATGAATAGTGTTTGGTTGCATGTTTCACCACGTGGGGGAAGGGATGAACTGCAATGCCGTGATGAAGAAGCATTAATGAGTTTGTAAAACTGATGAATTAACGAAAGATCTATTAAATCGTCTCGAGTTGATTAAAAGTTCATCTACACTATTCCGCAGTGACATGCCCCTGAATCCGAAAATCCAAGAATCATTTACCTTGCCAGCCTGTCGAGGGGCACTTCGTCTATTCAGGCCTGTCTGCCGAATTCCGGCTTGTCAAGGACTAATTAATCGTAGGCGGAAGAATAGACGATGTTTATAATTATGCATAGGCAGGCGGGCGTTCCTTGGCCGCATGCCATCCTGAAACAAGGGACTTGGTGTTTGTCGGAGACGGGTTTCGAAGTTTTTGGGGAGAGTTTTTCCGTGGATGAGAAGCGTTTGTTTGGAGGGGGATACAGGGCTGGGCTGATCCACTTTACAGGGGTTCGTTATGCTTTGGCGATGATGTTATGCTTGAAGTTAGTGCTGAAGCCACTAAATCGTCGTATTGAACGCGAAATATCTGTATACAAGATAAGTAATTGATCATCTACATCTTGAGAATACTATGTTCGCGCTGTGTGAAGAATATGAGTGAGTGGTGATTGCGAATAAGCGACAAGCCCCGAAGAATGCTATTAATTAATCTCGGCGGTTCAAGACATTTTCTATCATTCCATCTTGAGGCTCAAACACAGCCGTTGGATGTTCCACCAATGATCTTAGCGCCCCTTGCGCTGGCTCCAAACAGGCCCTGACAGGGGGTTGATAGATACAGTGGGGAAGACCTGAGAGCGGTTGAACAGGCCGGACGAATTGTCTTTTGGCAGATTCGAATTCCGGTGAAGTCGGGCCTTGGCGACGGTGTAAGACATGGGGGACTGATCGCTTAGAAAGGGAGACGGACGAGCTGCAAAGTGTTTGGTTTGGAGAGGGACGAAACGGGATGAGTGACATGTTTGATGGGAAACTAAACATGTTTGTATGAACAGAGAATCATAGCAGATGTGATTTTGGTTTGAATGATAGAAATAGACTGGAGGATAAAGAATAAGGTCGTAGAGTAACATGATCTGCTTTATTCTAGACCAGCGCTTGTAGTCTAAACCCCAGCATCAACTCACTGCCGCCGTCAACTAACCCCCGTCTGACTTACACTCAATGACAAGGATCACCAACGTCAACGAGATTGACTACGGAGCGAGGCCCACGGTCCACCGCCTCGCCTCAGACGCCGAGTATCAGATCCCCATCGCTAAACCCTGTGTAGAAGTCATCCGCCGAGGGTAGTTTCGAGTATATATCCAACTTGATCAACCCTCACTTCGATCACTTCTCCCTCTCTTCTCAACCTCTATTCTTTCACGGACCTCGAAGGACCAGATTCGCCATTCTTTTTTCTTGTACTTTTTTGTACTTCACTTTCATTCCAACATTCACTTTCGTTCAGAGCCTTGACGGCCGTTCAATTCAAACAATCACTCTTTACAACTTTACATCTGGTCCTAGAGACTCTCACGAAGCAACTTCTTCAAATTCTACCCAAATTTAAGACTTATCTACCGCAAAAATGAAGAACGCCGCCGCTATTCTTACTCTTCTTCCCCTCGTCGCCGCCCACGGCTTCGTCAAGTCTCCTCCTCCCCGCAAGCCCGGCAACGCCTTCAAGGCTGCTTGCGGCGAGCAGCCCTTCTACCAGCAGAGCGCCGACATCAACGGCAACGTCCAGGGCATCAAGCAGGTCGTCGGATCCAACTTTGACGCCAAGGATTGCAACCTCTGGCTGTGCAAGGGCTTCCAGTTCGACGACAACAAGGACAATGTCCAGAGCTATAAGCTCGGTGAGAAGATTGACTTTGACGTCAACATTGCTGCTCCTCACACCGGTTACGCCAACGTCTCCGTTGTCAAGACCTCCACTGATAAGATGATCGGAGAGCCTCTTATCGAGTTTGAGAACTATGCTGCCAACGCTGGTCTCAACCTCAACAACACTGCCTTCAGCGTCACTCTTCCTGAGAGCCTGGGTGGTGAGTGCACCAAGGCTGGAGACTGTGTTCTCCAGTGGTTCTGGGATGCTCCTGATATCGACCAGACCTACGAGTCCTGCGTTGACTTTGTCGTCGGCGCTGGCTCCGGCTCCGGATCTGGTTCCACCAAGCCTTCTTCCGCTGCCTCTGCTGCCCCCGTCGCTACCTCCGCCCCTGCCGCTGAGAAGCCCGCCACCACCCTCGAGGCCGTCGCTGTTACTTCTTCCGTCCTCGGCCCCGTCTTCGAGAGCGTGACCACCGCCGTTCCCGAGCCCACCGCCGCTGCCCCCGACGCCGGCGACGACGAGGACTGCGATGACGAGGAGCCCGTTGATGAGGGTGACGATGAGGACTGTGATGACGAGGACGAGCCCACCCCCTCTGCTGCCGCTGAGACTGGTGATGACGAGGACTGTGACGAGGATGAGGAGCCCGAGACCGGTGATGATGAGGAGTGCCCTGCCGACGATGGTGATGAGTACGACACCCAACCCGCGACACCCAGCAACACGGCCCAAGGAATCTCCGCAGCCGCTAACACCGCCGCAGTTACTAAGACCCAGAACAACGCTTACCCCGTGCCTAAGCCCACTGGAAAGAGCTCATCTGACAAGACTGGATCCGGCTCCAAGGGCTCCAACAACGACGCTGGTAGCAACAACAACTATGGCAATGCCGGCAGCAACACTGTCGTGACTTCATATGTTACTGTTGCTGCTGAGACCCACTACGTCACCGTCACTGCTGACGCTCCTGCTTGCACTGCTTGAGTGTAAGTGATGTGTGTGTACAGCTTCTTGGGGATGTTGTTTGTTTTCTTGGAAGGGGTATATATTATTCATTTTGACGTAGATATTTACTTATGGGTAGCCTCCTGTGGGGGTATTCAATGTGAGATATTTGAGGAACTATTTCGTCCTTTTCAGTGAAGTTTTATGTTCAACAATTAAGCCGGTGATGAAGTAGTGGAGGTTCTGAGTGCATTGCCTGAATAGGCAATTCTCGCGGCCCGGGATGGGGCTGAGGCACCTCCGAATGTCTTAGGCTGAGCGCTACCCAGAAGCTCTTTAGCTGATACAGCTGTCGTGATTTTGGCTAAAGGTTAGATATAAACCCGCGGTCTTTTCTCATTGTTACAATTGTTATAATGCCGCTTACTTTGAACTAAAATAACTAATCGAGGCTATTGATGCACGCGATATTTACTTTTACTTCCAATCCTTCCAAGGGGGAAAGGAATGCTTGTGCTAAGCACGAGTATCCCTCTCATAACTGCTTACTCTTGCCAGCCTGCTGCTATTTTGCATCCAGCCAATTGGTCGCAGGGAAACTTGACTCCGGTCTTGGCATTGCTGCAGTGTATCGTGAGCTTTCTTGGTGTTGTGTGGCGTATGCACCGCCTAGGCATTTCCTCCATCTGATTGGAGTGGCTCAAGCATCCAACAAAGATTGGAAGAAAACCGAGACTGCTGCCTGGTAACATTGCTCTGGGGATTTTTCAGCTAAGCCTCTGTTCCGAGTGCCCGTTTTTAGCCCTCAGAGGACTAAATGGTTATCTGGAAGATCGCGTTTAGAGTAATGACGAAGTAGTCTTCGATCCATGATGCGGATACCTTCAACCCAACTTACATCATTTCATGACATCAATACTGTACCTTACAGCTAGTGATTACTTATCTCAGCTATATGTGTGTCTCTGATATTCCCTGTGACGAACACTTCATCGTGCTTCTGAAAATGAGACACATCATCTTGTCTCAGACACAGATCCCTGCGGGGCATAGAGGATCATTACCGCATAGTTCGGTAATCGCTGCATGATACGTAAAAGACCAAACAGCGCCCAACCGCTGAAGATTGAGTCATTTTTTCTCCTTCTTCTTCTTCTTCTAATCTAACTCAAGTGAAATCTACCGGCAGGGGAAAAAAACGTGCGTTGAGCAAGCCACCAACACAATGAGGCCACCTGTCGTGCATTCCGAGTCCGCGTCGCCGGAAACCGAACCAAACGAGCCGATTCTGGCTGATTTGATTGATGATGAGGATGGCGAGTCGATTTCTGGCAATATGTCGACGGTGTCGATAACGAGCAGCATTCTTGCGTACCGAAGGCGCTATGGGAGGACGTATGAGAATATTCAGTCGACGGAGTATTGGGCGCCTAATGATGCGCAGCAGAATTATGGTCTGGATCTCACGCATTTCGGACTGTTCTTTACTCTCGGCGAGAAATTGTTCCTTGCGCCTGTTGAAGAACCGAAACGTGTGCTGGATATCGGCACGGGGACGGGGATTTGGGCGATTGACTTTGGAGATGAGCACCCAGAGGCTGAAGTCACAGGCACAGATCTAAGTCCTATCCAGCCAGCCGTGGTTCCTCCAAACGTCAAGTTCGTCATTGACGATTGTCTGCTCGACTGGACGTGGCCTAAGGACCATTTCGACTTTATCCACATCCGCGCCATGTATGGCAGTGTTCCCGACTGGGTCGATCTATACAGCAAGGCATATACACACCTTGCACCAGGAGGCTGGATCCAAGATCTAGAAATGGACGTCAAGCTTCAGTCCGATCACGTCAAACTGCCCCCCGACCACGTCTTCAACGTCTGGGCAGACGCATTCTACCGCGCGGGCCAGAAAATGGGCCGTTCATTCGACATCTGCAGAGGGCACACGATGCGCGATAATCTCAAAGCAGCAGGCTTCGTCGACATCGTGGAAAAGAAGATCAAGGCGCCCATGCACTTGTGGCCCAGCGATCAGAAACTGAAACGAGCAGGAGAGCTGTTCCTAGAGGCTCTGGAGCAGAGTGTTGAAGGGTATGCGAATTTGCTGCTCATGGATCTGCTGGGGTGGTATAGAGAGGAGGTTGAAGTGCTGCTGGGGCTGTTTCGTAAGGAGATGAGGGATAAGAGTAAATGTGCATGGGTTGAGACGTGAGTTGGGCCCTTACCAGAGGAGCGGATGTGGGTTTGCTGACGATTTATAGGACGGTTGTATATGGACGGAAACCCTTTGGTAATGAGACAACGACGAACTAGGCGACTTTGAGGGTAGCATTGAAGAGATCTGCTCCTCTGATGCACAACTCCGTTGAGACATCTTGGCCCGGCATCAAGGTGATAGGGGCAGGGACGGCTGTCTTTTCGAAAGCCCATCAGAAGAGGAGGACAACGGTAGACTATGCTCTCTGCAGCGCAACTGGAGACTTCTTGACGCAGGAGATTGGCTCGCGATGCTGGATATCAGTCCAACACCCGTCTTCAGCCTCATCCTTGCCCCACAGGGACATGAACATGCCGATACGACCAAACCCCGAAATCCATATTGCCGTCAAAGTTAAGCTGTACCCAATTCCCGTCTATCAAGATATCTAAACTTCTTTTGTAAACGACAGATGGGTGGCTTCTCACTTCCCGCCCGCCATACCAAAAGCAGCCCTTTATATCAAGCCTCATCTTGATCAACTGATTGACAGGTCACTTCCTGCCGAGACAACCGAGATCTATGATTCAAATTTAAACTATGGCGGCCGAACACGAAATGCCTGAAACGATCATAAGTGCAGGGGAGCTAGGGGGAATATGACGGGGGAGGAATGTTGGCTGTCTCAGGGAGAGGCTTATCGGGCTGGGTGGGAACTAATCCGGTAGTTGGCTTTTTCAGATCTGCGATTTGGGATGGGGATGGGAATGTAAAAAGACGATTATCTGTCACTGGTAGTGGGGGATTGATGGGACTTGGCAAATGATAGAGTGGAAAGGAGATCGGGTTCAGCTCAGATGCTTTCGGAGCGGAGGGAGATGGATTTGGTGACACTGCGATCACAATCTTCAGCAGACTCACCAAGCTGAAATAATATGATGATACAAGAGATATTTTCAGAGTCTCAGTCGTAACCGATTTGAAATGCTGCGTTCATGCTCTTCAGCCCAGACTCCTCCTCAGCAAGGGTCAACATCAAACCAGATCTTTAGCCATGTTGATCACTCGCAGCGATCGCTATCTTCTCATTCAATACCAATATGACTAGGATGCGTTAAATCAAACTCTCTGATCTACCAAAAAGCTTTTCTGAACGAGGGGTAGGTTTGATGGGGATAGAAAAACATCGGCAATTTGTGGTGTGATGTTTTTCTTTCACCCCTAACGCAGGGGGAATGTTGCAGCCCAATCTAAGGTTTTACCTCAGGAACTTACAGATCCTCCCGTGTTAAGCTTTGTGATCTCGTGTAGAAAGGGGATAAGATCGGCGTTCGATGATGTACCGTTGATGGGTGCAAGTCAAGCCTTGAAGATTGTCCCCGGAAGTATAAGGATGTGATGTCCTCTCCGTGCCAAGATCTCCTCAGCTCTGGCAGCTCTGCTTCTTATCCCTCCTCTCTTTAGCTCTATGTTTCTTCTTCTTCGAGAATATTAGTTTACTCTGTTCATCATGAAGTTGACAATCTTCCTCATAGTGACACTCTTCACTGGTGTCTTGGCTGCTCCCCTGTCTAAGACCGCCATCGTTCGAGATGAGACACTTGTGCCTCGCCGTCTACCGGACTATGCTACACCTCGCATAGGCGTCACTGCCATTTCTTCTAGCAAAGCGCCCAAGTCACACATCGAGCGCTCAATCAGCCGCAAGGGTTTGAGCTTGGTCAGCTTGGTAGACCGTGTTGCTGGGAAGATCGAGACCAAGTGTAATGATATCAGTACGAACAACATACCCACTGTCACTTTACCTTTGCTAACAGATGACCACAGGAGATGTTATAGAGGCAACGAAGGATGACACATTGTCGAAAGACGAGGCTGTGCATGAAATCGTTCGCAAGATGAACAGCATCAGAGCAACACTCTCCCGAACAGTCTCTACTATGGACAGGACTCCAACTCTTGATCTCTCCCGAGACGATAGTAAAACTCTCCTCAATCATGTCTACATCATGACAGAGGAGCTGCACAACACAGTCAAAGACTCCGTCACCACACTAGGAGGAATAGGAGCTCGCTCCATGTCTCGAGCAACTCACATGCTCGCAGATGTCCTCAGCAACATCGTCACCATCAACCCAGATACCGCCTCAGACATGTATCGCAAGCTGAGCCCCGTATTCTCAGACATGGTCCCTACAAATGAAGAGGACCTCCAAGTCTTTATCATGAGCTCAGTGACGGAGTTTCTGTCATCCATCAAGCCTGATGATCTTGACTCAGATACTGCATGCAGCTCTGGAGATTGTTTCAACAGTCCAAATGAAGACTTGAAACGAAGGGGTTGATCACGGGGTAAATTGTTCTCTTTTTGGGAGTTTATGTGTGTAACGAGAAACGGCCGGAATAATGACAGTAACATGGATGGAGTATCGGAATCTTAACTTATCACGATTCCTACGAAAATAACTGCATAGCATTTTAAGATCCTAGCATAGCCCTCATTAATTTATTTTGTTATAAGGACTTACAGTTATATTTTAAGTGAATCGCGATAAAAGCATCTTGTGGTCAGGCGACCTAAGATGAATAAACACCCGCATCAATCATCAGACTGATATCCATAATGCCCAAGCCAAGCTCTACGTACAGGCTACAAATTACAAAGACAGTCGACTTTAGCTGTGGCTCGTGCACGCATTCATGGAGATAACCCGGATATCACAAATGCAGGTATTTAGTATTAAAGCAACACGCCTCGAGACAACGTCTTATGTGTAGCTGCAACTAAGATTAGCTGCCGTTGAGCCGTCACAAGTGTCGAACGTTTGAAAACGAGAATGATTATTGATCAAGGCACCCTGACATCTCCCTAAGTACCCGTATAGAAAGGAATACAAGTAATTATTGCGTTGTCTTGCTACATCTCACCAGAACACCACAGCCATCAGGTGAATCCAGACTTTGAGCAAGAGCAATATGTGGAGTATTATTCCCAATTCCAGATAACCACCCTATCCAAAACGCCATCCCAGCTATCAATACCAATCGTACATATCTAAGTATCACTCCTATCTCACTCCCCGTCTTTCCCCAGCCCTCGCAAGTCTCTCCTTCGCCGCCTCAACAACACTCCTCCTCAGCGGTTGCACCTCTCCATCACCCTCATCCTCACCCTCCTTCACAACAGTCCACTTCTTCGCAGAACCCTGCATACCCGCCCATAGATCCGTCGGCAGAAACTCCCCTACATCCTGCCGGAACACCTCGCGCGATACGCGATCTGTTTCGAGGAGCTTGTCTGCGTTTTCTTGTGCTTTGCGCCAGATGCTGCGCACGCGATCGTCTACTGCGCGACGGCGCTCGACTTCGAGAATCAGACTGTCGTACGCACTCGCGTAGCGTTCGTAGAAGTCTTTGAGTTGCTGCATCTCTTGTAATTTGGCGAATACGCTCTCCTTCTCCATATCCCATCGTGTCTTAAAGTCTCCCTCGGCCGCGAGGTAATCAGCGAGTCGATCGCCGATATCGCCCAAAATAGCGTATGCTTGTAGCATGCCTGTGTAGGCTTGTTTTGAGATATCATGCTGTTCCTGCAGCACTGTGTAATCCTGCTCCATTGCCGTGAGGCGCTCTTGTATTTCCTGCACCACGTCGTCAACCTCGCGTGCGTCTTGCACGACGACTTTTAACATCTCAGCTCGGTCTTTCGCCGTTTTGGGTTCGAGGTCAGACACATTAGACTCTTGTTCGGCGATGACGCCTGAAATGGAGACCCCGTCGTTTCCTTGGGACTGTGTAGCCTCGGCAGCTCTACGGCGAGCGAGAGCTACGCCGCCTTCGGTCGTTCGGATCGCGGTGACACACATGTCGAAGTGATGGGTCAGCGATGCAAGGAGCTGAGCCATGTTGGCTGAATGGTCGACTAGACTCTCGAGGATCTCGCCGGCCGATGGATTATTGCCCTGTGGTATATCCTGTATGCTGGGCGTATCGGCCACCACCTTCTTTAGATTCCTGATGTCGTTATCGAAACGGAGTAGATCTCCATCAAAAGATTGCTGAATAGCCTAGTCGGTGTCAGCGCATGATTGGCGATGCCTTTTGCTGGGCAGCTTACCTGTAGCTCCTGGATGCTTTGCTTCATCGCCTCGCGCACTCCATCCACGCCTCCTTCATCGATAAAATCAAGAAGACTTCGTCTCTCTTCACCCTGAGGTCTAAAAACACTCTCAACCCCAGTCCCGCGCAACATCTCCATAGTATGATCAAGCTGTCCGTCGACCAAGTCCATCGACTTGACCAGCTTTCGGAAGTCCTTCTTTCCCCATTCGTAAGTGCTCTGCAAGCTCCTCCTTGTTCTCACAAGTATCGCCGTCTGATCTAGTATAGAAGTTCGTAAGAAGCCCGCTTGCGCAGCTAGGATGGATACATCATCATGTGACTGCCTAGCATCATTCGCGATCTCATTCGCACGAAGAACAAGAGTCATAGAAGAAAGCGATCGTTTTGCGACGAGGAGGTGGTTAACGAGAGTATCGATATCGATAGACGGCGCGGTAGAAAGTCGAGATTGTGTCGCTGATCGTGGATGCGAATGTCCAGACGAGGCTCCGGATGAGTCGCCATGACTACGGCGCAAAGAGCTTTTAGAAGAAGAAGAAGCCATGATGAATGTGATGTAGGTAATGTTAGATACTAGTATTCACCCATGACTACATGATGGGAGCGATGGTAATAGATGATACAAGAAAAATAAGGTAATAATTACACGAGATGAAAGGGAAGAAAGTTAAGATAGAGAGACGACGGACGGGACGGGGGAGAGCTTGAACGATGACGGAACTTGGGTGCGATAAGCTAAGCTTCCGTTATCGCACCCACTTTCCATGAAGGTGCCTAGGCTCCACACAGTCTAGGCAGCTGACGCCTCCAAAAAAAGCTCGGTTACAGGAGCTGACTCGTGATTCCAGGGACTAACCTGGCCCGTCTAGGCACGTTTAGCGCATTGCTATAGGCTGTCTCATGTGTCTCAGGACCTGCAGTTTAGCAGTCTGTTTGCGACCTGGAACGTGGAATTTCCATTCCTGTTTGTTTTGTCTGCACGTGGAAAGGCTGATGCCGCCATTTGTGTTACTTTGTCGCAAGTCTCACATCAATCAACTCAAAATGGTATCATTCAAGATTGTGCAGAAAGCAACTGTTGTTTGTAATTGTGATTCACTGTTCAAAAACATTCTTGATATCTTTGCTAAAAAGTTCATCTCATCGTTCCTGAAAGAATCCCAACACCTGCGCCTATCCTCAATCCATCCTATTCCCAAAACATCGAATATTAACCTATAATCTAATTCGTCTCGATACCGTATACCCTCGAGTCATGATCATGCTAGAATCTCTAATACGCTCTTAAACAAAATTCCACAATCTCAAGCCTTATCGGCTAGCAGCAGGGAACTCCAGCCTCCGATCATGCTCATAAGGCGTCGGTGCTGGAGAATTAACCCTCGTTGTAAAAGCAGAGTCAATGTGGAAATAGCTCTGAATAGAAGAATACTTCTCTCCTGAAGTAGTTTCATCTTCCACGTATTTTCCATCTTTGCGGATGACGGGGGGATACGACCTGTCGTCATCTTGCTTCGTCTTGGAAGCATCCTTGTCGTCGGCTCGTCCACCGCCCGCGTTGGACTGAGCGTTGTCGAGATCTGCGGCGCCCTTGGAACCCATGCCGCCCTCTAGAAGCTCACCGCCTTCCATGACGGTGCGCAGCTCGAGGTTCTCGTCCTTGGAGTAGACGCGCACGCCGACGATGCAGATGGCGTTCCAGGGCTCAGGCATCTTTTCCTCCTCGGAGTCGTAGTCGTCTTGGGCGGCGGCTTGGTTGGCTTGTGTGAGACGAGGCTTGCGGACCATGTCGTCGCTGCTGTAGAGGGCTTCCCAGTCTTCAACAGGGGAGTCGGATGACTCGCCTGCAGAATCGTAGGCAGGTCGAGGGCGGATGGGAAGAGGCTCCTCTTCCTCAATAGGAGCGGGAGGTCCTCCACTGACTGGTGGGACTTCCTGCTTCTCTTCAGCACCCTCAGCTGTAGAGCCCATGGACTTGGGAGTCAAGTGAGGTGATCCAGTCGAGACAGAAATAACCGCATCGTCATGGTCCTTGTGATGCTCATCAACGACAACAGGCTCATCCTTGTCCTCTGAAATCTTGATCTCCTCAGTCTTCTTGCTCAAAGCCTCATCATCAGCCTCTTGAGCCCCCTTCTCAGCTTCAGCAGCCTTCTCAGCCTCAGCCTTAGCAAGCCTCTCCTTCTTCATCTGCTCGCGCTCAGCCTTGACCTTGGCGTTGAACTCCTCATCAAGACGGTTCTGCTCAGCCTCCCACTCTGCGCGACGTCGCTTTCTCTTGTCCGCGTTCTTCTTGGTCTGTTGCTTGGTGACGTCGCGGTTGGTAGAGCGCTTCTCCCACATGCGGCGACGCTCCTTCTGGCGACTGGCAGAAGCCTTTTTCTGATCCTTCTTCTGGCGAAGCTTGGTAACCTTGTCCATGTGGTCCCAAGCCTTGCTGTGAGCTAGATCATAAGCGTAGCCAACCTGAGCAAGCTTCTCATTCTCAGTCCTGTCGGCAGCCTCGCGCTTGACGACCTGCTCAACAGACTGAACGTTGGAGTCTCGCTCGCCAGTGACCTTGAGGTAAACGACATAGTTGCCAGCGGGAAGATCAGGTAGCTCAACAGAAACAGAACGCTCCATGAGATAGTTGCCGTGAGATCGGACAATGTAGTCCTCGGCATTGGGGCTGTCCTCGTAGTGAAGTCGGAAGTGAAGACGGAAGGAGTACTGTCCGTGAAGACCCTTGAAATACCGACCATCAAGCTGCGAAAGAACCAGAACAAGAGGCGAATCCTGGGTCAACTTGATATGGAACTTCTCATGGTATGCCGCCTTCCACGGGACATCAACACCAATCCAGCGCTGGCAGCATCGCCAGTCGCGATCGCGGAAGAGCCGAGTGCGGTCAAAGTGAGAATATTTCCGAATAAGATCCTCGTAAGAAATCCAGAAAACAGAGTCGCTACCGAACTTGTGGTCCATCTCCTCCTGCACTTCGGTAGTCCACTCCTTAGACCCATCACTCCAAGCTCCCTCCCAGATACCCTTGCGGACCTTACCCCAAGGGTTGCGAAGCTTGACCAAGCGCTGACCAGACTTTAGAGTACGTGCCTCCATGACGACATAGGCGTGTCCTTCGGAGATGCCATTGCGCTCACCGTAGCCGTGCTCAAGAAGACCAGTAGAAGCGCCAAAGAGGAACTCATCGTTGACTCGTGACATCTCCTTATCCCAGAACTCATCAATATCGAGAATATCAGACGTCAAGAGCTCAGTGGTAACTCCACCAGAGAGATCTTCGACACCCTCACCAATCCAGCCACCCGCCAATGACGCATAGTCGCCATGAGCCTTGGCGTAGGCCTTCTCGAAGAGAGGAACCCAAGTCTCATTCTGATCTCTGCACTGCGCGAAGAAAAGAGCCTTGGAGCCAGTCTGATACGTCTTGCGGTAAACATTCTCGTTATCCTCACGATCGATCTGCTGCAGAAGATCTCTCTGCATAGAGGGGGAATCCCACAACGGAGACTTGAGATAGAGTTTATCGTCGATGATGGAGTAGATCCATTCGCCATCTCGATAAAAGACAAAGCCGTAGATGCCGATCTTTGTGTCATGGGCAACGCAGATCCGCTGTAGACCTCCTGGAACATTGGCCAGAGCCGTTAGGCCAGCCATGATCCAGCAGTCTCCTAGACTGCCCTGCTTGACGTCACCACCACTAACCTCTTTCATGAAGGTGGGATTCTCAAAGATCTCGTGCACGCGCTTGACGGCCTTGGGAACAGCCGCCTTTGAGCTCAGCAGCGTTGTCCTGTTGAGCTCGAATTTCTGTGATCCCAGATTGTTCAAGCAGTGGCCCTTCTCGTACTTGAGATCCCAATCCTAGTAAATGCATTAGCGCCAAATTCACACGGACTACAAACCGACGGCAAACTCACCAAATCCCAACCAGGATCTCGATATCGCATATTCACTCGTTTGCATTCTTTGATGATCTTCTCAACCTTGCGTCGACATTCCTCAGCGGCTCGCTCGTAACCAGCCGATAAGAGCTCGTTGGAATGGTAGGTAGCTGGAGGTTGCACGGGGTCGAATGGAAGGACGGCGAGAGCCTTGTGAAACTTGCGCTTAGAGAACTTCTTCCAGATACGGTTGATACTCTTTTGAGGCGGGAGCTTCTTCTTTTTCTTCTTCTTCTGGTCGTTGTTGTTGGTGGTGGCAGGTTGGGCACGAGGCCGACGAGGGTCGTCGGACTCTTCTGATGAACTGTAACCGTGCATTGTGATGGAAGTGATATATAACAAATCAAAGAAAGGATAGTCTCCCAAGGAGTAGATTTACTATCTTGAGCGAGGATGTTACGGTGTAAGGTGTTGGGTGTTGGGTGTATCTTGTTGAGCTACACAAGATAAGATCGTACACCCTTCAAGAGTATAAGAGAGATGAGAAATATGGCCAAGGAACCAATGTCCCGTTAAGAACTGGAAGGAAATCAGAAAGAAAAGGAGGAAACCGAAGTCGGAGGAAAAGAAGGGTCTATATATGACAAGACTCGAGCGAAGGAAATGGGAATGCTATTCACTGCCGCACTAGTCCTCCGCCACCACCCATCAACCGAAGTCCTCAGACCAAGGGTCCACGGACACACGACACGACACGACACGGTCCTGCACAGTACAGTACAACTTCACCGACGGAAACTGGAAGGGCTCGCCATGTTCCTCACCAGCAAAACAAAGCTGTCGAGGTACAGTACCCACAGGCTGTCCTATCGATAGACATTCTCGAATGGCACCATTTGATGCACGGAGCACCGGACAGTGTGGATTCAAAGAACAAGCAAGGGTCGTCCATCCCCGGAACTGGAAAGTATAAAAGTGTACAGTATGGAGCTAGGACCCCGATACCCGGGGCCTGCAGGAGGAGAGACATTGTGCTTGTCTTGTCCCATCCCAGCTCAATCAAGCGCCCTATTAATTTCACGGAAACTCGATTTCGAACCCGGTTGCATGGCACAGGGTTGCTGAGCAATTCCCCCTTCTGGCGCGCTGATTCCAGACCGCTCTCTTGGGGCTGGGTTAACTCCTTGGCTTTGTGCTTTGTGTTGACTTGACGCTCAACCATGTGTGTCTGACACCTAGAACACCCTCACTTTCCGATGTCATTCTTCTTTGACGACGGACAGTCCGAGGAGAATTAGATTCCGTGAGTCTAGATGACAAAGCAGACGAAGACAGTAGTGCTGTACTGTACAACAGAGCGAAGCACGAGAGGGCCGTCGAATCTTCGAAACAAAGATCTAGTACATAATCTTTTCGCCATCCGCTATGGGTAATGGCTTCGAAAATCCTTTTGATCCGATTCGTTCAAAACAGCGAGGCTAGAACTCCTGAGTCGAGTCGTTGACCCGGCCAGTGGGTCCCCAGGATTTCTAGGGGTCCAACCTAGAACGCACAGTAGTGAGTAAGGGTCCTGGGGGCCCATCCTAGACCGTCAACTCCTATTAAGGTACTTTGGCGAGGCAAACAGTGCGGGGCGCCAGGGGCGCCCGCTCCAAGGCTGTACACTGTAAACTGCAGTGAGCCTTGATAGGCGCAGCGATTATCATGCATGGACGGGACTCGTTGACCACCTCACGGACTGACAGTGGGCGTAATACTGTCTCTCCTGAGGCCTTCAACGCGGTGATGCTACCAACCGAAATGACTGGTCATGAATTATTCCTCTTCACTCAGGAGGTTGGTGTCCAAAGCCCCAACAACGAAACAATGCTTCTCGTTCAAGCGCACATACACCTTTGACTTATTTCTGGAACAAAGACGCCCAGAAAAAGAAACAAAGTGTTATCAGTACCACGGGGTACTTTAGTTCCACCAGCGATAAGTGATTGACCTATGAGGAGGCAGAGATTAGCACTAGTTAAGAACGACAAGGGTGGCAACGCTTCCGAGAACGGGGGGCGCATCTGACTCTTTCAATCCCCTAGCTAGCCCCTTCAGTTGATCAGCCTCAGAAACTGGGGACCTGAGATTGCAAATCCGTCCTCTTTTCCCTGACACGACACGATGCAGCCTGGTCAAAGACCCATCTGGAGGATACAAGCCGGCTTCACGAATGGACTACCCCGCATTCTCGATCTTGAGAAACAATATCAATTTCCGCAATCGAGAGCCTTGTCTCGTCGTCTCCAGGGACGATATGCTATGTACTCTTTAACAGAGTAAGCCAGAGCCTCAACAAGTGCGCGCACCACAGTGACAGAGCAGTTGGGGGCGGTACAAGGGAATAACAAAACCACTAACCATGAAAAAACCACTATTCAAAACCCATTTAGTTTACACCAAAATTACCCGAGCCTTCTTATCGCTCATCTGGGTGTCAGAAGATTTGAGACCTTACATCAGTTGAGAAAATAAAGTAGTCAAAGAGGATACTAAATTTATCCTAAACTATCCTAAGACTGTCTAAAAATCTTTTTGTCACTTAGGATTTTGGACCTGTGAAGTGGTGTCCAAGGTCCGACTGGCGTTCTTTAGCCGCGTCCATTCTGCTCGAACCTCGCTCGAAGGGCCGCCTCATGGGCACGACGTCGCTGAAGCTCATCTGCCGTGGGAGTCCTGAACTGGGGAAGGCCAGCTCCCGACGGAGGACCGAAGCTGTATTGTGCAGACATGTTTGGTTGACTGCTTGCAGGTCTGGGTCCAGTTTGATGATTGCCTGAGGCATGGTTGTAGCCAGATGCCCCGGGAACGTTCAACGGATACATCGCGGGGTGGCGCAGAGACTGAAGATTCCCCAAGGAAGGATGATTCGTGGTGACTCCGGTTGTGAGCGGATCCCCGTCTATGCAAGAGTTTTGCACCTGACGTCCTGGACGCATTGGGATGTTCAGGTGAGGAAGAAGATCCTCAGTCGCAGTGGGAACCTGGCCAGGAGAAGACATTGGGCCAGGAGGACTGCTTCCCATCGTCATCTCATTAGCAAGCTGCTGCTGAGGTAGCATAGGGGAGGACCAGGGGGTATTCGCATTGTGAGAAGACGCAATGCCACGAGGATTCATTCCCACCCGGGCCTGCTGTTGAGGTAGCATAGGGGAAGACCAAGGGATATTTCCGTTGTGAGAAGACGCAATGCCACGAGGATCTATTCCCATCCGCGCCTGCTGAGAGGCATAATACTGATCCCGTCTATGATTAGCAAGCAACTCATTCCAGATTGAAGCCGCCTCAGGGTGAGCAGCAAGCCAAGCAGGATCGTTCAAACACTGAAAATCAGCTCTGCTTGGCATATGGAAGCGGAATGCCTGTTGTTGATAAGGTACAGGAATTCTTGGCGTAATAGGCCTATAACGAGGGGGCTTGGCCTTGGCCTCATCGGACTCCTCAGGTTTCACCTTCTTAGTCGCGGGCTGGCCATTTCCATTTCTATCGGCAGGTCGCTTTGCGGCTCGAGGCGAGGGCTTGGGTTCCCTGGCTCTCTTTACACCTCGGGCTCTGGCCTGAGGGATAGGTTTGACATTAGGTTTGGCACTCGGAGCAGATGGAGACTTGGGGACACTGGCGTCCGTAGCTGTTGGGGTCTTAGCCTGCTGTCTGTTCTGGACAGCTGGTGCTGCGTTCGTAGGGGTAGGGGCTTCAGTGACGGGGCTCTCAGGTTTTATAGTCCCGTTCGTTTCGTTGTTGGAAATCCTGGCGACGGTTGTTGGAAAACCTCCAATAGCAGAGTCATCCCTTTCAGGTTCACTGACTGTTTGGTTGGTCGAAGGAGATTCTTCTTTTTGATCTTGGCCTTTGCCAGCGTTGGGATCCGCAGGAAACTGAGCATTTGAAAATAGGTAGGCGCTTTCGCCGAGTTGATGATCCGAAGATCCAGTCTGCTCGGGCGCGGAGGTGTTGGGTGGTGCCGCTTGATCTACAAACGTTTGCGCTTGAAGGGAATTCTGCATGTTGGTAGAGACATTACTCTGTTGAGCAGCCGTATCATCGGCCCAGAATAGATCAATAGCTTGTTGTAGGCGACGTTCAGTTTCCTCACGACTGTACGTCGGTGGGTTGGTGAAGGTTTGCTGTGGGAAGGGAGACACCACGGTGAGATCCCAATCTATGGAAAAGTTCAGGGCGGTCTTGTCGTCGCCATCGTCGTTGATGAAAGCAACGGCGTTACTCGATTGGCCCTTTGGGTCTTGAGACTCTGAATGAACGTTGTCAGTTGTGGTCGGGAAGAATATAGGTAGAAAATGTATCTACTTACTTCGTTCACTCATAGAAGCGATTGATGGTGATACCAGATGCTGCTTTTGATACCATGATATTGATGTTGATACTGATATCGATGGATGTGCCAAAGCCACTGATTATCAAATCATCAAAATGGTGATAAGTTGACCATAAAATCGTCAAACTGATGACGAGAAGAAAGAAGAAGGGGAAAAGAAGTGTGAACAAGTGCTTTCTTATACCTACCTTATTCGTTTCGAAAGTACTGAGCAGTCCCTCCCTCTTCCTTCACGTAGAATACAAGCTCATACTTGCCAATTAGAGCGTGAACGTAGCGACAACACCACAAAACTACCCAGTCACCGTGAAGAGATAAAACCCATCGGCCAATCGCGTAAGTCAAAGGAAAAACGCACGAAAGCTAAACAATTCTTTGTGCGTGGACATATCCATTCTCTTCACGCTCAGTCGAAGGCGCAGGCAAGTGAGCGTCCAAGGAGGGCTCCGGATGCTGAATCAAGCTTTCCTGTTGCCTCTCGACGTGTCTTCTCCAGGGTTTATATACGAATATTGAACCCAGACCTACGATCAGGAACACACCGCAGATGCTTCCGCCAACAATGTCAAAATGGTCGCCAACCGAAGAAACTCCATCCCAGAATCGCCCCTGAGGGTCTGCGACGTTCTGTATTAGGGAGAGAACTTGGACGATGCCGATGAAAGCTGATACCACGACTGTAATTCCCGTGAGGACGATGGAATAATACAGAATAGCAACCACGTCTCTTGAGAATGCTTTCGACGTGTACAGGGCCATCATGAGGGCTCCATCTGTGGTATCGAGCATGCACATGCCAGCTGTCACGCGTGAGTAAACTTCCAACTCTAATGCAGATACATCGCCACTCACCTGTGAAAAGAATAGGAAAGATCAGAATAAGCCAGATACTCGTCCCCTGAACAGCCTGAATGCTCGCAATCCCCAGTATAGCAATCTCTGAGCTTGTATCGAACCCAAGACCAAAAACCACGCCGAGGGGGTACATCTTCCACGGTCGGTCAATAACGCGAAATAACCTTTTGAACACGCGCGTCAAGAAGCCTCCCCCTTCCAGAGCAAAATGATCCTGGATCTGCGTCTCCTCCTCGACAAATCCTTCAAGTCGGACCTGATTTCTTCGCTCTTGCAGAATCCCTTGCAAGCGCTGGATGAGCTTATACAGAACCCAGCCATTTCCTATACAGAGAATTATAAGAAATGCGGCACTGACACTAGTGCCAACTATATTTCCCACGTGCTGAAACCCATCGAACCTTTCCCTCAAAGCGCCACTCGTGGCTGCGACAACGATGCATGTTACAATGACGATGGTGCTGTGCCCTAATGAGAAGAATGTCCCCACTGTCGCAGGGCGTTGACCTGATGCTATGAGACGACGTGTCATCAGGTCAATAGCTGCGATGTGGTCTGCGTCCAAAGCATGGCGAAGACCAAGGACGTATGAGAGGGCAGCTGGCGAAATGAGGCGTGGATGGAAATGCAGAACAATGCCTGCAGCGATCCATACCAGGGCATTGACTGCGATGAGGGTCGCTATAGCAAAGATACTATTGTCTGGTATCCCATTGAGAAATTTGGGTTTGCTGAGGGGTTGAAATCGAGGCATGGTGAAGCGGGGCATTGCGAAAGCCGGATGGTGAATAGGAAGCCAAGTGGTGATACAAACGATGGTGTTGAGCTCACCGCAAAACAATCACTGACAAAGACTCACTGAAACAACAACGAGAGAGCACAAGTAAAGCGCAAAGAAGAATCTGTGAATGGAAGAAGAAGGGCTGATATTTTCTCAACCCCACAAACATTCTAGACCTTCAAAGGTCGTCGTCCTAGCATCATCAAAAGCCGTCATGAAGCCGGCGGGCCGTAGTGTAGTAGTGCGGGGTGGGTCAAGTCTTGGCCGCCGGCCGCCGATGTTATCTCAGTGCGGGGTGACTCTGCATTATCGCATTTTGATGAGTAATGGTCAAACAATTGGTTGGTCTAACATTCTATTGCGAGTTCCGTCTAAGTATGTTCTATGCTTATTGGCTAGACAAGTTGAAGCTCTTCTCAAATGTATCCTCATCCTCCTCTGCAACTTCAAAGTCGAAGCGTGTCACGTCCTCTGCAAAAGGCCAGAGATATTGACTTGTAACCCTGGAACTCATCAGCTTCTGTTCTTTTTGATAATTGGGAGGTGGATTTACCTGTGATGTTCACTACTCGCCTGATACGCCGCCAGCGCAGCCTTATCATGGTGAAAACTCAACAAACAAATTTGAAAGCCTTTGCTCCTCGCAACCGGATCCGTAATCGACGGACCCCCCACGACAAGCCGCTCATCTTTGACGCATGGTAATGTCTTGAGGGCTTTGAGTTCTTTGACAAACGTCTTGCGATGTGACTCGTCGACGTCCGCGCGAAACTTGAAGAGGACTGAGAGGGGTAAGTAAGATATCACGAGAGGGGGAAAAGTAACTATTGAAGGGAAAGAGGGGACGCACCAATGTGAATGACAGTCATTGTGCAATGAGGGATGATTTACCAATGATTTATTTATCTAGCGGCGATGTAGATGAGTTTAAATGTGTTGCGGGTTGGCTTGGCTTGAACTAACACCAACGGACGGGTTTGCACCGCTGAGGTGAGCGGAGAAACGGCGGAGTGCCGCCTACGCAATTTGGCCGGTGCAGAAATGGAATCGTGTTATCAGCTCGCCGAGAAGAGGAAGTATAAGTTATCTGATGAAGTTGAAGCTCAGTTGCCATGGGAGATCGATTAACTCACCGTTATTATTAGTGGTAGATAATGCACCAAACTCCCCAACACGAAGAATTGCAGACCCCAAGTTTGGCATCGTCAGATATTGCACATATTCCCATTAGAACCCAATCAACTCGCTCTCCTTTTTGGAAATTATGATTTACGTATTCGGTACTGAGCCTCGTCGTTCCATCTGCATCCATGGCCTTCTTTGTTGAAACAATGGCTGTCGTTTCGTAGGCACGGGAGTACTTCCAAAGAGACACCGAAGCCTTCTGACACGTATTATCCAATACCAAGAAGGGAAACCAGCAAGATGTAGTCCACAGGTTTATATTGTTGATCCTGTATCTAAGACAGAAACGCCACTCCACTTTGATGTTGTCTGTCTGTCTGTCTACATGACCCAACTACCCCTCACAAACGGTATCCTATGACAGATAACTAAAAGCTTCATTTTAGGTCAAACTTCATCTTATCAAGCCTCAACTAAATCTCACAAAAGTTACTTTCAACATCTCACATACTACCCCCACAAACTCAAAACCCTCAACCCTAAGCCCTCCCCGTAGAGCTCGTTACCCCCCCATCAACCACAATCTTCTGCCCGGTAACATATCTCGCCTCATCAGCTGCCAGGAACGCAACCGCACTCGCTACATCCCACGCATCCCCCATCCTCCCCATCGGAACCTGCTCCTCTCTCGTCCTGCAAAACTCCTCATACCCCTTCCCAAACCGCTCCGCCAAACTCCTTGTGTACGGCGTGTTCATCAGCCCAGGCACAACGGCGTTTAAGCGTACTCCCTTGGCGGCGTATATTATCGCCGTGGCTTTGACGAATTGTAGGATTGCTGCTTTGGCGGTGTTGTAGGCTACTTGGGGTTTGCCGATGTAGCGGAGTCCTGCGATGCTGGAGATGCAGATCACAGAACCGCTTTTTTGAGATTCCATTATGGGGAGGACGTGATGGCATGCGAGATACACGCTCTTGAGGTTGATGTCCATTTGCGAGTCCCAAACTTCCTCACTCATAGACGCAGGATCTCCGGGCTGGGATTGTCCAACGCTTGTCAAAAGGATATCAATACGTCCATGCTTCTTCATACAAGCATCAACAAGTGCCTTCACAGAAGCTGAGTCTGTAGCATCTGTAGCGATGATATCGCATGTTCCACCCTCTGCTTCAATGGTCTCTTTTGTCTTTGTTGTTGAAGCAAGGGTTCTGTTTCCGCCAAAGATGATGGCTCCCTGCCGTGCCAAGGTCACGGCGCATGCTGCACCGATTCCCCAACCCTCGGTGCCTGTTTGGCCGAGACCGATTATGAGGGCAACTTTATTTGTGAGGTTGAGCATATTGAGTAGATGGTCAAAGAAACAAGGTAAGGGTACTGGGAATGGCGATTTTATCTATCATACCGACGGCCTTTTATTATATCTATTTATTTACTTAGGTTGGTGTGTAGCGGGATTCTCCCGTCTGTCGTGTAAGTGCTCCATCGGCCATATTGCGTGATGGCCGACGCGGGGTCACCCCGTCTGCATCTCCAACGCCGATATGTGATCATCGCCATGGGGGAGAGTAATACATAAACACTGATAGGCCAGTATTTAATCCCCTGAAATCATCTCTTCATTCAATATTCAACTCCATTGATCAAAGCTACCAAAATGTCAGACCCCAAGAAAACAGTGGTCAACCCAGACTACGACCTTGACCAACCCATCACATCAAAAGTCGGCCTCCGCCAAGGCCTCGCCTCCTACGGCGATCCTCACTTCTCCCTCTTCCTCCGCAAAGTCTTCATTAAAGCCCTCGGCTACAGCGAGGATGCACTCTCACGCCCCATCATTGGAATCGTGAATACATACTCCAGCTTCAATCCCTGCCACGCCAACATTCCTCAGCTCATTGACGCTGTCAAGAGAGGCGTTCAGCTCAATGGCGGGTTGGCGATTGACTTTCCTACTATTAGTATTCATGAGAGCTTCTCGTCGCCGACGAGTATGTATTTGAGGAATTTGATGAGTATGGATACGGAGGAGATGATTGCGGCGCAGCCTTGTGATGCTGTTGTGTTGATTGGTGGTATGTTCACCCTTGAAATATACTGAATGAAGTTGATGCTAACTAGGATAGGATGTGACAAAACTACGCCTGCTCAACTGATGGGAGGTATCTCAGCAAACAAGCCTATCCTTCATCTAGTCACTGGTCCAATGATGCCCGGGAGTCATCGCGGAGTGCGCATCGGAGCTTGTACAGACTGTCGTAACAACTGGGCCAAGTACAGAGCTGGCACTCTTGACATTGAAGATATTTCAGCTATCAACGATGAACTAGCACCAACTGTGAGTTCTAATCATCTAGCGTATGATATCAAGTCTAACAATATCAGGGAGGAACTTGTGGTGTCATGGGAACAGCATCTACCATGGCCTCCATTCTCGTTGGACTCGGCATGATGCCTTTTGCTGGCGCCACAGCCCCAGCTGTATCAGCGACAAGGTTACGAATTGCGGAAGCCACAGGAGGACTAGCCGTTGCAGCTTGCAAAGACGTTGAACGCCTGCGGCCACAAGCTTTACTCTCACGAGAGTCGTTCTTAAACGCCATCACTGTACTACAGGCAATTGGCGGCTCAACGAATGCTGTGGTCCATCTCATGGCGATCATTGGGCGCCACCCCAAGGTTGCAGGCACAATAACATTGGAGACCATCGACGAGATTGGTCGCAAGACACCGTTGCTGGTTGATCTGAAACCAAGTGGTGATAACTACATGACAGACTTCCATAACTCAGGTATGTCACTCATTCTGTTTTGAAGTAAAGACTAACAACTCAGGTGGCATGCTCGCTTTGTTCCATGAACTCAAGCCTCTGCTTCACCTTGACGCATTGACAGTCACTGGCCGAACACTAGGAGTAGAAATTGCTCACAACTCTCTTATCCCTGTTCCCCGAGAGCTGAGTGTCATTCAGCCATTTGACAAGCCATTATATCCAGCGTCTTCTCTGGTAGTGTTGAAAGGCAACCTGGCCCCAGGAGGCGCCATCATGAAGGCCAGTGCTTCCAAGTACAGAAAACTACTGCAGCATACCGGCAAAGCCGTCGTTTTTGCAAATTCCGCAGATATGGCAGAAAGGATTGATGATCCTGATCTGGACGTGACACCCGAGAGTGTCCTGGTCCTCCAGAACATTGGTCCAATCGGAAACCCCGGTATGCCAGAAGCAGGCATGATCCCTATCCCAAGAAAGATTGCCTCTCAGGGAGTGTTGGATATGCTGCGTCTATCAGACGGCCGCATGAGTGGAACAGCAGGTGGAACAATTGGACTACACATCTCTCCGGAATCAGCCGATCCCAAATCCCCGCTTGGCATCGTCAGGAATGGTGATCTCATCACACTTGATGTCGAAAAGAGGCAGCTCTCTGTGGATCTATCTGATACAGAAATATCGCAGAGGATCCAGGAGAGACTCAAGACCTTCCAGCAAGCTGAGGGTGCTGCAACACCATGGGTGAAGAGGGAAGGAATGAGAGGCTATCGGGGCTTATACATGCGGAGCGTGAACCAGGCTGAGCTAGGCGCTGATTTTGACTTCTTGACTGCTGAAGGGCCACAAAAGTCTCAAGACTAATGTATAGATTTAGACTGAATCTGTTGGAATAAGGCCTTGGAACAGGTCGCGAACAATGTTATCGAGATTTGTCGACTCCGTTGGCTCAAAGTATTCCGCGAATGTCTCATTAAGTAACCCCTCGTAGAATTGGTTCTGCATGAAACCCATATCGTCGTCCATATTCATGTGGGATGAAGATCCCTGGATGCTGTTGAACTCTTGCCCCAAACTCTCCCATGCGTCTGCCGAGAGTGTGGGATCAATAACCTGTTCATTGACTTGCAGTGCAGAACGGTCACGCAAACCCTCCGATCGCCTATTCTTCTCTCGGATGTATCGAACAGTCGATTTGCCCAGGTTATCCAGAATATCGCGACTGTGTTTGGCGCCAGACCAATGCTCACCTGTAGCGCCCAGAATACTAAGGGATATGCTCAGGTCAGACATGAAAGCGTCTACACCCGTAGAACGGGCGATTTCTGACACTGACTGGATGCAGTATAACAGAGTTATGGAACTGAGAACGAGCCCGTGGAAAGTAGTCCAGCTATGAACAAGCAGGTTTTTCTTGTACAATTGGTCAAATAGTTGTAGGCTTTCACGAGCACTTTGGTGACACTTTACCAAGGCTTCTTTGGGGGGCTTGGGTATAGCAGGGCTAGGTCTCAATAGAAGCATTCGTAGACCGTGGTATCGAAGCTGACAAGTCGTTCGCAGATACAACATATCAGGGTCACCAAGACCTGGTATCTTGTCTGACCACTCATCCAGTCGCTGCAGCATGGCGTTTTGCCAGTCGTTGATGTTAGTCACTCTAGGATAAGCATATCTAGGCGTGTCTCTTATGATGCTTTGCGCGATGTATTTGATCTCCGAGTTGAGTTTGGCCGCTTCGAATAAGTGAACCGCAAATGACATGTCACTGGACGGTTCGGTGATTTGATGTTGCCTCTGGCTGACAAGCCGCTCGTCGGACAGACCCAATGGCATCTTTCTCATTAGTTTGCGGCATGATTCAGCAGTGTGGGTAAACTTACACGGAGCTCGCACCCTTCATCACGTAGTCCAATTGGTCGACCCATCATCGTCGCAATGATGCGATCGAAGGAGTAAATAACCCAGAAGATCCTGGCTCGCATCTCCTGATTAAACAGACTGTACTCGGGTCCCATGCTGATGTTCCTTTGGAGACCTTGATCAACTAAGGCAGCGATGCAGTGATAGTTGAGATACCAGACATTGAGGCGAACGCATGGGCTATGTATAGTGAAGATGAGAAGCAAGACAAGACACTGAATGCCTTTCAACGAGTTCTCGACATTTAGTTCATCAAGGTATTGTAGTGCGGAGAGACAGTACGATTCTGCTGGTATGCGAGCTCTGGTTCGAGCAGAAAGGACGGCAGATCCTATCGCCAGAACCATGAAGACCTGGAAGTGGGCGGCAGGGTCCTGGCTCTCGTCATCATAAGCCATATCCAGGTAGTCGTAAAACCTATGTTGATGTAGAATAGGATATTGTAAGTTAATAGCACTGAAGTATGCCTCACATAATTGCATTGCCGTGTCTCTGGGCGGGAGTGGGAGTGGCCCCTGGAGAGCTTCAACCAGCTTTATAGGGAACGGTGCATTGCGATTAGCGCGACCAACGCTATCGTCTGATTTTGATGCCGAGTCTAGTAAAACTCGTGCTAAGAAATAACCACTGGATGGGCCGATATATCGTGGATCTTGGTTCGTAGCAAGGGAAACCAGCCCAATCTCGTGGGTCATGGCACTGGCTCCTGTGGGTTCCGAAGTAGATGTTACCGGCTGGGTTGCCGGTGGCTCATTTTCAGTATTTCGTATAGTTTCAGAGCTCCGCTGAACGGGCTCGGACTCTGGGGCTGGGAGAGTAGAATTGTCTGCAACTACAGAGCTGGTGTCGTTCCAGGCTTCTCCTATATAGACGGGCGGACCTTGAGATAAGTCGACGTCAGGACAATTCGATCGGACAATGGACTCCAGCCAATTAATCCGGTTCGTCAAAGATGTGATGTATCTATATCGTCAATTAGTAACCATGACGGCAGGCTATAAATGATCTACAGTCACGTACTGTCGAGGTGCCGCATCAGCACGGGCTGATTTTCCATCGACACATTCAACACCGGCTGCACGGCAATTGCTACAGGTGGGTAACTCTAGATTACACTAAATATAGGTTTAGAAAAACGAGGTATCTAAAGTTGGTGCCAAACGTACCTTTCTTTTCAGCCGCTGGCACCGGGAACAGGCCATGCGTGTCCTGGGAGCACTCCGATCAGGCAAGGAGGCTTGATGGGGTCGCTTCCCGTTGGAATTCCTTGCCCCGGGCATTTTTGTACTTCTGCCGGTAACGGATCGAGTTTCTCGGCATGTAATGATGAGCTGAGTGGAAGGGATGTAGATGGGAGGATGGCAAAAATCCGTCGAGCGGGGAGATGCCGCTTTAACGCCTTTGAGAGACGGGCCTTCCCCGCTCGTATTTCCGGTGACATTTCAGTATTAAAAGAATGGAGAGAATCGCTCAACATCAGAATTGACCAGTATCAAAACATCTCAGTGGTCTTTAAAACACTAGATTGAGCTCATAACTAACTTATTCACTCCATCATGGCTGAAAATCAAGACTCCCAGAAGTTCCCAATCGCCGCCTCAGAAGCACGACGCTTCATTGAAGACGTCCTCAAAGGCAACGGCATCCCCTCTGAGAATGCCTCCATCATCGCCCGCTGTTTAGTCGCCGCCGATCTCCGCGGCGTCGACACCCACGGCATGAACCGAATCCCCTCTTACATGGAGCGTCTCCGTCAAGGCGTCCTCAACGCCAGCGCCCAGCCAATTCTCACTCAAGTCACGCCCGCCGTAGCTCAAGTCGATGGCCAAAACGGCTTCGGCTTCGTAGCAGCTCACAAGGGCATGGCAGCTGCTATTGAGTCTGCAAAGGTGTTTGGTATTGGCATGGCGAGTATCAAGCACTCTAACCATTTTGGTATGAGTGCTTGGATCGTGCAGCAGGCTCTTGATGCGGATATGATGAGTTTGGTGTTTACAAACTCGAGTCCTGCGCTTCCTGCGTTTGGTGGAAAGAGTAAGCTATTGGGTGTTTCGCCTATTGCTTGCGGTGCGCCTGGTAAAGGACCCATGGAGAACTTCATCCTTGATATGGCGCCTTCTGTAGCTGCAAGGGGAAAGATTTACAAGGCGAAGAGAAGGGGTGAAAAGATTCCCTTGGATTGGGCACTTGATGCTGAGGGACGTCCAACAGATGATCCCGAAGCTGCTCTCGGTGGTGTCATGTTACCAATGGGTGGCCCCAAGGGTTCTGCACTGTCAATCATGATGGATGTATTCTCAGGGGTTCTTTCAGGCTCAGCCTTCGCTGGCCATGTCACTGGCCCCTACGATCCTTCCAAGCCTGCAGATGTTGGTCACTTCTTGGTAGCTATCAAGCCTGACCTCTTCATGAGCCTGGATGAGTTTAGAGAGAGGATGCAGTACCTTTACGAGCGTATAGTCGGGTCAGAAAAGGCTGCCGGGGTTGAGAGGATTTATTTCCCTGGTGAGATTGAGCAGCTGGCTCAGAAGGAGAGGGAGAAGACTGGCATTCCTCTCGTGCAAGCTGAGATTGATGCGTTGAATGCTGAGGCAAAGAAGGTTGGGGCAGAACCGCTGAAATTTTAAGTATGTAATTATAGAATTTTGACAGCATTCTCAATATTGGAGATCATTTGTTTTGAGAGAGGAGCTCACCGTGATGAATCCTTGCATGCATCGCTTTACTTTCATATGTTTGGCATTAGTCTTCGAGTGAGAAGCTACGGAATTTCCTGGCAGATTGAATGAGTCTATTTGGTTGTGTGACTTGCTCTAACTCTATAATTCATGTTTCTCATGCTGTCTTTGGCTGTGATCCCTTCACATACTTAGTATGCTGTCCAAGCGTAACCAACTTCAGCCCCCCATCCTTCTCAACCTTTGATATCCTAATCGACGTAAACGCCACACTCCCCCCGACTTTATCCGCCGTCGAAACAATCTCAACCATATCCCCCAACCTCGCCGCACTCAGATAACTAATGTGCATATCCACACTCGCACCAGTAGTATCCCTCAGATCCCAACTCGCAATAGCCAGACCAGTCGTGAAGTCAATGATAGTAGCTGATACAGCGCCGTGAAGATTTCCACTGCTGTTGAGATGGTTCTCGTTCAGAACGAGCCGTGTTGTTACGCTGCCCTGCGTTGTGCTGATGAGTTGCGCTGAGGACATTATGAAGTTGTAGATGGGGCTTTTGGCGCGCAGACGGTCCATGAGGGATTGGACGTGTGCGGTTCTTTGGGCTTCTGATGAGTCGACATCTGGGGTTTGGACACGAGTTGAAGGTGGCTCAGACATTTTGAAGAATTTGAAACTAGGACTGTGTTTGTGAAGTTGTTTATGAGTCTTATTTCTGAATGGTTTGTCTAGCTGAGTTCTTGAGAGAAATTTCCTCATCGGGCAATTCCCGCCCCTCCTTTGATGAATATCCTCTCTTCTCGCATACCAACTCCTAAACCTTCTCAAAAACATCCTTCAGGTAATCGAACGCACCCAATGGAACACCCTGTGTGCGCATGATACAATATGCACTTGTGAGGTGAAAGTGGAAATTGGGGATTACATATTCGCTCACGTATCGCTGGCCCGTGAAGCGGAAGTTGCCCATCTTACTCTCCATTATAATCTCCTCGTTCTCTTTACCGTTGATGACTTCAGGGTCTACACCCTCAAGGACTTCAATTGTGCGAGTGATGCGGGCTTGGAGCTGTTCGAATGTTTGTTCGTCGTCTTCGAATGTGGGAATGTTTTGTGCGCCAAGACGTGAGGCCAGGAATTTGGCTGTGTTGGAGCAGGACTGGACTTGGTAGGGAAGCCTGAAGAGTGTTAGTCGGGATTCGCACGAGGTTTGAATAAGTTACCCTCTCATATCGGAAATCAGACGGTATGTAAGAAGGTCTTCATGTTTCATTTCCTTATCATCGCAGAACTTGGCGCCCTTCTGGAGCATGAAGGACAAATTCTTGAGGTACTTGACCAGCACGGGAATGCTCTGTTGATAGAGTGTCGTCATTTTACTAGCCTAGGATTGATTTACTGGCTTGTTTATTGTTGAAATTATTAGATGGGCATAATGCCAGTATATATACCAACCTCGCGAACTTTTCGCTCTATCCGTCCGGGATAATCTCACATATTCGCTACTAGATACTAGAGAGTCCGGAACGCTGACTGCAGCGTAGGATTTAGTGCTTATTGAACGAACTTTGGCCACCCTTGAAACGTGTAAGACGATTCGACATGATGCTGAGATGTTTGGTGCCCCAATGCCCATTGCCCAACGCTACAATTCTTTCTCACTAGACGGGATGATCGGCTGACGGAACTTAGGCGCCGTGTAAGCTGACAGAGAATACATAGATCCTACATATTTACTTTATACATATCTGATTTGTCATCCGTAGTGATTTCTCGGAAGATCGGCGCATAATTCAGGGGATGGATGTCGCAGGCCGAAGAGGTGCTCGTTGGCATCGCAGTAGTCAGGTTAGTAGTCATTCATACTGATGCGACAGCACCAGGCTAATCGTATGCTAGAATTTGGCCACATAATGTCCGACTCTCATTAAAGTGAACCCAACCGGCCTGAATTGCTGCGTGATGGTGTTCAGTGTCTTGCTCGAGATGTCTGCCGATGGCCCGATGAGGCATTGGCGCAGAAGCTGAAGGCATTGATATATGGAATTTATTCTCCGACACCGTAAAACAGCTAGATTTGACCAAACAACTTATTTATTCCCAAGTTTCAATTTATGTATTAACAAATACGATAAGGTCAATCATGGCTCCCAAGCCAAGGCTTGTCATGCACCTCCTCCGAACCAACCCCGAACCCCCGCAGTGTCTCGGTCTGTAACAACCTTAAATCAACACTCTCATCCAACACAACCACAAACAACCCATAACAATTCAAAATGCCCCTCCCAATTCTCGACCACTTCGCCATTCTGGTCTCATACCAGACACTTCAAACCGTAACCCAATCCCTAAAAGATTCTCTCCTCGTAATCGACGGAGGCGCCCACGCAGATGGCCTAACAGTCAACAAACTAATCCATCTCGCCGACGGCACATATCTCGAGTTCATCGCCTTTGTCGAAGGCGTAGACCCTGAGAAACGCCGTGCTCACCGCTGGGGAAACCTCGAAGAGGGCAAAATCGCAGATTGGGCTCATACGCTACCCAGTGAAGCTGATTACGCACAGTTGCAGAAGCGCGTGGCTGATGCTGGGAATGGTGTTACGTATGGTGATCTTACTTCGCTTCAAAGACAAAGGCCTGATGGCGTTTTGATGAAGTGTCTTGTTTCGGTGGCGCTGAATGCGGAGGGGGGAAGGATATTTCCTGGGACGGTGCCGTTTTGGTGTGTTGATGAGACGGAGAGGCATTTGCGATCGCCATTCAAGGCGGAGAGTGGTGATGGGCTGCATGAGTATACGAAACATCCTTCACATGCCAGAGGTGTATCGAAAGTCACTGTCCTGCTTCCCGAGAAGCGCATTGCGACGTACAAGCCTGTTTACGACGCTATTCACAACCAGAACGCTACTGCTGGATCAGACGGCTACTCATGGCCTTACGACCTCCCCGCTGGACCTAACCCAGGAAGCAACGAGGTCGTCCTGTCAACTCTCGAAGGTGGAAATGGCAATGCAGAGATCAAGTTGGCACTTCTTGGCACAAAGGATAGCCCCAAGTCCATCGAGCTTCTTCCAGGGTTAGTCGTCGACTTTGAACACACAGATTAGACAAACAAAAACGTTCTATTCGGGTATCTAAAAAAACAACTCCCTAGTCCAGATTCAATCTCAAGTCAAAGTTCGCTTCTCCGTCTTCCAAAACCTCGACAGCTTCCCAATATTCCATAGCTCTGGGACGAATATCCCTCTGGAGCATGAGCTTGAACTTGAGCCCTGCAAAGTCCTCAGAGTACCATCTCTTTTTTGAATTCTGCACCAGACGCTCCGTTATCTCATCACAGACCCGCTGCAACGCGTCTCCCAAAGGAATCTCCCGCACAAACTCATCGTAGACATTTGCGCTCTCTTCAAGGTTTACAGCCCAGTAATGAAGATTCGCCCCAGTACCGTACGTGATGAGCGTCTCTCTGTCTGTGAGGTCCAGTGGGGGTGTGAATACGGGGGCGAGAACCGCGACAACAGAGATTATCTCCACGGCTAGACATTCGCCGCACCTGTGCGACAGAACTCCACCCTCTGCGAGTGTAGCCGGCATTGCGTAGACGCCTTCCATGGTGGTTGGCATGAACTTACCTGAGTGAGGATGCCCACAGTCGCTGTGAGGTGAGAAGACGACACGGCAAGATGGGCAAGCGATCTCTGGGGATTCTCCGTCTTCCATGTCCTTCAAGGCTTCATCTATCATGGTGTGAAGACACTTGTTTCCAAACATGTGACCGCAGGGTAAAATGCGAGCTCGGTGGGACATCATTTTCTTTTCAGTGGTCAGGCCTTCATCGGGACTGAAGGTGTGGTCATGGGGAAAGATGGACATGTCAGTGAGACAGATTCCGCACTCGAGATGAAGATGGTTGAAGAGCTTCGGGTCTTCGATGAGGGAGTCTCTGAGACGAGGCCAGAAGGGTGTGGTCCACGCAAGTCTGTTATATTGGGGTTCGTGGTGGATGATGTTTTTGATGGACATCATGTTGACAACGGTTGTGGAAGACATGATGAATGGTAGTTCTTGTTAGTCAAGTACAAGATGATAAGTTCAGAAGAAGAAGTAAGTAGATCTAAAGGAAGAGGTATATCTATCAAAGGCTATTGAGGAAATCATATTTATTTAATCGTTTGATCCACCGATTCAATGTCCGTTACTGTTCTGCAGTGTCTGCCAGATGCTGCGTGAACATGGTCGTTGTCAAAAGCTTTTATTGTTCACTTCCCTTTGAGAATACCGAACAATGTTTACAATCTGTTTTCCCTTGCAGTATCAGTGCCAACTTACGATAAGACAAAGAACACTATTGAATACAATTCCCGGTAGCTGAACATGTGTAGTATACTGAAACCCAGGGAGAACCGGTAATCAGGCAAGGGTATCGCTGCATACGAACGGCACTCGAGCTTCATATCATGTAGAAGTTCATCTTATCATCCCCATATGCCACTGCCTTAAATTTCCATCTATATTGGCACCGGCAGTTTTAACTTTTATGCTAACTGTTCGTTTCCCCTCTGGCAGTGATCGAGTTACAACAGTGGCAGAAACGGCCATATCTGATGAACAGCACTCCAGGCTACGAAGTGAATGATATAAGTTATAATACATAAACGAAATTATATTCTTGAGTGACGGAGTGTAATCTTTCCCTCCTTATCACATCCCTTCCCATCGTTCTCGATAGTATATCATCTCATCAATTCTAGAGTCACACAACCTTCATCATGCCCACCATGAATCCAGCTATGAATCCTGGATCCATCATCGACGCAATCCGCAGTGATATTGAGCCGATCGCTGACATCTACTGGCCAGCCTTCAAAAAGGCAGTCGAGAATGATCCTCAACAGCTTCGCCCTATCGATCTGACCTGCACCATCTGCACAGAGCAGATGTCGACGCAAGGATCCGCACGTGGTTCCATCCATTGGATCCCGAAACCAGGTCGTATAATCTCCCATGAAGCCCAGATTCTTCCCTGTGGCCATATGGTCGGCGCCTGCTGCTTCATGAACTGGCTTGCCAGTCTCTCTGAACGGTTTCGAGGTAGAAAGTTCTACTCGTGTCCTGTTTGCAGCACTGCGATTATGTATCATCCTGAATGCGGCCATGTATGCCATGGTCAACGAATCCCAGGCTTGATCGCCAACTATTCTAGAATTCCCCTTGTTCTGAGTGAGGGTGGTTTTATCCACGCGCGATGTGCCGGATGTGAAGTCCAGCATGCCTTTTCCGAGCTGACCAAGTACACCAGTATCTACAAGTGGGAAGATGAAGTCGAGTCTAACAATCAATACATCACCCTTGGCTTTTTGGACCAGCGTCCTGGCGGTTTTCTGTACATGGATGGCTCTAGGGACCGCAAGCGACCTATTTGTGAGCGCGTCCGAAGGCTCGAGACTCCAGAGGAGTTGAAGACTATCTGGGAAACCTATAGAAAAGTTTGGGCGCTGAAGTTCAAGACCTTTTGGATTTCGCATGATCTTTCCAGTGTAGGTCTGTGTCTCTACTTGATGAAGACCTCGAAGCCACTTCCCAAGACGCCCAAGACACAGGGCATCTTTCGTCGGGTCTTCTCTCGAGGATCTTCTACCTGACAGGTAGTCTAATGAGTATATGAGGAGTTGAAAGAGTGTACTGTGAGTCGAGCAGTTAAGGCTTCTTTGTTTTTATGACTGGCGTTTTGTATTTGCATTTTTGGTGTTGGGATAATGAACGATACAGGCTGGTCCTGAGCTTAGGCAGATCTTAGGAAATAAAATTGAATGCTAGACCAGAACTTGATGATGGTTGCGGTATATGAATTGTGATGATTATTATGAACTTCAACGCGCCGAGTAAAATTGGTGACTGTAGAAATACCAAACTTATCTAGGGACATACTGCAGTGCTTGAGATGAATGTCTCTATCTCATCACTGTGTTTACTTGATTTGAAAGCAAGGACAACGCAGGATGAGTCGATTTTGGACCAACTACAATGCATTTAGAAACTTTTAATGTATTTCTGCGACTTTTTTCTGCCCTTAAGTAGTCACTGAATATGGTATTATCCTGATTTGGAGTATAGAGATAGGCATGGTGTTTTAGTGAAGTACCTGCAATCACAAACACGTTTTAGCAAGCAATCACTTACATCACCCGCTCACTTACCTCGTCTGCCTTTTCTTTCATCACATGGACTTCCGCCTTTTGAGTTGGATTCTATTTCTCATGTGTATTCGTGGCTGACCGACCACATCTGATGTCGAAAGTGCCAGCAACGCTGCTAGCTCAAGTTACACTTGCCAGTGGCAGCCCGTGATTCATCACCAAACTAATTTATTCATCCTTTGTTTACTTTGTCCTTTTCCTCCCGCACGTGCATAAATCCTCTCCTTGACTTCTTCATCTCACTTTTCTCCTCTCATCAGCAACTTCATACTCCCGACTCGTTCATCCTCCGCCCGCGTAACTATGCATGAACCTACGATCCAAATCATCACTCGCCCACCAGAGCCGCTGGATGCTGAGCTCAAACCTGAACCACAAGTCATCTGGCGCGATAAAAACGGAAAGATTTACTTTCGCAACAACCCAACTCTTCCTATCCTGCGATACCCCAACAGTAAGGCGATAGAGAAGCCCGATGACGCCCCAGACAAATGCAAAAGTTGCACTCGCGAGTGTCTCGTGGCTATCCGTAGGTACATATCTTCTATCGTTTTTCTAACCTGACCAACTCCTGCAGCAAACGAAGAGATTGAGAAAGAGATCCGGGAACTTGAACTTGACGTCGAGAAAGACTTTGAAGTTCCTGAAGCCAAGAAGCCTGAGCCTAATATCGACATCGAAATGGTCAAACTAGCCAACAAAAAGGCCGAGAAAGCCAACAAGAAGAAGAATAACAAGACGAAAGAGTCCAAAGAAGATCTCTTAAAGGAAAAGGCCGAACTCACAAAGGAGAAAGTTGGACTCACCAAGGAGAGGGCCGCCCTAGTAAAAGCCCTCAAAGTCAAGAAGGCAGAAAAGATCAGAGCCGAAACGCCTGCCAAAACTACAGCGAAGACCATCGCAGAGATGAAGAAACTCTCTGAGTTCATCAGCGTCAGAATTAAACGGTACAATAGACACGGCGCACCCTTGTCTGAGAAGATGGCAGAGGAGGACCTTAAGTATACCATCGAGAAAATGTACAAGCACCTCCCAAACTCATTCGTCGACTGGGAATATGAAGAGGACGTAGACGTGTGTCGTATTCTAGACTTGCCTTGCTACGGCAAAAGTTTTGGTAAGAATATTGAGGATCATCTGTATGGAAAGGAGCATTTGGTGAGTATTTTGCCCAACCCCTGGATATACTGTCTCTAATGCTGTCAGGCCTATGATCGATCGATGAAGGGGAGGGTTCCGCTTTGTGTCCAGCACAACAGAGTGAAGCGGGAGATTGAGAACGGTCTTTCATACCAGGAAGGCCTGTTGGCGGAACTTTCCGTTGACCCTTATAGTTATTAGGTCAGAAGCAGATGATAGAGACAGTGAACGGTTGAGCTTAGTTGAGACACAAGAATTCAATAGCTCAAAAGAGTCTATGTCTGTCCCCATTACCAAATCTCGCAAGAGACCGCAGATGGCAGTCGTGTAGATCCCATGTAGTGTTACAATACAAATGCGCGCCGCTAAATAACCCAAGAAGCAAAGAAACAATGTTCGGTAGGGACCAATGATCCATATAACGCTGGTCCAATTCTTCCAATGCGTGAGTCTTTAATCGGCACGCGATCCGCTGCTGTGACGGGTACGCTTTCGTCCGCTGCTTGTGGCAGGGTGCATCTTGTCGTTGCGCTCTCTCTTGAGCTTGCCGTCCAATACGCGGGCTGAACAACGTTAGCAGACAAATCTCCAATCTCGGGGTCGGCGAACGTACTCAGAACATCGTATCCGAACTGGGGGTGCTCCAAGCACAGAGCCTTGAACTCCTCTTCCGCCTCGGCGCGCAGGGTGTGTGAGCGCGTTGCCCAGAAGCTTGCGACGGGGGCGCGGATGGTGGTGTCGTCGTTGCTGGTGTAGGCGTAGACGTAACGAGCGTATGTGATCTCGCCCTTGGCGGTAGAGTTGACGCAGTGGATCTTGGAGCTCGAGAGGGTCTTGAGACCAGCGACGCCAAACTTCTCGGCGAGGGTGTAGATGCGGGCGTGCTTGAGGAGTTGGTCGCCGCTGTTGTCGACCGAGGGAATTGAGGGGTCGGACTCCAGGACTCGCTGGCCGGGAAGCTTCTTGGGGAAGTATTCGCCTGTGTAAAGGTATTCGAGGAAGCTGCCGACGGTCTCGATGTCGTAGTCGGGGAGCTCAATCTGACGAGGCTGTGGGGAGGTTAGAAGGGGTCCACAGCCAGATGTCGCTGGCGCAAAGGCTCTGAAGCACTAACGCTGCCGTCCTCAACGAAACTATCGCAAATGTCCTTGAAGTATGGGCTTTGTGTCAAAAGTCCCTGATGCGCTGAGAGGATAGATTGGTCGCCAGATCCGATGAGCAGGGTGACGATTGGGCTCATGAGATAACTGGCAAAGGTAACTCTGGGCTCTGCGACCTCAGAGTCGGCGAAGGGAAGCTCAGTGTTGTCGGCATTCTCATTCTCCTCACCCTCTTGGGTAGCCTCTGGCGCAGTATCCTGCGTGTTCTGGGTCTCAGACATCTCAACATCACCGGTGGGCTCGATTGAATCCTCGTGCTGATCGGCAGGCATGATTGCGAATGAATTAGGAGGCGAGTTAGAAAGGAGCGATTGATACCATTGCTTGAAACGAGCGGAATTGGTGCCGAAATCAGTGACTTCAAGATAGTTCAAATGATGGTTCCTGGGCTCGTGTGGATCCGCGTAAACGTGAGATCCAGTCTTGGTGGGCAGCTTCAGCTGGTTCAATAAGCGCTAATCTGTATGCGGAAGCGAGCTTGGCTTAAATTGATGCCCCGCGCGCAAGGCATCACTGCATGATCATCATAGCTACCCTACACCGACCGCTCAGGGACTGCCGACCTGCCGCTATCGGTGCCCCGCCCCCACTAACATCTGAGGCGTCTTCATTTGGCAATCGATAAAAAGTGACTCCGAAGCAAACACCTTTCCACTAACTAACACTTCCATTGTTCTCCTTCTTTGTCCTCAAACCACCAATCTGTCGTGAAACTCGGGGATAAACACTATAAGGATGTGTGCAGCACATGTAAGAACACCTCTCCATCGCAATCACCATCAATCAGCATCACCGAGACTTCCGCAATGGACCATACTAATCTTCTACACCAGCTCGATATACGGCCAACTGCCGATGAAGCTCGAGCTGCCTTCAACCAAGAATGGACTCCTACAACTCAACCCACGCTTCTCCCCGTTTGCGCCTCCGCTCCAGCCGATCTATTGACTCCTTCAGCTATCTATCTTAAGCTATCATCGGGGTAAAGACTACAATGCTTCCACCGCCGAATCGTCCTCTGACTCACCACTTACAGCGCAACTGCCGAATACTCATTTCTCCTCGAGAGTGCGACTGGAAGCACAGAGACGGTTGGACGATATAGTTTTATTGGCGCCAGTAAGCTTTTCCGAGACTCTTGTGTTGGACACCCTCTGAGTCTCTCTTCTAGACCCCCGAAAAGTACTGGCCACTGGCGACGGCTACGAACACAATGGCGACCCTCTCAAGACCCTTGCTGCCGAACTTTCCAATGATCGAGTCCTCGATATTCCTTCGTTGGCGCTTCCGAAGCTGTCTGGTGGTGCCGTTGGATACGTCTCATATGATTGTATCAAGTACTTCGAGCCCAAGACCGAGCGACCACTCAAAGACAACCTCCAAATTCCTGAGGCTTTGTTCATGCTATTCGACACCATTGTCGCCTTGGACCATTTCCGTTCGACATTGACAATTGTCACACATATGAAGTTGCCCAAGAGCCCCTCTGACGATCTTCAACCTGCCTACGACGTGGCCTGCGAGACACTCCGCAAGACCCTCGACATCATCTACCAGCCCGAGACTCCCTTGCCTGCTCAAACTCTTGGTGCGCAAACAGAATCAGAGCAGCAATATTCTTCGAACGTTGGTCGTAAGGGTTACGAGACATTCGTCAAGGAGCTCAAGAAATACATTGTCAAGGGAGACATCATTCAAGCCGTGCCTTCACAACGGTTCCGCCGGAGCACCAAGCTTCACCCCTTTAACATTTACAGAACTCTCCGAACACTCAACCCCTCACCTTATGTGTTCTTCCTCTCATGCGCCGACTTTCACATCGTTGGTGCTTCGCCGGAGTGTCTGATGAAAACTGATGGATATGCTCCATTACCCTCTGACTCACGATTTGGCTACTCAGCTGCCGAAGCTCGATCAAGACCTCGTATTGTCAACCACGCAATCGCCGGTACGATTCACCGTGGAAAGAATGCCGCTGAGGATGATAGACTCGCAGCCGAGCTTTTGGCTTCCAAGAAGGACAGAGCTGAGCACGTCATGTTGGTGGATCTCGCCCGCAACGACGTGAACAGAGTCTGCCACCCCACGACCGTCAAGGTTGACCGGCTCATGAGAATTGACCGCTTCTCCCATGTTCAGCACATCACCTCTGAGGTTTCAGGAGTTCTGCGTCCTGAGTGCACACGCTGGGATGCTCTGCGTTCCATTTTCCCCGCGGGAACAGTCTCTGGAGCACCCAAGATCCGAGCTATGGAGCTCATCTACGACCTGGAGCAGGAGAAGCGGGGTATCTACGCTGGAGCTGCAGGATGGTTTGGATACGACATTGTGCGCGTGGACGAGGGCAGTAAGCCTGAGGACAAGGTTTTCGTCGACGAAGGACCCATGGACACATGCATTGCCATCCGGACCATGCTCGTCAAGGATGGCGTGGCATATATGCAGGCCGGCGGTGGCATCGTCTACGATAGTGACCCTACAGATGAGTGGATGGAGACGATGAACAAATTGTCCGCCAACCTCCGCTGTGTGGAGCTGTCGGAAAGGTACTTTGGCGATGGGGTGAGCACTAAGACCGTGGAGGAGATTATTGCGATTGAGAGGAGGAAGGGAGAGGAGGAGGTGAAGGAGGCTGAAAAGTAGGTCATCTGCATAGAAACATTCCTGATGAAGGATAGAACCAATTTATACTCATTGGCGCGCTTATTGTGTTCGAAGTCGTTTATTTCCTCTTCATTGCCATACGCTGCCGGGGTGGTGACCCATGACAGAGGCTGTTCAAACGGTGAAGGCTTCACTGTTCAGGTCGAACGAGGAGTGAAAGCAACACATCGCCTTGAAAGTCATGGTTCACCCTAAACTCACAAGATGGACCGTGAACATCGAATGTGCTTGACTTCAGTGACTGCATCAAATGTGACTATATAATGAAATGATGCCTACTCAACATCAAAATCATCTTCTCCTCATCACCACCACCCATCACACCCAGGTAAGTCTAACACCAAAAACAGATCAAAAACAAAAAAGGTAAGTCTACGCAAAACGAACTACATCACGTCTCGCTTCACCAGTCAGTCATCTAGCTGGTAAGTATCCCTTTTCAACATGTCTTCTCCCAAACCTCTCCCTGAAGCCTTCTGGCCAACTATCAAAAAGGCTATAGACAAGGGCAGCAACACCAATTCCGACAATGAGGTTATCGCCCCTCAATGTCCCATCTGTATGGAACCCCTCCCGGTGAGATCTTTTCCTACCGAAGGTGAGTTGGATGCTGAGGTCTTGCTCTGTGGTCATGTTCTCTGCCAGTCTTGCCGTATACAATACCAACACAGCGACGCCGGAGGACGGTGTCCTGTATGCCGCACCAACCTCTACTGCAGCCGATGCAAAGTGAATGCTATCCCCATCACCATCCCCAAGAACGGTGAAGAATCTAGTCTTCCTCCTACGACTCTTCCAGAGTGCGATCAGAAGGACTTGTGTCCTGATTGTGTAGCTACGGTTGAGTTTCACAGGGACGTAGATAAAGGTGAGTGGCCTTATCACTTAGATGATATGGAGCCTGGGTTTGTCAGCTTCTTCTACCATGTTGTTGATAACATTGAGAAGAATGACGAAACTGCTACAGAGGGGAGAGTCCAGGAGGCGATTTCCGACACCATCATGCAGGAGTTTACGAACATGATGATGAGTCGTCGCTGTGTTACGCTTGGTCGTGGGAATACGTTGCGACAGACGAACCCATGGTACGCTGAGAATAATGAACATCAGGAAAATTGTCGTATTGGGGCTGTTCAAGGCCATTTTGGCCCCAGCCCAGACTCAGACTCAGACTCGGACGATGATGATGAGCCTCTTGGAAACCCTCCTGCTGGTGTCCCTCTTCCGGTTCTGAATCCCGCACAGACTGATAACAACCGCCAGAACTCTGGCTTGCAAGTGTCTCCATTTGAACGAACTGGCCTACGCCGGGTTTTGCACCCGATTCGGAGTCTTGATGATCCTGCGCAGCCTGGCAATGCCAATTCGCCGTTTGATGTCCAGGACGGCATTGCACGTCCAAGTGCAGCAACACAGACATCTGAACCAGCTCGACGTTATCATGACAGGGCACTGTTAGATGAGGAGTCAGACGACGATATGGCCTGGATTGGATCTTCACAACGAGAGGGTAACACTGTTGCGACGACAGCTGAAGTGCTTCCAACATCTGGAATGTTTCCACCAGGATCTGACAATGTACGTCCCAGTCACCGACCAAATAGGAGAGCAGCAAGAGCGGCTCAAGGTCCTGGTATGCATGGAGGAGGCATGCAGGGACTGGCGAGGGCTGTAAGGCGCGTACCACCTCGACCTCGCTTTGCACCTCCCAGTGCAGCAACACAGATAAATAGATCAGTTCAAGATGATGAAATGCAGGCACCAGATGCTGACGCAGATAGACTCTGGCATGAGTTTTTAGAACGGGAGGGTAACTCTATTCCGGCGACAGCTGAAGCGGCCAGGCCAGCTGGACCTCGTAGCTTGCAAGAAGCGTTTGATTATGCGGATGCGAACGATATTCTGAGTCTGGGAGATAGCATTGGCAGAATGCCCCAGCAGTTTCGGGACTATCTGGCGAGAGGTTGAGCGACTAGACCGGCGACAGGAGAGTCGTCCAGTCCAGCATCCGGTGCCTCACATAGCTCTATGGACTTGAACAATAGCGACGAGGTGTCTTCAAATGATCAGCCCGTCTCTGAGCGCTGAGGATCCTCCATATCCACTGTGGAAAGACGCGTGTAAGTCAAGGGCATGATGATATTGCATGCGGGCCATGGTTGAGTAGGCGAAGACGCTCGGACCGAGATATGGATGGGACGGCACGGCACGGGAAACGGCATGAAGTACGGAGTAGACTGGAAGTTATTTGTGAATTTGAATTTATTCGGTGAAACGGAGTTTTGGATCAGGATCAACCGGGAATAAATTAGATTGATACTGAATCATTAGTCAGGTCTGTTATGGTAGCGGAGAATAAACACAAAGGTGTAAGAAATGTTTCAAGGGGTTCGGATGTGCCGTCAGAGCCGTTTGAGTTCATTGGTATCAGTCGATCCTTTGGTGAATGATGATGTATGAAGAAACCCGTGACATGGAATTAGGAAATAAAAGAGTAAGTCAAGTCAAGTCAAGTTAATGCTATGCATCGTACGTCAGCTAGGCGCGTGAGGCTGCAAAGTGAAAAGTATGCGGATAGTTCAGCCACGTAATTCAGGAAGCAAATACACGTACAATTCGGATATCGGCTCCAAAGTGATATTCATCAGCCATGACTCGATGCGAAATATATGCCGATAGTCGAAATATAAACGAAATATAGTGAGTATATAGTGAGGATAGTGAGGGACATCAGTGAGCGAACAGAGAGGGAAAAGTGGGCAAATAGCATCATCTCACCGCGCCGTGCCGGTATCCGATCGCGCCCAATCGACCCCGGCAAGTCGGCACGTCGACATCCACCTTTTCCAAACGCCCAGTTTTTAGTCTGATATCGGTTTGCATGGTATTTACGAGGGAGCATATGAACAAACAGAGGCAGAGGGATCAAATGCAGAGGATAATGAATGAAAGAAGATGTAGAACTATAGAGCGTGAGATGGTGATATTTTACCGTCTACAATAATACATCAGCCATGTCTTGATAAGTGTACTCAGATATCTGTCTAAATTAGATGCATGTCACTCAACTCGCTTCTCGGCACCACAAATTCCTCTCGAGGGGGGCCATTCCCCAATCCTACCCTCCACTCAACCTCATCCGCTAGTGGACAAGCCCGTTACTGTCTCGGAAGTACGGCTTCATCGTCTTGCCTATTGAAAGTTGCCTGCCTTTGAAACTCGGCGCCTCTTTTCGCTGGGCCCTTCAGGTGCCGTCTCTTCCAGACTTTCGCGCTCTTTTTCTCCCCTTGGCCTGCGCCTAAAAATAATACGTCCCCCAGCCTTGGGGCTTACCTCTACCTAATACATCTGTTGTTCCCCTGCCCTTCGCTCTTTTTCGGTTCCTGCTTTTAGAGACCACCCCCTCCCGCTCTCTCGCTTCTCTCGCGCTGTGCTCCCCCATTTACAAATTCTTGTAACTGAACTGGACCTGGACCTGGACCTGGGGGGCTTGGCTCGAACTTCCATTTAAGCCAAAGGGGGCCTAGAAGCCTCTGCCAAGAATTTCCATCCCGTCTACTTCAGGACCCTTTAACATTTACATCACTTACATCTGCATTTGATTTGAGCCTCACTCACTACAGATCAATTCATTTTGCTTCTTTCGACAATTGATTACCTAACACTTCCAGTATTGAATGATACCGCGATAGATGCCTTCCGCTCTGCAGGCCGACATGGACATGGATCCCGCCGTTGTCGGCCTCCCTACCACAACAGCCATCACAGGCCTTCTCGACGTCGGCGCTGCTGCCATCGACATCCTCAGCGACCTCAACATCTCACCACAGCACGACACCGCCATCCTCAACATCCTCCTCCGCGAGGTCAAGGAGTGCCGATCCTCCGTCCACGCCTTCTACAAGACCCTCAACCTCATCGAGAACAACCAGATCCCCTTCCCTGCCCGCGCGGCCTGGATCTCTCTCGACACCCTCGTCGCGACCCTCACAGACACCGTCCTCGCTTTCACCCGCCTCTCGTCGCTATGTTGTGCGCTCGACGAGCAGTCCAATAGGTCTACGCCTGAAGATGCCGCTAAGCAGTTCGAGAAGAGGATCAAGGCGCTGTGTGCCAGGTTGAGATGGCATAATCTTTCGTATGCTATGATGATGACTATAGTGAACTGGTAAGTTAAGCGACACGGCACACGGACCGCTAGATGAACAAGTACAATTTTTGCTGACGGGGGCCAAAAAGTCCGGGAGAAAAGGACGCAAAGAACAGTCGCGACGAGCTGGCGCATCGCGTTGCGAGACTTCTCACATTCAACGTCAACCTCTCTGCTAGATTACGACAGAGTCGCCCCGGATCCTCGGCTGCCAAGACAACGGGACCGGGAGCCCAGACCCCCGATAGCCCCGAGATCACCCCCGCCAATGTGGGGCACAGACCCGCCCCTTACTCCGGAACCCTCTCAAAGCTCACCACCCCGAAGGCTCTATCCAAGGTCATTCTGCCTATCGAGCTGAGGGAGCTTCGTGATGATTTTGAATACTACACCGAGATGATCCCCTCGCAGACCGGAAGCTGTGAGTTTCCAACGGGTGGTGTCTTGATGGGAACGCCATATGATCTCGCTTCAGCACGATGAGACCCATCATCAATCAGTAACTATCAATCTATCCCTAGCGGATAATCATCTTATCAGATGAAAACTTGCAAAGTCGGTGTTTAGGTGGGAAATAGTGCGAGGCATTTCAAGCCATGTATGGCTACAGGACCGGTTGGGGGCTTAGACGGGCATTTTACCAAACGGTTATTACGTGTAATGATGTTTTTTGTTTCTTGATTCGTTTCACTTGGAGTCGATTTAGCTAGGCATTTGCAATTTCAACGTAGAGATATCCATTCAAATTAATCAATCACCCATTACTCATTGTGCTATACTTGCTACTCGATACTTAAATGAAGAGCTTGCTACCGTGGTACTTGGTCTTGTCAGAGTAAGTCTGCACAGACGTCTCAATCTCTCGCTCGGGGAAACCCTTGAACGACTTGGCGTATGTTGCAACGGAATGGGCGATGAGCTGTTCTGTGTTAGTGTCACGGTTTCTGAACAAGACATTGGTTGGATGCGACTTGCCTTGGTGTTCACCTCCCACGCAGTGTAATTCACATTGGTCAGATCATCCCCGATCTGGTGGTAGTTCTTATCATACCAGACACCGGCTTCACCGCCAAACATCTCGACTTCGTCTTCTGTCTTGACACCCTCGGCACCTGTGGCGATACCACCAGCGGGAATACCACCACGGATGAAACCATCGTAGTCACTGCGACCATCAAAGGGGATGAAGGTGTAGTTGAGACCCTGCTCCTCGTACCAGTTAACATACAGATCACGCAGCTCCTCAGAACCCTTGGGGTTCTCGGCGTTGGTGGCGTTGTAGATCTGGTAGGCAAAGTTGGGACTGGCCATCATGTCGTAGTCCATGAAGAGACGAATCTTGCGGTTCTCGTCTTCAGGAAGAACGGAGACGTAGTGGTCGGAGCCAAGAAGACCTTCTTCCTCAGCGGCCCACCAGGCAAAGCGGACGCAGTTGTTGACGCGGTACTTGGTCAGTTGGACAGCGACCTCGAGCACAGAGATACTGCCGGATCCATCGTCGTTTATACCAGGGCCCTCGGCAACACTGTCGCTGTGACCACCGAGCATAACACAGTTGTCGGGATCACCACCACGAGTCTGGGCAATGATGTTGGTGGTGGAAATGGTTTTGACCTCAGCGTCGATGTAGGCAATAGCATCAACTTTCTCACCATCCTTGAGCTTCTTGGCAACAGCCTTGCCCTCTTCACCGCCCAGACCAAAAGTAGCAACATGGTCAGGCGAAGGAGTACCGAGAGTTCCATGAACCTCATCCTTCTCATAGTTATACACAACGGCAGCGACAGCACCCGCTTTTCCAGCATTGCCGGACTTTGTACCAAAGGGGCACGTTCCACGAAGGATGAGAGCAATGTTGCCCTTGACGGCCTCGGGATAATCGGACTCGTCGCATCCTTCGTTGTCGACGAGGACAAGCGTTCCGTGGACGGGCTCCTTGTTCTTAGTCGGAGGAGTCAGACCCATGGGCGATGCCTGCTTGGGAACAGAGTCGCCGATGACGAGACGCGACTCGAAGACATTGCCCGAAACAGCGGGGAACTGCTGGTTCGAGACGGAGTAGTAGCCGCCTAGCTTGGCGAGCTCAGCGTGGATGTATGACAGTGTACCGAGATGGCCTTGAGAACAATCAGTCATTACGTTCATGATAACAGTCCGATTTCGGAGAACGTACCTTCACTGCCAATGACACGAGTCGGATGTCCATATTCCTCTTCTCCATTCTTGGCAATCTCATACAGATCCTTTGCTCTAGCCTCAAGGTTCTCAGGCTTGATGCTCTTCTGCAATTCCTTGGTATCTACCAGAGGAAGATCGTCACCAAAGAGATTCCAAGAGAGCTTGGGGACTTGGAGGTTAAGAGGGATCTGAAGAGCTGACACGCCCTGGAGGGCGGCCGTGGCGGCGACTAAGCAAAGACCCTTTGTTGTCATTTTTGGAGTTTGTTGTGAGGATGAAGGGGAGAGGATGGAAGGGGAGGGTTTTGGTTAAGACATGGACTGCGCAGGTGATACAAGCTTGTGACGTGATGATGCTGGGACCTGGAGCTATAGAGGGTCTTAGCTCACTGTAGCTTAGCTTGGTTGCCCTGCCAGGAACCCGAGGCATTGCTTATCTTTGCCTTGGCCCCGGCGATTTGTCTCAGCTGTGCTTGGCGATGATCGGCGATAGCTACCCTGGACTCTGATGGCACTTTGAATCGGATCTTGAATGAGAACAAAAGCTATTGTAAATCAACTATCTATTCCCGTAGATCGATATTTATTACTCTTGAAAGTTCGCTGATGGCTGAATTCATTCGCTATGGGGTTTTTTTCCACGTCTGCACATGGAGAATATATTGAGGATGATGCACCTACCCGCCTCGCATCGGTTTCACAAAAACCAATAGCGGAAGACATGGAGGAGTATTGTGCAAGAGGCTCGTGACATTATGCCACCGATATTGACTCCAGTTTCGGGGATATGAGCGAGCAAGTCACGGTGAGCGTGAGAGGCTACTGTTTAAGCAGTATTAGGAAAACCGCTCTATGGCGTGGCGCAACGCAGGGTGCCCGAATTTCATGCTTTGGTGTTTCTCTCACAATTTGGGCTCTGTTCAACATTCGATGAAACCGTCAAATGGCTTAAACCCACTGCGACCTGGCAACGGGCGATATAAACCATGGCGAAAGTAAAAGGTAATAAATAAATATTGCTGCTGGAAAGTCGCCCGAAACCAAGTGAGCAATGGGATGAAGTTGCCAAAATCATCGTGATGTGAGAGGCGCAACAAGTCCATCCATACTAGTCCGAATACCCTCCTTTTGACAAGTCCAGAACCGCCAAGCATACCTACATCTGCAACCCAAAAACCACAAGACGTAGCAACAAATATCATTTTAGGTCACACATCGCAGCCCCCAGCTCTGTACTCCTTATCTCCATTGGTTAACCATGCTTACGCCCAGCCCATCCAGATGGACCATCAAGATATCGTCAGCTCACTCAGCGAGCAAGAATAGATAAAGTGCTGACATATCCCAACAACGCTGACGCCGTAGTTAAAAATGAGCTCAAGCCTCGAACTTCATCCTATCTTTCATCCCGTTTCATCCCAAGTCAGGACGAGAACTCAGCATGCATCCTGCTTACACACTGTATATCGGGCTTGAAGCTCGTGTGACCGAATGGAAGAACGATATGTATGCGACTGTCAGTAAACGGTTCAGCGCACCCACTGATGCACAATATCAGGTAAGTTAAGTGGTATCGCGACAAAGGAATGCTTGCTGATGCTGAAGTTGCAGGTTGATGAGAAGAGACCGATGATTACGGAGAAGCAAGCTGAAGAAGGGAGATCGGAGAAGGAATTGCTGGAACAAAAATACGCCAGTCAGTCATGATCAGAGTTAACATATGGCTCGGAAGCGACGAGATCGAATTGTCAAGTTGTTTATTCTGTCTTGCCTATTATCAACCAATCCCTGACATTGGAGCTTTTATACATCTATTTTCAACTGCAATCTATCTACTTTCAAACAACCACCTATTATTCTTCCCCAAACAAAATCAAGGAATGCTCATCTTGACATGATCCTGCTTCTTCGTAGCCCGTCCTCCAAATCCCCATCCAATCTGATGCGCAAGCTGAATCTCAACATCCAAGTCATCAGCCCAAGCCCACACCAACCCAGGATTCTTCTGAAACATTCTCCCTGCCGCAATGAGGTCCAACTTCACACCATCATCATTTCCAGAGATGATCTCCTCCGCAAGTGTACCGGTCTTGATACTGCCCACCGAGCTAACGAGCATCTTGTCGCCAACAACCTTCTTGATGTGCTTCGCGAACTTGGCTTGATATCCTGGGCCGCCTTGCACCTTCTGCTGGGGGTGGTTTCCGCCGCTTGATACGTCGATCACATCGACGCCGCGCTCGGCGAAGAGGGTAGCGAGTTTGGCGGCTTCATCGACAGTCCAGCTCTCGCCGGTGTACTCAGGGTTAGTATCCAACCAATCCGTCGCACTGATCCTCACGAAAAGAGGCATGGTCTCAGGGATAACACCACGAACTTCCTCAACGAGCTCAAGCGCAAGACGAGTTCTGTTCTCAAAACTTCCACCATACTGATCTGTTCGCTTGTTAACACTCGGCGTAAGGAACGAGCTGACAAGATAACCATGCGCAAAGTGAAGTTCGATCACGTCGAAGCCAGCGGTGACGGCGCGGTTGGCGGCCTTGACGAAATCTTTCTTGAGCTGGTTAATCTCCTGGATACTCATGCTACGCGGCGTGGGCATGTTCTCGTTGAAGGGCTCGTCGCTGGGACCCACGACATCGTCGGGCCACCCGTTGACTTCCTCGGTGGCTGTGGCGCCGGCGCTGAGCCAGGGTGCTACACAGCTTGCTTTGCGACCTGCGTGGGCGAGTTGAATGGCGATGTTTGTATTCTGACCGTGTGCAAAGTCGACGTTTTTTCGGAGAGTGTCAACATGGGCGTCGAGCCAGATACCAGCATCCCTATGACGATCAGCTAACGAACCACAATATAGGTCGTGAGTATATGCTTACTCAGGTGTAATTCGACCATTGGCTTGCACGGCAGTTGCTTCAATCATCATAAGCCCCGGCTACAAAGATTAGCTTTGATCATCTCACTCGTATAACGCCACTTACACCACGCTGAGCCATACCGCCATAGTGCGTAATATGCCAAGGCGTCATGAAACCTTCATGGCAGGAGTACTGGCACATAGGGCTGACCCAAATTCTATTCTGCATAGTGACATTTCGAATCTTGAGGGGCTGAAAGAGTCTAGGAACAGGTCTTCCATCGCTGGGCTGGATGGCCAGACCAGGCGGAGGATCCTGCTCGGGGGTGAAGAAGGGAACGCCCTTTGCAGCCTTGTTGACAATGGGGTGGCTGCATTTCTCGGTCTTTGCGGGTGCAGGAGTTTCGGGCCTCGATACGGGAATGCCGTGGTGAGGGTGGCAGATGCGGTTGGTGAGATATGCAGCCATGGTGACGAGTGTTCAGATAGAGTTGTTATGCTTAACGATCCTTCAAAAACCTCATCTTGGGAATTGGGAACAGGATTTTATATACAGGTTCATGATGGGTCAATGACGTTGTGATTAGAAATCTTTGACGTTAATTTTCGGAAAGCTCCAGATCTACGGTATGTAGGGCGCGAATCTTCACATCGGCGACGGGCGATGAACATTGGTTCTTTCGATGCATTGAAACATTTATAATAAATAACGTTGTCCAGATGGTGGGTCAGTTATCTAAACTAGGCCTCTTGGTCTAGCAATGCCGTTAAAATAAAATATACAATTATAAATCCCGCTCGCCTCAAAAAAAAACATGCTCGGTCCGAATTATGTCCAACAGTTCTCCACGTATGTTCATCATGGGTCGAGGAACCTACTGTTCACTCGACGAAGCCTTCCGCTTCTTCGATGGCCTGAGTCTTGTTCTGTTGATGGACCCGTTCGCCCCATTAAGCCTGATGTGCTGTGTCGCTTCCGGCCCCGCTCGAGCTCTTCCGTTTCTTCTGTGTCTGTCTTGAGATTTCCAAAACTCTTGCGACATCTCACTTTTCGCTCATCATCGGGATCCAAGAATCTATGGATGGTGCGGTGATCCAGAATTCTCTCTTCTTTGTCATGCGGTCCGGCCTTGTCCGTCTTGGGCCAGATGTACCCGTAAAGCTTCGAGTGCCGTTCGCATCGAGGACATGAAGCTCGTGTAAAATATGCGTTCTGTTGTACAAAGTAACCGTCACAGATGGTACACTGGATCCAGGCCATCTCAGGTTCTGATAAAAGTAACGGTGTAAGGAGGTAATCTCCCGGCACCCGCACTCTAGATGGAGGCGTATCTTCCTTATAGACACGACGTTGATATTTCTTTCGTTTTGGCTGATCCTCATCAGCCACTTGACTGTCTTCGACAGTTTCAATACTGGTTGCAATAGGCTCGGTTGGTGGAGGTACCACAGTTGCTTCCTTGAGCTTTTCCGGTTCAGGTTCACTTTCAACCTCAGTCTCCAGAGGAGCGTTTAGAATGGCCTGGATAGTCATACTCTCAAGGCCACTTCGACGGGTTCTCTCTCTCGTTATTTCAGCCGCTTGCTGCGGTGATCGTGAACCTTGACTGCTCTGCGGCGAAACTGGTGCTCCCTCTGTCTGTTGACTACCCTTGTTCGCATTCCCTTTCAATGGAGTATGTCCTAGAGGCTCTGGAGTCTCCTTCTCTGGCGAAGTGACATCTGTCTCGACAACGCCACTTGAAGTTTCACTGGCAGTGACAGATGTACTGCGCGACGAATCGTCAATAATAATTACAGTCTTCTCAGCCGAAATCTTTTGTCGCTTCGCTGGAGTCTTGGGCGGTGTTGCCAGACTATCATGCTGTCGCTTTCGATTATTGGTTTGCTCGGCGGGTGGAGACCTGGCAGATGATGAATCGCGAGCTAGCTTTGATCCTCTTGAAGTCGCTTTTGTAATCCGTGGTCGCATATCGGGAGTGACTGATGGTGTCCGTGAAGAGCCGGAGATACTGTCATCTCTTCGCCGTCGCCGTAACGAGTAACCTTCTGACTTTTCCTGCTCAATACTAGTTTTCACTGGCACTGTGCCATCTTCTGGTTCCCAAGCATTCCGTAAAAGATCCTCGCATGTCCTGCACAAACACTCGCAGTTGTTCTCGCCGAAATAGTTATCTCCGTAAGTGACCGTAATCTCCTCTCCCGCTTCAATCGGCCTTGTTGCGACAATCTCGATTCCTGCGTGGCTTGTCCTCATAAGTTTGGCGTTCGCATCGCAATCGTGGTTGGCAAAGCGGGCAGGTCCCATAAACAGGCTGGTGCACTTGCTTCGTGAGCTAACAACAATGCTAAAGTCCTTCTTCTGAGATGAGATGGCCTTTTCCTCCTCTGGCGTGATGATGACTTGAACACCGGATAAATATTTAATGGCCTCGTTACGTCGGATAGGTCGTCTGGCTGTTACGGCAGCCTCGTGAGTAACAATTGTGTATCGGTTTGTCGAGCTGACCTCCCACGGACAATCCGGAAGGTAAATTTGAACATAACGTCTGAGATGCCGTCGGAAATTCTCCTTTTCATTGTCGGTCTTCAATCCATTGTGAAACCGTTTTAGCCCGTTTGTTGCCAGCAATCGCTTCTCAGCACTTTCCAAGTCCTTCTTGAGAACCACCTCCTCTTGCAAGATCTTAGCGATCTCCTCCTCCCTCACGCCTCTTGATGGATGATATGATGTGCGGTTTTTGGGGACCGTTGTCCAGTAAAAGACCTGCCTGTGTTAGAGTCGCATTGCCTCATGAGCGATGCTCAGCCGTAAACCACTCACATGATCGACCAGGGCGTCAGTGAGAATGTCATCATATGCTGACACTTGTGCCAACGTCATGCGCGGCTTTTTGGCAGCCGCTTTCTGTGATGGAGGCATTTTGCCTAACGCGAATTCACTCTGATGCCAGTCTGCTGTGTAAAGCTGTCGCCCAAGGAATAAAAGAGCGTACGTGTCCCTCGTAACCAGCTGTAAAAGTCCGAGCGAGAAAAGAGCGGAGATGTCGATCCTTGGCTCAGTGTATGAGAGCCTTGCCAAACGATGCCACAATTGAAGCCTTTCCAATCTTGCAGAGCAATGCGCAGGAGTTAACAAGATAAAAGCCAAAGTCAAGCGTTTTATGTTCGAATTCAGCTAACTCAGTGCCGCAACGTCATAGGTTCCGTCTCTCTAAATAAGGAGCGTTAATCGATGGAACAAAGACAGACGAGGCTGAGACTTGGGTGAGTAAAAGATCGTGGTGCGGGTGCCTTTCAAGGAATCGGGCTTGAAGGAGGGAAGTGATGTTCAAGGTGGAATGACATGGTTGTAGCTCGCTCGGGTGCTTTCGAGGTTAGGGGGGGCTTGCTTTGTTCCTCTTCCCTGGATCAAGGCCGGTTTGGGGCATTGGCCAGGCGACGGGTGGGGCTGTGTAGGCCTAGGAAATCACTCTCAAACATTAAATCAGCTCAAGTTGTCGAGTTAGGTATCAAGCCATGGTACGATGATCAAAGGGTCTTTTGTTGGGGAGTGAGGTGCAGTAGAGATGAGCATCAAAGAGATGTTATTTTTGTATTATCCTCTCAAGGGCCAGTCATAGAGATACAGTTTCATGATAAGACGACACGATATCTCCAGATTTCTTTACCCCAGCTGAGATCTATTGGGTTCCGCTGGAGCAAGTGTGGCTTCAACTGTGGCTGTGAGCACGTGATATTAGTCCAAAAATTCAACGACAGGTTGGACGATTGATGATATCCCGAGTTAGACCGTGGTGAGAGTTGAGCATTGAACCTCCGCGCGCGGAACACAGCCAAGATGATTCAATTAAAGGTACCTCAGCTCTACTCACCTCGTTGACCCCTTACTGACTATAGTAGACAATGCTTAACTGCATCGACAACTCGGGCGCTGCCCTTGTCGAATGCGTCTTGGTCGTCGGCCAAAAACGACATGCCCGAATCGGTACGATACACCCCTACGAACACCTCAGTCGAGCCCCTCGAAATGATGCAACATGTGACTAACACACCTCAGGTGACCGTGTTGTCGTCGTCGTTCAGGAGCAGCGTGGTAGCTCCTCCGGTGGTATGGCCGGTATCTCTGCCGCCAACAAGGTCAAGCGAGGTGATATCCGTCACGCCGTCGTCGTCCGAACCCGATACCCTACACAACGCCGAGACGGCTCAGTCGTCAAGTTCGACGACAATGCTTGTGTGCTGCTGAACAAGGCTGGAGATCCCGTGGGATCACGTATCAACGGTGCTGTTGGCGCCGAGCTGAAGCGCAAGAAGTGGAGCAAGATTCTGTCAATGGCGCCTATGCAGGCATAAAGAATTGACAAGGAGTTTAGGTGGATGGGTAGTTATTTACAAAAGACAGAATAGATCAGAGGGAATGGATTGGCTGCATACAGCCGTGTACGAGTGGAATACTGTACAATTACGAATATTACTACATTTGGCATTTGCGAGGCGTTGATACGAAAATACAGACACCTTTCAGCTCTCAAAACTAAAAATCACTGTGGTTGCATAACTTGGAACATGTAATGTCACGGAACTTATTTTGCATGATTAAAAAACTGCAGATGCATCTTGATAATTTACCCCTCCTACGGAAGGTGGTTAGAAACTTAACCCTCAATCCTAAACGACGAAAGAACTGAGGAAAGCTTGGTACATTTATGTGGCCCTCCTCCAAAATCTTATTCGCTGCTCAAAGCAGTCTTATACAGGATCATTGATAGAATACAATTTGCATTTCCCTCCTTATAACCTGGCGCCGGTGGCATAACCATGCCACAACCCTCTCTAAAAACGCCTTGCGAATTCAAATGATGATGCGAGTATCCTCCACAACTTGGACGTCGATGATTCGGTGCCCGGGTATCGATACAAGGTTTCGCTTAAGTGAAAATGTGACCACACTCGCAGCAGACGTAGAAGAGTTTCTACCGTGGCGTTAGTGAGCTGGCCTCTGAAACGTGCGTGTGAGAGAGTTCAACTTACCATGCCGGTTTCAGCGCTTCGCTGCTGAGACTGGAAAAACACAGCTTCGGTGTGCTGGCAACTAGGGCAGGTCTTTGTAGATCGCGGGAGCTGCAGCGCGCAAAAAAAGAAATAAAGTCAGCCAGCAGTCTTTAAGCGATGGCAAGCGGGTTCCAAAGAAGACGCGAGACACCCAGTGCTCCAACTGCTGTTTCCAACTTATACTTTGTCATGTGACCGGTCGGCCGCCAACTGCTCGTCGCCGGATAATGATGCCAGAAGCCCAGAGCATGTGCCAGTCAGCCCAGGATAGAATAATATAGTCGTGCCAGTCGTGTCGTGTCGTCAGTTACATAATTGTCGTGATACAGGATGTTTGTTGGAGATGCTCATGATTCACATTTCATGGACGAATCACAGCACATGGAGATCTCTTCGAGGAATTCTTCGCTGGCGTCGGAGAGGAAGTCATCAGACTCGGTCCTTATGTCATCGTAGTCCTCATCCATCATCTCCTCATCGTAGTCGGCGAAAGGATCCTCCCATGGCAAGGTGAACTGGCACATGCCCGTGATGGGCTGACTGACTTTCTCGTTGGAGACGACCATTTGGCAATCGGGCTGGCCGCAAGAGGTGCACAAGATGACTCCGCCACAGCCGTAACAGAGAACAGGTGGAAGATGACTAACCGTTGGATCGGAGCCAACATCCTGGGTGACACCGGCGGTCTCACCGGCCGAGGTGTTGAGGACGTTGCGGAAGACACAGGTAGACTTGGCGTCCTCGGTGTACTGGCAAGTTCGGCAGGTAAACTGAAGCTTGTGAGCATCTTCGTCCTCCTTGGGATAAAGCATGTTGGAGCATTCGGAACAGAATCGGAAGGTGATCTGCTCGAGCTTCTTGTCGCCTTCGGCGCCCTCGTAAGAGGTGGTGGATTGGGGGGTAGCCATTTGGTCGGTCGGGTGGTGGTTGTATGGGTGGTTCAATTTGAAGAGAATGCTTGGTTGCTTATGAAGATGCAAGAAGCAAAAACAAATCTGAAACCTGAAATATCGAATAGATAGTTCAGGCTGTGAATGAGAGATGGCGATTGTCGCTCTAGAATAGAGGTCGTGCTGTTGTTGAAGAAGAAAGAAGGGGAGAAATGATGGATGAAAGGCGACAGGGCTGGAAAATAGTTCAAGTGGGAGTGGAGGGGCTTCTGGCTTCCGCTGTCTTCTTGTCCCACTTTTCTGTGCAAGTCCTTGAATTTGGTTGCTTGTGTTGGGTTTTTTGGGTTTGGTGCCTTGAGCTTGGGCTTGGGCTGTGTTGGGTTTATAATAGACGGTTGGCAGCCAGCCACAAATTCAGAGGCTTTACGGCTGAGAAATTGGTGATTATGCAGGCTTGTAATTGACAGGCGCTGTTCAAAGTCCGTAGATTCGTGAACACAGATGATAGCAAAATTACAGAGGAAGAGAAGAGAAGAACAAGGCTTCAGTGTTGGGGTCGGTCGAGTTTTGTACGGAATGCATAAGCAGCAAGTGACTTGAACAAACCAAGGCACAGCATAAACAGTGGGTGATTCAGCGCGTTATCCTTCAGTGGCCTCGTGTGGACTGTCACACGTGGGCCGTCTACAAACGAGACGAAAGTTATGTCCCTCTGCCGCGCCTTGTTATTGCTGACTCGTTATCTCTATTTCACGGTCTTATGCTGCGAGTGGCAAGGCAAAACACTGGGGACAATTCATTCATCGACAGGGGTTGGTTATTTGCGGTGACTCACGTCTTGAGCTTCAACTCTACCTATATGAGGCGGTGATGCCTTAGAGTCATCTAATCATGAGGCAGCCAGAAATACTTGATACCTACGCGTGCATAAAACGACGTCGCTGTGAATCCTTTGAAAAGAGCTCTTATTGGATGATGCTATCTATTCCAGCTGAACAGCTACGGAGGTTTGTCCGGCAGAACGAGGCTGGTCTCCGTATGTTCACATCATCACTGGTGCGTTAATCAGGCACAATGTAACCTCCGTCACAACGAGGAGTATACTAGAGTGACGTGCATGTTAGAAATATGCGTAAAAAAGACATCTCTCGAATTAGGAACTCGAAACAAGACGCAGGAACATGGTTTTCTGCCACTTCAAACAGCATTAACTGGATAAGGCGTTGACAAGTGATCAATAAGTGGCACATGGAGGGCTACATGAGGTCCACGAGACCATCACGATCGTACCAAAGCGGAACTTGAGACACGATCAACACGAAAAAGGCCGCAGAGACGTACACGTGTAGAGAGTACGTAGACCATGGAATTCGTAATTGGCCGAGAGAGAATATGCAGGTGAATAGGTAGGGAGTTGTTCCTAGGCCTAGAGTGAATTGTCCGATCTGACGCTTGGAAGGTCGGCGATTTAGCGATTCGTGTGAACCTCAGGACGGGGTGGATCATGAAACAGAAGATACGTTATTGCCTTGCGTGAACTATTCGCAATCTGATCGCGTTGGCCAACTCACTCAGGTCGCCAATGTCTTTGCAGTCAGCAAACAAACCACACTTGCAAACCCACGCGTAGTAGTACGCCTTCGCCTTCCAACTTAGGTCATACCATTTGCTCTGAAGGCAACCACCAACATGCATAGATAAAGCATATTGGAAGTGATTTGAGAGCTTTGGAGTGACTTAGCCATTGCTTACAGAGTTGGCGACCCTAGTCAAACATGTTCGAAGGATGATTCCACAAAGTGATCAAATGCTCAACAGCGGGGTTTCAATTGCACATCGTCTTCGACTGTGAGGTGTCAACGAGACGTGAATTGAAGGTTCTCGAGGATAATCGCTTGTTCTGAATGCCAATGCTACCTCTATATCTGTTCTGCATGCATTATAGGAAGGCTTTACGTCTCTGTTGAAGTGGCAGCATGGTGACATGCCCCACAATCTGCTCTGGCCCGAATCTTTTAGCTGATTGTACGATGAGATTGGATGCATGCTTCTAATCAAGAGGCTCAAATCAATTATTCGTTTTTTGGACCTGCTCTCTCACAGCCATGCACATTCTCTATCGCTCGCAGACTGAAGTTACATACCGATGGTTTGAAATGTGGCACTTGGGTACCTCCAGCTTATGGCAAGTGGTGTTCTGGTCTGGTTTTGATAACAGCCTTCGCAACGCCTGCTTCCCTTCTTTTACACATCAAACCCCAAGTTCTAGTATTAACAAAGAACAAAGACGAATTGTCTTGCCTAAGATTTATTCGCGAGTAATTTTACCGAGTCTTCCATCGTAGTTTTCGCGTGAAGATGATTATAGACGCTGAGCTAGCCACTTAACCTGTAGACTATTGATTTACCAGCTGGCATCTCCGTGTTATTCTACATTCAACTATCCGAACCAGGTCTAGGGCCAGTGACAACTGACAGATTTGCAGGTTGTTCCGAATGGATGGAAGTGCACCTCCGCATTTTCCCTTTGGTGCTGGTAGTGTGTGGGAGGGATGGCGGAGAAGCTGGTACAGTTGAAAGGTTCCGAAAGACGAAACCCCCGAACTCCACCGTTGATACTCCATCTTCACTCTTGTCAAAACTTGCGAGTGCAGCCCGAATTGCTATTTCTATCAACTGTATGCATCTTCAGAGATTATTGGCTCAGGAGGGTCCCGGAGATGTATGTGCCTACAGCTCGACGATGCCGAGCGTCTGGTGACAAGTAACCCCTTGATTAAGCATGCACTAAAGACTGATCCCATGATCTAAAGCCAGTAAGCATGGTTTATTACCAACCGAGTTGGATATATCCCTCGTTAAGAGAGGTAAGGGCGTGTTGAGGCGCTTGTTAGAGGTTGAGTCGCTGCAACGCTTCGAGCATTTAAGCCTATCACAGCGTCGGGTAGCTCACCCACCCACTGAAAGAAGGAAGGGCCACCCCGCGTCAAACCCCGCCCACCACAGCAACGCCGCATGGCAACCGCGGGGGCCTGTCGCTCCTTCTGTTGTACAGTACGGCACGTCATTGTTCCAGTTAGGTCGAGTCGAGAAGCGACGGGAGGACCCAGCTCCATCAGCTCCAGCTTACCATACCTTAACTGGTAGCCCATCCATCTCATCACTCCTCTTCGCAGCACATCTCTCAAGCTGCAACTTTTGCTTCCCTCAACGACGACTTTTTTGACGATCGATACCCCAACGACGAGGCTGAATACAACTCATTTTTGCTTTCGCTGACCCACTTCATCAAAGTCAACAACAGATATAAACATGGTAAGCAGCTCAACAGCAAGCTTCGACAAACGTCGCAGATCCTTCAAGACCACTCGTCGCCCCCTCTCTTGGCTGCGTCCATCAACTCACAGACTCAATTCCTCGTCTAACATTTACACTACAGGCTGACACTGGTCTTCCTCCGGGCTGGGAGGTCCGACACTCCAACTCCAAGAACCTCCCCTACTACTTCAACTCTGCCGAGAAGCTCTCACGATGGGAACCTCCCTCCGGCACCGACACCGAGAAACTTAAGCATTATATGGCTACTAACCACAGCGCCGGCTCTCGTCCCGGTGCCGTCGCTGGTGTTCCCGAGGGCAAGATTCGCGCTGCTCATCTACTAGTCAAGCATCGCGACAGCCGACGACCCAGCAGCTGGAGAGAGGTGCGCATACCCGACCACCATATCCGACAGTCGCATTGATCGCTGACTAACACAATTGCTGCAGGCTGAGATCACGCGCACCAAGGAGGAGGCTCTTGAGATCATCCAGGACCACGAGCAAAAGATCAAGTCTGGTAGTATCACACTTGGTGAGCTCGCTCTCACCGAATCCGACTGCTCTTCTGCCCGTAAGCGAGGCGACCTCGGATACTTTGGCAAGGGAGACATGCAGAAGGAGTTTGAAGATGCTTCCTTTGGCCTCCAGCCTGGCCAGATGAGCGGAATTGTGGAGACAGCTAGTGGCCTTCACTTGATTGAGCGGTAAGTCTAATGTCTGTGGTTTGAGCTTATTACTGACTGACTTTCCCCAGCCTGGAATAAACTGAAAAGTATATATAATTGACAAATTTTGTAAATTGACAAAGCAGAGCGTATCGTTGACGTCTTCGCGCAATACCTCCCGATCGCATTTGTCGATATCTGTTGAAGTGATATATATGTGGTTGACTTGGACGTCATATTTTCAAACTTCAGTGAGAGTGGCAGTCTTTTAAATCTTGAGGGTCTACATTATTCTTCCATGTCTAAGTATCTACAGTACCCAGCCACAACTGGCTTCTACCAGACTTGCTCTTTGTCTTTCTATCCGTCTTCCTAGCAAGTATATAACTCTAAACACCAGGTCACGAACGTTACAACGTCTTTCCTGCCGAGATTCTATGGCCGTCTCTCTTCAGCTGGCCAAACCCAACACAGCACTTTTGAAAGGCTCGACAGTTGTGAAAACCACCGTCATGACACCGGATACTGTCATAGCAAGAGCAGCGTACGGAGCTGCGCGACTTCTAGTCTCGTACAGATACGACACGCCCATGGCTGCGCCGTTGATACCAACCGTGATCCCTGCTGAGATTGTAAAGGGATCATCGCCACTTGGCAAATCCTTTTGAGCTGTTCTCAGAAGAGGCTTCAGGCTCAGACGTGAGACCCTGCCGTCGGAGTCGGAAATGTTGACGCTTGAACGGGAGAAACGGTCTTCTCGTCTGACGCCTAGTTTGTCGAGTACAAACGGGTAGCAAAGTTGACCAAGGATTCCGTTGCTTACCACGAGGGCAGCATTCGCACCGAGATTTCCACCAAGTGCTTCCATGGCCGGTTTGGCAAGTGCCAAAGTTGTGCTTCGTGCAGCGAATGCCAGCGCTACGGGTGCGTTTAGACCGACAAGCTTCCCTCCCAGGACTGACAAGAAGACGTTTCCAGCTGCGGCTGCCGTTGCCAGGATGATAGTGAGGAAACCGGCGAGACTGAAGAGCTGTCGTTGGCATTCGTATAGCTTAAACCCCCATATCAGAATTCCGCATTCGAGGACCGAAAGTGCAGCGTCACCGGCGCCAAACCATGGGCTTCGTCCATCCGAAAGGGGTTTTCCAGTTGCCACAGAGGTCCAAAGGACATAAAGGGGCGTCCCTCCGCTGAAATCGCGCAGTACTTTGTCTATACTGCCGTAGCCATATGCGCCCGCTTTGGCTCGGGTATATGCCGTCATGAAGAGGGTCGTGAACAGGACAGGATTCATAAGCGTGACCATCATGTTCTTGAGCCTCGGCATGTCGGTGCAAACTTGGGAGGCCTTGAGGGCCCGCTGGAGTCGCAGTGTCAGCACCCAGACGAACCAGAGAACGCAACCATCAAGGACGCGGTCATCGTTGGTGGCGGCAGCTACTGGTGCTCCAATCACGAAGATGGCGAGAGACGATGCGATCAGTGGGAAGTTAGACATCCAAAAGTGCCACAGCTGTGACACTGGAACCGAGTCCTTGGAAACAACGGATGATCGTTGGCTGGCTGTTGCTGAGGTTGCTTCGTCCGGCCCGGCTCTCGGCGGGTTTGCTACCTTTTCGCGACGGCCAAACATACGCTGTTGTCCTTGATCCAGAGTTGAGTCGGAGAGCCAGCTGGTTTCGATCCGGGGAGGAGTTCCTGTAATAGGCTGCGGAAGGCAAACGTCGTCGGGCACTTGACCAGTCATTCGAGCCACACAGCTCATAACGAGAAGCGAGAGGGCAAAGATCATGGCCCAAGAAGCAAGGTTGGTGATTACTGGAGTGACGATGAGAAAAGTTTTCAAGGAGTTTTGGCACTGAAACATACCAAAGTTGCCGATGACGCAGCCGATATCGCGGCCGCTGAGAATGTCGCTCTGGTTGAGCATCACGAGAGGAATTGGAAAGCCCAAGCCAAGATGAACATTGATGAAGTCGACCTCAAACGAAAGTTAGTGCTGCCGTTATGGAGAATCATGTTCACTTACCTTGGATTTGATGTGCCTTCGATACACACCATCAACATCAGCGAAGCACAGGTAGGCCGCAGCCATGAAGCAAAATGTCAGAACCATTCCAAAAATAGAGGAGAAGAACTCGAGATGCACAGGAGCCAACGCCCTACTCAAACCCCATATGATCACCTCGCTCATGAGATAGACGACGACGACCCAGCCAAACTCCAGCACATTGCTGGCGACGGTGATGAATCGCGTCCTCCAGAGATCTGATAGCGACATGTCTAGGGCTGCTTGAAACAGTGATTGTGGGGAGTTGATCCATGATGGCCTCGAGAGGAGCGGATTGCGAGCTTCATTTGAGGGTCTGAGACAGCGGAGGATTTCAGAAACGTTGTTTCTAATGGTAGTAGTCATGGTGCAACTGCAACTGCAACTGCACTTGCAACGTCGACGTGATGAGCACAGCCAGGTTGGTGAGGGTGAAGAAGCACAAGGTCGGCGGTTTTGGAGGCGTTACACATGAAGATACAATACACCCCTTTCGCGACTTGCGGAAGGGTAATTGTTTAAAAAGGGTTCGAGGGACAAGCGAGATGTTGTTGAAAAAGGAAAAGAGGGATTGGAAAATGGGTAAATTGGGGGCAGAAGTGTTGACAGTGACAAGGCCAAGCCGGCCGGCGGTTTGCACTGGCAGAGCGTATTCTGCATTTGAAGGCCACATATTCACAGTTACAGGTCTGTTTGAAACATATTATCGTTCTATCTGTTGACGTGTGCAGCTCTTTTTGGAAAGATGATGTAGGGACCCGACATATCTCCAATCTAGATCGGTCTGTTACCGAGCATGTCTGAAGGAGTTGGACCACCTCTGACCATGTCAGATTGGCTGCATATGATATTTTGTTTGCGTCAGTTTGACACATTCAACGGGAAGAACGGGACTGCACCCTGAAGCCAGACCGTCTCGTTTGAAAGGTGCTCTTCGATCTTGTATCATTTCTTTTCCCGCTACGAGGGTTGTTTGACAAAACTTTATGATAGATAGGGCCAGAAATAGGTTGGAACATGACTCTATTCCCCGTGGGGGGTTGATGTACAGATGAGCATTGGATGTATGAGGTTGGAAGATTTGCTCAGATGGTGACGATTTCTTGGTCACGACAGGGAGGACGATGCTGGGGGACGTGGGACGAGAGGTTCAAACGGACGAGCGGGGGACGTATGAGATATGCATATGACGAGTATGATGGATCTCAAGTGTTTGCTAAGCTATTTTTTTATTTGTATAAGCTGATATCTGAGACTTGCATAAAAGTATCTTGTCAAACCATTCTGAAGATAGTGATGCTGTCGTGTCTTGCAATGGTAGTGTATCAACAGGACATCTCCCCTGCACTAAACGACCTGAATGCATGCACAACCGTTGCTATGTCAAGATATTTCTCTCTTCACCAATAATCGCCTCTTGTAAAGAGCATCAAAATGTCCGTGGAAGCTCGCCTCATGCAAGATGCGCTGTAGATGCTGTGGCACGCTAGCCCCGCCTTCACTGGTCTTCAGGTGTACGTCCACTGGAAAAAAAAGTGCCGCGCGAGGCTCAGGGGTTGTTTGACCGCCCGGGATCTTTGGGCCGACATTTAACGTCTGGGCGTTTGTTTTGTTTGAATATGAGGTTATCTTGAGCATCACCACGACGGCACGGCACGGCATTGACGTTTGAGTGAACTGATTTGAAAGCCAATTGCTCGTATTCTTGTTTGTTTTTCTATTCTCAGCTGGATTTATTTGCTTGGGTGGACAAATCCACTTGGGGCTCAGTGCACCGTCTGACTGAGTAGGTATCGTCCGCAACACCAATCTCTATTCATCGTACTCAGCAACATCTCCATCTTTCCCCAGGGACGACTTGTGTCATCATCAACACCGCTACTCAATCAACCCTGGAAACAAAACGTTAGCTGTACCACCCCATCACTGTTACCTCAAAAACGCCACCTCGCTATTCCACAGGTCCAAAATGGATCTCAGCCCCAAGCACCGCGCAGAAGCCCTGCTTCTAAAGGCAGCCCGCGCGTACGGCATCCCCGCCTCCAAGGAAGACGTGCAACACGCCCTATCAGACGCTTCATTCGTGGACTGGGCGAATCTGCATCTCGCGAGCGATCACCTCCTCACGGGTGATGAGCTGGCCCTGTGAGTCGTTACTTTTGTGTATCTGTTTATGTTTATGCTGATGAGGGGGGTTTTATAGGTATACTGCGCTTGATAAGAGCGGGCAGGTTGACAGATTAGCGGATCTGCATGATTTGGGAGAGGTGCAGGCGGTGAATGAGGATGATATTCGTGCGGCGATTGAAGAGCTGAATAGGTCGACTGCTACGATATCGAAGCAGACTGAGACGTTGAAGCAGCAGCGTGATGCGTTGGCGAGATTGGTTAAGAAACGTGATGAGGCGGAGAGTCAGAGGAGGGATCTTGAAGAAGCGCGTCTTAATAAGACGAAACATGCCTTGAAGAAATTGGTGTTTGAGGTAACACAGACTAGTCCAAGGCCGTTTGAGATGAAGTTGCTAATTTGGTGTAGGTTGATGGTGAGGCACAGAGCTTGGAGTATCGTGTTGCAGATCTGGAGCAGATTGCTAAAGACTCGCGATCGAATCTTAAGAAGACGGTCGATACGGTGTTTCAGTCTGATGATAAGTTACTGTCGAGTTTGCAGAAGCTTGGGTGGGAACTTGATCAGCAGGATCCAGAGGAGGAGAAGACGATCGAGAAATTGAGGGAGACTTGTATGAGGTAAGTCCTCCGCTTATCATTGTATTGATCTGTTCTAATTTGTGCAGGTTGATCAAGACGACTGTTGAGACTCTGAGGACGAGACTGGATAGAATCTATCTGGAGGCTATTCTTGCAGCGGAGCGCTCGGGAGATGTCAAGGCTGCTACTCAAGAAGACGTTAAAGCTCTCGAGGAAGAGCTCGAGTCGCTGTACTCAGAGATCTTGCCTGTTGCACAAATGTCTGCTGAACAGCAGCATTTGGAACCAGCGTTGAAGTCTATGAATGCCCAGAGTGGACAGAGCATACACCGCTCAGCTGTAGCAGTTTCTTACGTACGTGCATTCTAACACCATATTTTTCGTGTCGCTAATACTGTCTAGGTCAACGAGTGTCTCGACTATCTCGTAGAAAGAATAACACTCCTGACCGACCGTGTCGAAACTCTCAAATCCAACAACGCAGCAGCATCTTCCATCATCGCCACAGCCAAAGCAGAAGTATCTGCCTCGCTATCCCCCGAAAAGAAGAAATCTATCAGAGCCGCTATGCCAGCATCTCCCATTCGGAACCCCTCACCAATTCGTATGCGCGCCAACACAGACGGTGCCCGTCGCGGCAACAATAACCGACGTCGCTCATCCGGCATTCTCGACGAACCTGCAATCGAAGCTCTTCTCCGTGACTTGGCGCTTTCACTACCAGACGCAGAAGAAGCTTCCATCCAAGACCAAGTATCCGCTTTGAACAAAGCGTTCACCGAAAGATCTGGCAAAACTACAGATGTGGTGCGCAATGCACAGGATAGCTTTGAGACGAGCGTTACTTCTAGGTTGGACGATGCTAGATTGGCGATTCAGCTTTTGCGCGATAGTGTATTGGCTGAGAGTCCGTTTGGGGAGATTAAAATGGTTGATCCGGAGTTTGAAGGGTCAATTGATGTGTTAAGCCAAGAGGTGGACAAGGTTAAGGAGAAGTTGGATGGTGTTGTTGCCAAGAAGGCGTTGGCGAAGAGTGTGAAGAAGGATGAATTTGTGCAGAGATGGGCATCATAGGCCAAAGAAGACAGTTCTAGTGAGATGCATAGATGATCCTTTATCATTTAATTATCTAATATTCTTTATACATGCAGCCATGCATGGTCGATAAACATAGGCTGCGAGAATATACTATCAAGAGAATACTGCTCCAACCCTTCATAAATATCAGCAGTCATCGAATCGCCCAGCGAAGTCTGTCGTTGATCCGTTCGTCTTTCACCAACAGGGTGAACAAAAGTCGTTTGCACACTAACGGTTGTCTTTGAAGCATCAGATTGACCGCCCTGCGTACCATCAACCGTAGGCTGCGGTGCTACAGCGTCCATGATATCAGAGTCGATGAGTTGCCAGATCTTGGAAGGCTGAAAACTAATCATGTTGTTATCCTGGGCTTGACTCGACATTGTTTGTAATTGGTGTAAAAGTTCTCGCTGTCAAGGTTAGCACATGCTTCCCAGCTGGGTGTGTTCTGACGAACCTTGTGTATACTTCTCGGTGAAGGATCAGGCATCGACTCTAGAAACTCGATGCATTTTCTGTAATTCTCCTTTGAAGTTTCTGAGACTTTGGCATCCCTCGCATACTGGAAAAGCCACGGTATTGTCGCTGTCGCAGCGACTAAATCGCCTATTAATGGATCATACACCATTAATCCACGATCTATACATGTTTGGACTAAGCGCGCCACCCAAGCTGAGTGAAACATAGCTTGATCGACAGTTTGTTGGAGGAACAGTCTCGGTTGAGAAGGTCGATTCGCTCTTCGAAGGGTAACGAGATGGATGAATGGATGATTTAATAATCCTTGTGTCGCGTGCGCTGTGATTTGGAAGAGAAGCCATGGCGCCCAGTACTCACGGTGTCTTTCGAATTCCTCTGGTGTTCGTTCCGAAAAGCCCACGTTGCGAACGAAATGTATATGACCGAGTCTAGACTCAAGATCATACAGGGTATTCGTCAATTGGTAAAAGTTAGAATTCGTATCAGCAGGGTTATCAGCCTTTCCGATATGCAGCGCATGAAGGTATGAAATAACATCACCACAGAACGACACAGCGCGTACAGCATGTGATGTAATTCCAGGGTCTGTCCTCAAGTCATCGCGAATACTTTCTAGATCCGGCGCATATTCTTCATCGCCTAAATATGCAGGCGGTGAGGGTTCTCTTGCGCTGCGAGGATATTCGGGTTTGGTGTGCGTTTGGGAGAGCAGGGTGAAACGAGGAGCGAAGCCCTTTTCGAGGATGAAAACACTCCAGTAACATCTGAGACTGGCGTCGCCTTGGGGGCTGTGAGGAGACTCTGAGTAGCCTGCTCCGCGGACGAGTTCGAGCCTGCTGGCTGCTCCAATTGTCATTAAAGCCAATGCTGGTCTTCCTTCTGCAAGCGAGTTAGCGATATCCTCAAAAAGGGATTTGGGACCAGTACCGAGAATGTCACCCAGAGCAAGGAGACATAGAGCTTGTGAGATTTCCAACTGGGCTGTTCCTCGCATGGCAAGTTCAAGTACCATATCACGCGCTGATCTCGTATGAGAGTGGATTAAGTCTGCTTCCTTTGCACTGCTCGAATCATAAGGGAGATTTGAAAGCGCAAGTGCTAAGAAGATCCATTGAAGAAACATGGGAAATCTCTCAATTCGATCTCTCAGACCTTCTGGATTGAAGAGAGGCAGCGGCTGGAAGTATAGCCGCCTTCGGTACTCTTCTACTGCATGGTCAAGTGAATCTGGCGATGGTCTTGCCTCTGTTGCTGAAGGAAGCCTGGTGCTTGTGAGTTTATGTGCAGATTATACGGCACAGAGCGGCGCTTACCAAGATAATGAGACTTCATCGTTAATGCTCACTCTGTTCATCCGTCTTGAAGCGCTTTCGACGAAAGATCCCGACCTGTTTGTGTGCCTCGGCAGGGAGTCTGGAGTCAAGGCTGAGCCATTGCTCGATGAGGCAGCTTGAGGATGACTTTACACCTGTTAGCCATTGCAGTAACAGTAAGATCTCGGTCTTTCTCACTGAATAAGATCATATATCTCATCACCCCGATTCTCAACACTCGAAACACGATCCCTCGATCCCGGTTTCCTGGTCACTCATAAGACAAGTCATTCAGTCAAAGTAATGACTCACGCTCTAGAAGTCCTCCTCCTTCGCTTCACAGTCTCTCGATTCCTGGGTAAATATTCACAAGGCTGATTCAACCTCTCACAAAAAGAGCACACAGGTCGTTCCCCAGTACACCTCGTCTTCTTCCGTCTGTTCCCGGATTAGAAGATACCCTTGTAAATACATCATGCGACTCACCGACAGCTCTCGCACGCACGCCGGACGGATGATTCAGGATTACCTGTCATTATGAAGTCGACAGTGGGGCTGGTGGACAAGCATTCAGAGGAAGTATATGCGATATGTAGTTGGGATGAAGAGGACGAGACACGGATTCTCCGTGCCCACCATTAACATAGGGAAAAAGTGCACGTGACTCAAGTTGGAGAAGTTAACGCATGACTCCGAAATACTGGCTTTTTACATATTAAAAAGAAACCGAATTCCAGAGCTTTTCCCTTCGGCGTATCTCATGATTTGGAGAGTTGATCAAGTGATAGCGTTATTAGTGAGTCGTTGACCGGAGAATTGTCGGTGATAGTTTTCCGTGCCCGTTGGTGAAGAGACGGTGAAACACGATTGGTCAATGCCTCTGGACACGGAGTTTTAGACCAATTTTCCGTCTTAGACATCAACTTATACAAGTCGCTTGTCTACTATAAGACGGGCTGGTTGTTTCTTTCTTTCCATTCTTCAGACCATTACTTGTTTTACTACTAGTATCTATTTTCTTGACTTCAACATGACTTCTAGAACGCCTGCATCAAAGAACGAGCCCATCGTCATCGTGGGCGCTGGTGTCTTTGGCCTTTCAACAGCCCTTGAACTCAAGAAGAGAGGTTATCAACATGTCACAGTGCTCGATCGATATCTACCACCTGTGATAGACGGAAGCAGTGTTGATATTTCACGTGTGATTCGCGTGGAGTATGCTGATCCTTTCTATGGCAAGATGGCGACTGAAGCCCTCGATGGTTGGACCGGTCAATATTCACAGCACTACCACCAGTCGGGCTTTGTGATGCTTACCGATGCTTCTGGAAACTCCTTTGTTGAGCAGAGTAAGGAGTCGAACAAGACTCTTGGTGGAACACTGGAGGAGTATGAGAATGCACACGATATTCGAAAACAATTCCCTGCTGTTCAGTCTCGGCTTGATGGCAAGAAGGCGTACTTCAACAAGACTGGTGGCTGGGCGGATGCAGAGTCTAGTATACGACAATTAGCTACCGAGTGCTCTCTTGCCGGTGTGTCGTTCATCACAGGTGCAAGAGGCAGGGCTTTATCTCTACGCTACAACGACAAGAAAGTCACCGGCGTCAACGTCGCCGAAGGTGACACTATCCCTGCCGCACAAGTCATTATAGCCACTGGCGCGTGGTCAAACAGACTCCTCCCAATCAGCCACGCCTCATCAGGCTCTGGGCAGCCAGTCGGCTTCATCCGCCTCACCCCCGATGAAGCAGAGAGACTCAAAGACATGCCCGTCATCATCAATCTCAGCACAGGAGTTTTTGTCTTCCCACCTACACCAAAGACACATATTCTTAAGATTGCTCGCCACGGCTATGGATGGGCTACCGAAGTTGAAGTGAAAGATCCTCTCGGACAAACTCGAATGGTATCATCTCCCAAACGAGACGGAAATAACGCTACAACCAATTATTTACCTGCAGATGCACTGCAAGCTCTTCGTGAGGGTTTACAAGATCTTGTACCTGAGGTTGCGGATCGGGAGTGGTTGAGAACACGGCTTTGCTGGTACTCTGATACGCCTGAGGGAGACTTTATCGTGGATCACCATCCTGTTCGCGAGGGTCTTTTCCTCGCTACGGGTGGTGCTGGACAGTGAGTTACTCTACAAGATCTAACGTGAGGTTATACTGACGATAACGTAGTGCTTTCAAATTTCTTCCTGTTCTCGGACGGTATGTTGTTGATTGTTTTGAGAATAAGGCTCCCAAGGAGCTTAGGCATAAGTGGAGGCTACGAGCCCCAACTGGGCAGGATATGGTGAAGCAGGGTGATGGTAGTCGAGGTGGTCCTCCTTTGAGGAAGTTGACGAGAGCTGAGCAGGCCAAGCTGTGAAAAGCAAATAGATGTATTCTTTCATATAATATGAGAGATTATTGAGATAGTGTTTTAGCTAAGATACACAATGACTATCTGCTATACAATGGAAGACCACCTCCTCCGAGTTTGTGAGTATCGTGCCATATTTTACGATCTTTGCGCTACGAGGAACAATGCCTCATGCCACAATGGCCATGCAACGTGAAGCAGTGGGCCTACCACGATGAGAAACGACCCCATGGTCTCGGTCTCATATCACATCGTACACGTACAGCATACTATTGTTTTATGCTCTGAGCAAGCATGGAAGAAGAGTCTGAATGCTTGTATACGAAGTACATGTCACGCCTACGTTTACGCATGGCCCCTACGATGGTGTTTTGGTGCTGTATTATGTGGGATATGGAGATATGTGTGACATGTAATATCCCAAAGTTCGGTAACTGGACTCGACCCCGTCACCGTCTGTGTCCGACCGCTCACCACGGTTGTGACTTCTTAGCCAAGAGGAGCACAGGTGAAAGCGTTCTTGACAGTTCCGTGATCATACTGATCGATCTACCAAGAGTTAGTCCATGTTACATAAGACGTTTTGGTGCGTTGACTTACAATATCGACAACAGCTGAGTAGGTTCCGGCAACCAAGAAGACAAGGCCCATGATGAAGATGATGGCATTGACAACGCTTGAAAGAATGTTCTTCTTGCTGTACCACTTCCCTTCCCTCAGAAGCATGAACCACATCACTGCAGGCCAGTACAGGGTGAAGCCCGAGTTCAGCAAACTGGATGTGATGGCAATCAAGTCGCTGAAGAATGGAATAGCCTCTGCGATGACAAAACCAACCCAGGTGAAGATGCTGATGAGAAGAAGCCAAGAGATCCAGCCCTTGGGGGTATTGATATACTTGGCGATCGAATTCTCATAGATGCGACCGTGGATGTAGCGTACGGCGACAGTCGTGTTAATCGAGCCACTGATGAAGATAACCGGTAAGGCGACGCCAAAGGCAACCTTAGCAACGGTATGGCCTGCAGATAGCAGAGCTGGAGACTTGACATCGACACCAACGAAGGAGTAGATGAGAGCGCCGGTGAGGGTATAGATAACAATTTCAATACCGCCGAGTGTCCAAATAGCCTTCATATAGTCGGTAGGCGTATGCATTTCATCCATGAAGCTGAACTGTGAGATGGAGAAGCTGTAGGCGAAGAAGATGTTGCAAAGCGCAATAAAGGCCTGAGCAAATGTGACATCAGGCTTGGGCCAGGCAGACCAATTGGCCGGTTCAGGCGCATCAGAAGCTCGAATACCAGTTGCGATGATAGTGACTCCAATAGCTGCGATGATCGATGCGAAGTCGATATAGCCCAGAATAGCCACCTCTGCAAAACTAGGAGGCACAGCAAGAAGTAGCAGCAGGACAGCAGAAATGACACCCCAGACAAGACTGCAGACGTTGCTCTCAGTCAAAGTAGCAAAGGCGATAGTCCCTGTCAAGCAATGCGACGCTGTGAGGAGCAACAACTGAAGCGTGACCATCACACCAAAAGCCTCAGCACCCCACCGTCCAAACATAAGTCCTCCCGCGGCAGGATAGTGCTCAACATGCGGATACCTAACCTTGACCTGGCCAACAATATACGACGTGTAAATCGCAATGAGGCCAATACCAATTGAGCAGATAACGCCAGCGACCATGCCCAGTGTTGCAAAAGCACCAGGGATGGAGAGGGAGCCGAGCGCGATGGCCTGGACGATGAGAACAATGGTGAGGCGCTTCCAGCCGAGGCGGCTGAACTTTGCCTTTCCGTCGATGATCTTGCGCTTCTCGAATTCGGTCACTTCGCCGACCATTTTCTCGCTGGTGGAATCGTCATCTTGGGCGATGGGGGAGGAGAGGATGTTGTTGTCTTGAGGGCCTTGGGGCTTGTCCTTGTTTTTGCTGGCGGTGGAGGCCGCGGGGGTGATGGAGGAGGTCATTGTTTTTTGATAAGTGTAGCTTAGTCTCCCATTGTCACACAGACTGTTTACGTGGTGAACTCGTTAGAGGTTCGGAGAGGATGAGTTTGAGGGGATGTAAAGGTGTGAGTAAAGAGGGACTCGGCTGTCTTTGTAGGGCCACAGTACATGACTCCCCTTTAGCCCGACGTCGGACGGGACGTGGAGACTCATATTAGCCATCTGGATCCATGTGAGGAGAGGCGAGAATTAAGAAAAAGTTTGTCAGTCCGTGGCATGGCATGTCATACGAAAAGCCAGGACCGGGTCATTCCACGATCCATGATGGAGTAGAAGTGGATCATTCCGTGGTGTTTCTAGAAAGATTAGCAGGTAAACCTTCTTTTAAGCACTTCTAATTGGTTAGAGCAATGGGGCTCAAATAATAGCCGAATCAGCTAACGTCGATAGCTCAACAACTTCAGATTTTTATAAGACTTTTTCTCAGCTCTTGATGCAGTTTTTACTTCAGTTACTCATAAAAAGATGACAATTGCAGAACAATAATTAGCAACTCTCGTCATTCTTACTAAAAAGAAATACTTACTTGGCTGGGGAAGCTTGTAAAGGTCCCTGAAAGAGAGAAAAATGGCTGATCGTCTTTTGTGGATTCTGTTACTCAAACGTCGGTCCATTTTACCTAATCAACCTGGATTCAAGCGGAGGCACCGAGTCAGAAGCTTCAGCCAGATGGGCTGTCGCCCCCTTGAATTTTGATACAGAGAAGACGCGGAGCCGAGCCGAGGGAAAAGAGAGGTGCCGGCGGATGCGGAGGAGATTGAGAAGTTTAAACTTTGTATGGCGAATACTGCGCAAAGTATCGCGACTTATAACTGTGGTGTTGAACACATTGCGTTGGAATACGGGTACAGACGGCACTATTCATCGCAGTTTAAGAGCATTATCGTCCGAAATAGAGCTTTTCACTGACATCTTATTGGACATTACGCCTCAGCTCGGCAAAACATTTACATACCCATATCACAGAGCCACGTTCCGTAGCCGCCGTACGTAATAAGATCCCTTTTCATTTCGCATGCTTCACTTCCCCAAGTTTTCTCCAGATGATCTGCCAACTCAATCAAAATCCCCCACGTTGAGTTCTTTTGCTTGCATGACCCGCTATGCGTAACAGCTCATCTTAATGAGGCAGCTGTTGAAGCTAGACTCCTTCATTACGTACAGGAGATTCCCATGGATAACTGGGGTCTCATACACTTGCGAGGAACTCGGACTGTGTTAAACATTGCCTGCTTCGAGTAAGGCCGTTTTGTGGTGACAGGATAACTACACATGGGTGAGTAGTGATATATGCCCTTGATTTTGTATTCAGTGTCTCGTTATCATAAAAGAAGCCTAAACTTCCTTCAATGCCAATTACTTTCCTCACTTTCTCGCAAGTGACGAACCTCTTTTCGTATCTTCGCAAATCTTCTCACCTGATCTTCAATAACCATGACTCTCGATGAATTAAACCGTGGAAGCTTTCCTAAAAGCTTCGACCTTCATCTGTAGCATGATATCCATTTCCATTCGTGAACCTCTCCTCCTGACTTACCACCGCCTTTGGAAGTCCAAACCCAACACCAAAGAACACAAAGATAGCCCACTTCCATCGGAATGGGTTAATTACTACGCAGAAGAAGAACCACCAGATAAGCTCCAAGTAAGTAAAGAAGTCGAAAGCGCCAGTAGGACTGGTAAGCTTGAGTGTCTTGGTCATATCGATCCAGCGCTGCATCCAGAAGGGACTGGGTCGAGAGAACGGATCCATGAGAAACATGAGAAGGATTCGAGTGTAGATACCAATGTGCCAGTTTCCGACGGTGCCGATGGCGTTGACGTATGTGCAGTTGATAGCTGAGACTGAAGGGTGAGTGGGTGGGAAGGTCTGGAGATACCAGTTTGGCGGTGGGTAGGGTTCCTCGAAGCAATCCTTAGGGAGGAAAGATAGAGAAGGTCTCTTGAAGCCAGTAGCCATGACAATAATATCAGCATCGATGACTTCCTCGTGACCAGGACCACCTTGCGGTACACCCTTGGCACGCCGATTAACTCGAATACCGCTCTCGACAAACTCATCGATATCACAACGAACCCATTCAGCTTTGCCTTCGCGCAGCTTATCCATGACATCAGAGTTAACCATAGGCGTCTCCATGAATAGACCATGGCTCTTATCCGGCGCAATGTCCTCAAGATCTCTGTAGAAGAACTTGCGCAGGAAGAACTCTGGGATAAACGACAAAACTGTCTCTTGGCCAAAGATGTTGAAGCTCAGAAGTGTATCGACGATCATGTTGCGAGGAATAATCCACTTATCTGAGCGCGATAGAATAGTCGCTTTGGCAGCATCTTCTGTAAAGGCGAACTCCAGGGCTTCAACAGCAGAGGCACCTCCGCCAATGATGGCCATCTTTTTACCCTTCACATCTTTTCTAATAACAAGTCAGCGGGCTGGATAGTGAGTTGGGAGACCGAGCGACATACCCAGTGAGTTCGCTAGAGTGGTAAATAGGACCTTTGAAGTTGTCCATGCCAGGGATCTTTGGCATCTTTGGTGCGCCACAAGTTCCTACCGCAGCAATGACACCGCCAAAGCGTCCGAGAGAAGGGTCGTTGACAATCCATCGTCCCTGGTCATCTTGGTAAACGCGATCAATTTTTGTGTTGAAGCGAGTCCTTTCTTTGAGGCCATAGCGTTCCCAAAGTTGTCTAACCTGACTGAGAATTTGCTGACGGTCGGGATACCCACGATTCCATTGAACAGAAGGATGGAATCGATACATCAATGAATGGATCTGAAGTCCAGACGTCTCATTGACTCTCTGCAATTTATTAGCTTCAAGATAATTATAGAGTATCACAGCGTAGTGTAACTTACACTCCAAATACCACCAACATTATCCTTGGACCCGGCTTCGAAAATCACAACATCAAAGCCATGGCCAATACAGTGAGCCGCACTCGTAACGCCCGTAATTCCCGCCCCAATGACCGCAATCTTAGGTCTATTACGCCCAAGCCTCGAGTTTTCGTTCGGTGGCTTGGGCGAGAGGAGTTTGTCCGTGAGCCATTGGAAGATCTGGAAGAGGAAGAGAAAAGGGTGGAAGAGGGGATTGACGAGGCCAGTATTAGAGGCCATTGTAATTGATGAATATAATTACAATTGACAATTGAGGTTGAGGTTCGTATTCTCATAAATATCTCGAGGTGCCTTTCATGTGAAAGCGAAACATGACGTCAACATTTCACATGCTAATTTAGAGACCTCGACAATGACGAATCAATGATTTCAAGGTCAGTTCAGTTCAGGGCGGGAATAGTCTGGTTAGTGTAGTGATGTGATGGCGAACCCACAGACAGTGGCTGAAACAAGAATAAATCACTTCATTCCAACCTCTTCCCGTTGTTTTGTTTACTCCAGGCCTTGTCTATATCAGTCAATCGAATTCAATTCCTTTTCTCTCATAAAGGCATCTTAGCGCAATCGATTTGAAGCTCATCCACATTATCATCCACTCTGCAAGCTACTCACGTTCCTGAATCTGATCAATTGAACGATAATACCAAAATGGAGCATCCAGGTAAGATAATCCTCTGAAAGATAGTTACTGCAGAATGCTCACAAAGTATAGTCAAGGAAATTGGCGGCGTTATCAAGTCGCTCACTCAGGGCAGCCCAGATGTCCAAGAGTCGACTCTGAGAGAATACTTTCTCCCCAATGCCTCGTTCTCGCATCCATACTGCCGTGTTCCTTCTATATCAAAGGGACAAATCCCTTTGGCGGGAGGTCTTGAGTCGATCCAGTTAATACTGGCCATCTATCGATGGTATCGTACTCTGAGTCCACACATTGACCTCAAGGTCGATTCAGCAGGTCAGTTGTCTATTGTTCAATAGTTGATTGCAATTGCTAACTTTGTTCAGCATTTGATCAGAAGAGCGGTCTTCTATATGTCTCCATCCGCCAGACATTCGCGCTCTGGTTCATCCCTCTGTACAAAGCACCGGTGAAGCTTGTATCTGTTCTACAGCTTACACAACTCTCACCCGAGTCATCATCAGAGGATGAAGGACCAATGGATAGCAAGCCGCGTCGACAAAATCCCCGCTATTACATCGCCAGTCAAGAAGATCTTTATCCTGTCAATGACTGTATTCAATTTCTGTGTCCTGGTCTTGGTCCCTTCTTGTGGACCATTTGGCAGCTCTACAGCACTTGGCTGTGCGTGATGGGATCTTTCTTGTTTCTGCCTGTTTACTTTCTGCTCAACGGCACGCCGTCGAAGACGAAGAAAAGAATTCCCAAGTTTTAGCTTGGATTATTGGGCCGGTTTGAGAGAAGGAATTTTGTTTTGGGGGATTTCATGAAATACGCCTTATGACACGACTAATGACAGCGTATTGAGCTATTGTAATGGGTTTGGGATAATGATGTGCACACGGGCGTTTTTGTTTAGGTTATCTTCGTAGATACTCGTGAAGCTCAAGAGCTACTAGAAAGTAATGAAAGCATTTGCTTCCGCGCAAAATCTATGATCCTTTGTACCATGCCGTGATGTGTAACCCATCCGGGAGCAAGCAGCTGTTTGTCACATTTCTCAACGAGAGCCAACACGGGACTCCAAGTTTCTGCAAGCTCACATGCATTTCACATGAAAGCTGTTGGAACTGGCCATGATCCGAGTCTTCCGTAGCACTTCGGTTGCCTGATCAAGCTGTTGCTGCTGTCTCAGACATACCGAGGCTGTTGGTCCTGGATAGAGATATTACCATGGCAATCAAGGCAAACCCAGCTGTCATCAGCTTAACAAGGGAGTGATGACAATAAGAGAGTCTCAGGCGCCCTCCAATGAAGTGCGTGAGAAGATGATGGTATGGTAACGCACAGCACAACCAACAGCCTTGTCTATACATGGGCCAGTCAAAACAATCTGACGGTGCTGCACAAGTGTTGTTGTTGAAAAGTTGAATTGTTACTCGCTATCTTTGACTGATCCTAAGTTCTTCTAAATAGTTCTTCCGTTAAGGTCTAGTTTCTATGCTCATGTACCACATCGGTATCCGCGTACTTGGCCAATGCCAACAGCCTGCTTTCTATCGGGCTCGAACCAGCCGGCGCCTTCTGTTGTTTACACTGTTGAAAAGTGTTTATTACCTCCATGAACGTCTCTCTGATCGGACTCAGCCGACACCATACCATCCTTGGAGTGTTAACATGCTCTGTTGAGCGGCGCGGCGCTTATAAGATAGGAAATCCTTCACTTGGCTAGGGCAGCAGCCTTCTATTACTCTTTTGGGCCGTAGGTGATGACTGTTTCCCTGGTGACTTGAATACCATTGACGCTCTGGCTGCGCTTAGTAGAGAAACTGGCCAAAGCAGGTTTCGGCTTGGCGGCTACTGGAGGTACTTGATCAGCCGAGCTGTCAAGGCTCTCGGTATCCATTGCACCGTCTGACTCGAGAGCGGCATTATGCTCTGGTATCGTGGGACAAAGACGTGCCTCATCTTCTTGAGGGTTCTCGCCACTAAAGTCTCGTCTATCAGGCATCTCGTATGAATCGTTGTCGAGGGTATGACTTTTTCTCTTCTCTTGACTGTGCGAGTTGGACTTCTTTGAGTTCTTCTCCTGCGAATGGAGACGAGGGTGGATGATGAAGGGGATATATCGCACGCAGAATGGCTTAAGCGCGGGGACAGAAACACAGACGAGACTGGTGTTTACCTCGATGAAACTCAAGATAAGCTGTCGTGGAAGAGCCCAGGTGTAGTCAGGTGCGTCCAAGATGGGAAGAGTGATGGTAGCCCTCCTGATTGTCACGACAATGATGACGCCCCCAGTTGCGAAGAGAACAGCAAGTGAGATCTTTTGACGGGTGGGAATCTGAAGAGGCTGAACGATGCGGATCGGAAGAAGAAGAACGAATGTATCGATAACAACACTGCAGATGACGAGGAAGAGGACTAGAACATCCATACCGATACACTTTCCCTCGATGGTGAGGTCCCATCCTGAAGACACAGGCTGGCACCGGAACACAACGAGGCAGATGTAGACGAAAGTGTACGAGCAGACAAGAGCCATCAAGACATGAACCGCTCGACGGACGAATCTATCGGGAGATATTCGAAGATAGAAGGTAAGGACCGATAGTTTGGCGAGACTGATACAGGCGGCGTATGTGAGCGTAGCTCCGATACTGGTCTGCCAGAATTTGGGAACGTATTCGGCCACTGGGATATCCCACATGTGGTTTCCAGCACCAAGATTGAGAACTGTCACTGTTAGATACAATAAGATCTTGGAAAAAGATAATACATACGTGTTAATGAGATGCCGAGAAAGATGAAAGAGAAACAGAGACCAGCTATGCACAGGTCTAACAACTCAGTTAGTTCTGCTTCCAAGAGCGAATGTTGGATAAGGCATACAATCATCGGCACCCAACACACTCTTAACCACATATCTCCTCGTAAAAACTCTCAAAATAACAATAATCGAAGCAATGATCGTCGTCGTAACACCACAAGGAATGACTCCGCTCCCACTGCTCGGGGGATCAACAAGAGTTCTCGTCTGTCCCTCCGGCGGCTCCATGAGAAAACCCGAAGGGCCATGAGCAAGAGGCGCCATTGTATCTCAACACAAAATTTAATAAAGAAGAGGCTTATGTTGAAACTGAGCAGTCACTAGATGAGGAGATGACCGTGCAGAATACAGCCCTTCTCCATGATGATGGGACATGCAGAGGAACTTATATCTTTGAACAAGGAGCTAGGATATGGAAAAGACAGGATGACAAGGTTACTCCACCACTGCTGCAATATAACAGAAAATCTGATATCCTCCCAAGTAATCTCTATTATTTTCGCAAATTTTGTATTCTTCTAGCAAACAAGCCGGGGGATCCCAAGCGGAAATCGTTCGACTGAAAGTGACGACTCAACTCTACTAACAAAGTCGCATAATGGGGCAGAAGGAAAAAGAAAAATAAGCGCAAACTTTTAGAGACGTCTCTTTTTTTTTTACTTTTGCTTATTCTCGCTCTTCATGCGGTTCTCATTCTAGCGCGTCTGATATACCCTGGCTCTCAGGAACCCGGAGTGCCCCCCTCCATCTTTGCAAGACCCGCTCGTGGAGAAAAGAGGGCATTCTCGTAGAGGACCCTTGTCTCTTCTCGCCGTTGAGTATTACCTGTGGTGAAAGAAAAGCCATAAAGAAGTTTATTTAATATTAGTGGTCTCATTGCCCGAGAGCCGTTTGTTGAGGCGTTTGTCGTCTCACCGGTGAAAGTCGCATATGTACTCTGTAGTTCTTTGAACATTGAGGCCTGCAATCACTGTTGCACAGCATAATCGTCGACGTCTATTCTTGGTGTATCTCACGTGAGTACCGGTGTGTTAACCAGGGGCTCAGGTGTGGCAAGGATTATTTTCATGACGCATTATACCCACTGTGTCTATATACCGTTGGGAAGAGGTCGTTGTGGAGGATGTAGGCTATATTCAACCGAGAAGCTTACTCAGAGGATACTAATACATGCCTGCCGACAATGCAGTTTCTTTTTCTCTTGAAGGCGAGTTTCGCTGATCTTATCACTGATTGATATGTTTCTCATGTTTTCGCTCATGTTTCCTCTTTAGTGTTTTACCAATGATCTTGTCGTGATGAACCCCGTGGAGTCGCGAACAAGGAGAGAACATCCGAGCACAGGTACAATGATACAGATTGCTGAAGATACAATGAGACATCATCAAAGTCACGACAATCTTAACATCCGTGCCTCTACGGTAACTAACAACCAACATCAAATTCCGGGACCGATCGGGACGCTTTAAAAAGACAAGACGAAAAGCCTCCGGGTGGCTTGCTCTTCTAGACTCTTTACCAACGATCTCTAGCCCGCGGAAGAGTCTTCTTCACGAGAAATTCTCATCGTCAGTTGACATTTCGTCAGACCACAGATAGGATCCGCAATTTAGAGAAAAAGTGACAGTTGGCGATATTGCTTTTTCGCAAATCCTCTACGGGACCCCTGTTCTGGGGGCTAAGCATTGACACACTTGTCGTTGAATGGGTCTTGGTTCTGATCGCTTGAGATACCGTGCTTGTTTCTTGTTCAAAGTCGGTATCTGTAGAGAGTGCATGCGAGGCATTGAGGTTTTGCGTATCCGTATGCAGGCCTGGAGTTGTTGCCGAGCTATCTCCACTTACATGGGGAAGATTCAGGAACGAGATGCAGCTTACACACAAGTCTTCCTCTCAGCCATCCGTAGATTATTAGACTGAGGTACTTTGCGTTTTCGTCAATATTACAGCTCAATTCTTCAACATGGTGTTGCTTCTCTCGAGGCAGACTCGAGACCCATCGTTCTTCATGGTCCTTGGCAAAGTGAGTTATCACACTCACAACCGGTCCAGTAACAATCTATTGTCAGAACAACAATGACTCCCAAAAAACACAGATTCTTTTTCGAGCGCGGTCCCGCCCGGATATTTCACAGTTCTCTCTCATCTCCAAACGGGTACGCAAGCCGGCAAAAGGCTGAATGAGGAATCAGACCATGGCTTGTGAGAAAAAGCAAACATGGCTATAGTCTACACCTCGGTTAGGTTTACTGTAATGCAGGTACCAACGGTGGCTGACCTGCTTATTCATGTAAATGTCTTAAAATAAAAAATCTGACTCTAAAGAAGGATACAAATATTACTCTGTTCCAACCTTTTCTTCATTCAAGATTCTGATTCTGGTTTACTAAAGAGGTCCACCTCAACTTAATGCTCTGCGCGGGACGAGCGTTGATGAAACAGCGGCCCGTCTACCCCTGCAACCGTTGAGAAAGTGGGAATGACCTTGTAAATCCCACTCTCACTCTCCTCTCATCAACAATAGCAGGTATACGCTATGATGGACCTTTTGTCACCGAGAACTTAACCCGATCTCATATACCCTCCTCTCCCCTAATCAACACGAAACCAGATCCTGCAGCAATGCAAGATCACAACTCAACTGCCGAATTCCCTATTTTGACAAATGCTGACCACCTCTCCCCGTAAGATAACACTACCAGTCACATTTCCACAGAACCCCTGCTTCGCAAGAATATCTTACCCAGGAAACCCTTGCTAAAGTTCCCGTGAATATCACATATCACCTACACTTCCTTCTCTGACCGAGTTCCATGCTGATACTGCGATCTTTGAGATCGGAGGCCCGCAAGATCGCTGGGGTTTGGACGTCTTGATTGGAGTTGGAACGAGGCGAGTCTTGGGTTTGAGTTGCGATTGGGGGTTTCGCGAAGTTTGTTGATATATCATGTTTCAAGCTCGCCACCGAGAACGTGTTCGCAGCTCTTGAAGACAGTTTTTCCGCGATATGTATTACACGAGCAGGAGGCTAGTTTAGCTTCTTTGACGACACGAACGCTTTGTAGCCTTCTTCAGTAACGATCTGACCGTTTGTAACCGATCAGCACGGGAGCTATGGTCCTAGTTGGCAATAGTTCATGGTAATCTAGATCCTGCAGGCCTCACAGGAACTTCTGACAGCTCTGAAACTCAAACTTCGAAATACAATCTCTTGATCTAAACGCCCTTACCGCTAAGGTTAACATTACACCACTGCTAGTATACAGTTCTCGTCATATATCCCGTACCCAACTGAGCACTTTCCACTGGAGTACAACAAAAAGAGGAGCATGGTCATAATGAAGACGCCTCTATTCTTTCTCGAAGCCCCTGGTCTACCAGAATACTCTCCCAAGTACCAGCATATAGTCGTAATGCATCATTCACACGTCATTTACCACCAATCTCTATGTAGTTGTCGCCGGTCGTATAACGTGTCCCGGTTAACGACTCCTCAGTTCCCATAAGCAAAGCTCGTCATCGTCTAAACCTCTTCCGTTCCAACGGCTTCGTAGCCACCGCGCTCTCTACGACCCGTCAACTGCATCAGACCAGGACTCTCGTACATGGCTGTGTAGTCAACTCTCTCGCCACCAAGTACAGCAGCTCCGTTCTCTCTTTGGCCGAAAATGGGCGCGGGATCGCACCAAAAGTCCTTGCAGTTGGCAATGCAGCCTCGGCTGTAGGGGTTCTTCTTCTTGCGCTTGTTCTTGGTAGAAACGGCACCTCTGCCGGTAATGGTCTCGATAAAGGGGTCGACACCAAGGGTACGACTCAAAGACTTGAGCATGCCGCCCTTGTGCTTGTGGTGGTGACCACCAGGGGTTGCTGTCGCGGATAGAGACGGGTGGTTGGGGTCGAGAGGGGCGCCAGTAGATGTGAGAGCGGTAATAGCAGTTCCGTCCCTAACACCAAACATGTTCTCATACGTAGTCATAGCTCGAGCTACCTGGATGAACTGGGTAAACAAAAGCATGGTGACCCAGAGGAGTTGAAGCGTAATCCAAACGGCCAAGATCGCAGTGTACGAATCAGCATTGATGAACTTGCAAAGGTTCGGGCTAAGAACGTTGCAGCTATCCGAAGCGTTGCTGCTGATGGTGTCGAAGTCTACAACATTGTCAGCCTGGGCATAACGTCAGAGTAGGGGATCTTGAACTTACAGTAGTACAGTAAAAAGTCGTATGAGATGATACCAAAAGTCAGCGAGATGAGGTAGAAGAAGAAGTGTCGGTGGTTGTTAATGCCGACACAGTTGTAAACCCAAGGACAATGGTGATCATGCTTGGCGACACATCGTTGACAACGGCGGCAGTGCTTGCTTCGAAGAGGCGTCTGAATCATGCAAGTAACACAAAAGTTGGTCTCGTCGTATTTCCACTGCGACAAAAGTCCGTCGATGACAGCTTTCTGCTCCGCAATTCCGTTCATTTTTGGCACAAAACCCGGGTCGTATCTCATGCTAGCAATGTAGAAGTACGCGGTGAAGCCCAAGAAGATACCGAAGAAGAGGTTGAGAAAGGTATGGCCGTGACCCTCACTCGCGCCAAGTGTTGTGGCAAAGAGGACTGTCGTCAACCAATTCACAGCTGTTAAGAAGAGCGTGGCCGCAAAGATACCGGTGAGCCAAGGAGTCTTGTGAAAGTGTCGCATATCGGGAGGCGCATATTCCAGTACTTGCTGAGCAACCCACTGAACACCGTAAACCACAGCAAATCCAAGGGGAACGCCAATGTAGACAGGCGCACTCGAAACAGCCATAAGCATGGCCCAAACCAGAACAAACGGCCAGATGAACAAGAACCTCGTAACAAAAGCTCTCTTGTCCTTCAAGAAATAGCTAGCACCAGGCCAAGGCGGAACCGCAGGATGACCGTCCTCGTTGAAACCGCATTCTCGAAGCGCTCTGTGCCAGGCGCCCTCCGTATTAAGCTCGTTGGCCGTCACAGCAGGAGTCTTACCCGTCTGTGTCTTTGCGAATCGATCGGCGCCGTATTCGATAAGTTTGAGAATACATCCCGGGCTTCCCTTGACGAGCGCCCAGTGCAGCGCGGTGAAGCCTTGCTCGTCTGTCGCATGAACGCTTGCGCCCCAGCGAAGAAACAGATCAACGCATTGAGGGAATCCCTTGTACGCAGCCCACATGAGCGCAGTGTGGCCGAACGTGTCGATAACGTCGACAGGGATTCCCTGGTGAAGCAGGAGGACAATCAGGAGGACGTTGCCGTTGAAAGTGGAGATGTGAAGCGTGTTGTAGCCTTGAGCGTCGGTGATGAGAGGGTCGGCGCCGTGCTGGAGGAGCAGATTGACGGTATAGTAATGGCATCGCTGAGCGGCCCATTGAAGAGCTGTTGCTACGGATTCTCCGCCCTTTCTGTTAATTTCGGCGCCGTGTTCGATCAAGAATTTGCACATCGCATATTGATTGTTAATCGCAGCCCACTGTACGCAGTGTCAGCTGAAATCCTTCATCATCCCAACAATCGTCGCATCGTTTGTAACTCACATGTAAGGGCGTAATACCCTCATCGTCATGGTAGGTCGCATCGTACTCTCCCGACTCGAAAAGCTTCTCCATGGCTGGTACGTCTCCTATCCTAGCGATCTGCATGATATCCTCCTCCTGAGCCTGCGAATCTCCCGGTAGACTGCCCATCTCGACTTCGTTATTCAGCTTTGGCGTAGCGGCATTCGATTTACCCGTCATCTGGATGGGCGCGGTTTGGCCGGAGGTGGAACTGGTACTGATGCTCCCCATGGCAGGCTGGCTTGTAGCGCGGGGAGGAACAATTCGGTTGGACGCGATACTAGGTAAGACGAAAGATGATTGAGAAAGTCGACTATTCGTACATAAACATTATCTATCAGGCTTGTACACACGAGATAAGAAAAGAGAAGCAGTGAAGGATGGAGGAAGGGGAAAAAGTGAATGGGCTTGGCTGAGTCTTGGCTGAATTTTGGAAGGCAGCGCGTGGAGTAGGCCTACGTATTATGAAGCCGTGATGCCGAGAGGCTGAGCTCAGACCCTCCCCTATGGGGAAAGCCGCCCGCAAGAAAAGTTCAGGGCTGAGAAGTGAAGTTGGTTCTTTTTATCCTTATTTTTAGAGTATTATTACCATTTAGTTAGTGAGTACAGAGCATAATAGTGATCTACTCTAAATTCAAGTCCAATATCCAAACACTATAATATCATAAGGTCTACTAAAGTTAGGTAAAGTACTCAATTGACTTCACTTCTCCTCTTCTCTCGCGGGGAGAGCGCAAGTTTGGGGCTCCCCTAGGCTCTGCACTAGGGAACCGGCACTGCCATTGCCTTTAATTAACAGGGTCTTTTTGTGGCTGATTACGTCCCATTTCCCCCTTATCCCCTTTCTGTTCAGTGGGATTTCGACTTCTTCGCTCATTGGACACAACGTATTTCCTGTCGTTCGTGGCTGTGACTGAGGCTGATGACCGATGTGGGGATGCAGGTCTAGGAGCTTCCAGTGGGCTGGCCAGATATCGCTTCGCACAGCTTTGTCAAACTAACAGCCAACTGTCTGAATAGCGTCATTCAACTCGCGCATTCGACGTGAACGAGGCTGTGGTGAACCCGCGAAGAAGTCTGGACTGCCCTCTGCTCTACTGTACCATCGACAGCTACCGCGACGACTCAGGCGCCAATTGGTGCCGCACATCTCCCACCATGGCCAACTTCATCGCAACAGTCGAGGCTATCATGACACCCTCGCTCGCCACAATCATTATTGGAGCAATTATCATCATCGGTGCTCCTATAATTCTTCACCTGATCCTCTCCTCATCAAGGACATACACCGTTGCCCCCAGCGTCCTCCTTCTCGGTCCCGCCAACGCTGGCAAGACGTCACTTCTCACACTCTTTGAGCGCGGCGCTTCTGGTACCGAGACGCATACCTCCCAGGTGTCGCACGATGTCGAGCTCAACGCCTCTACCGACTCTGAAAACAAGCACTCGTACCGTAACCACGACACCCATGATGGTACATATACCAAGTTCTTGCTTGTCGATACTCCTGGTCATGGAAAGCTGCGAAACGTGCCGATGGGCAAGCTGGACCGTACTGAAAAACTGAAGGCTGTTGTCTTTTTGGTGGATGCCGCTGCTATTGGCGAACCCGAGGTTCTTGCGCCCACCGCTGCGTACCTCTACGACGTGCTGCTCTTCCTGCAGAAGCGCGCTGCCAACGCCAAGGCCAAGGTTGCGATCCCTATTCTCATCGCCGCCAACAAGATGGACCTCTTCACCGCCCTGCCATCGACACTTGTCAAGTCCAACCTGGAAGCCGAGCTGACGAGAATTCGTGCTTCGCGAAGCAAGGGACTGCTGGACTCAGGCGTCGGATCTGACGACATTGGCTCAGAGGAGCAGGATTCTTGGCTGGGCGAGTACGGTTCCTCCAAGTTCACCTTCAGCCAGCTCCAAGAGTTCGACATCGATGTTGATGTTCTCCCTGGAAACGTCACTGGCGATGGTCCTGGTGCAGACAAGTGGTGGTGGTGGATCGCTCAGCGAATATAAACATCGACGATCAATACATCACAAAGGGGGGAGAAATGGGATGACACAAGTATATTAATGACATTTTTTAATTTACGCAGCTGATTCCCATCGCAAATGCCATGTAGATGTTGAGTCTACCGCCCAAAATTCAGTCTATCAAAAAAATCCCATCTTTTTCTCTAAGGTATCCTGGAACGCCAGACGTGAATGTCGTTGAAAACATGAGTACTCGTTCCCCCCTCCTCTCGCGAGGTTTCTCCCATCTACAGCTTCTTGTTGATCATCCATGTAAGGAGATCAACCTTTGTAACAATAGCAATAGGCTTGGACAGAGACTTGGAGTCGTCAGTCTTCTCGGTGACGACGGCTGCACTGTTCCACTCAAAGAACTTGCTGAGTGTGGTGAGGGGTGTGTCCTTTGTGATCTCGACGAATTGTCTACGCTTGCCGGGGTTGATGGGGGAAGCGAATTCGCGAGGATCAGTGACGATCTCGTCGAGGCGCGCAAAGTCGAACATGACGTCTGATACGGGGCTCTGGGCGGTGGCGCGGCCGCGGGAGATGTAGCTTAGGAGGTTACCAAGTGTGACGAGACCGACGAGCTTGTTGCCGTTGGCGGAAAGGACGGGGAGTTGATCGAAGCCCTTGTCGCGCATGGTCTCGATGGCCTCGGAGCAGGAAGAGTTAGCACCGACGGATGTGACGGGCTTGAGGCGGAGAGAAGCGATGGTGGCGCCCTCGTAAGGGTCGGAGGTCTTCTTCTGGCTGTTTCCGTTGACAGTGGATTCAACACCATTGACGGGGAGGAGGTCGTTGGCGGCGAGCCAGTCGTCATCAGCGAACTTGGAGAGGTAGCTTCGGATGCTGTCAGGCAGGACAACAACTACAACATCGCCCTTCTTAAAGTTGTACTCCTTGACAGCGAGGAGCATGGCAGCCATGGCAGAACCGGAACTGCCACCAACCAGGATACCCTCCTCGGCAATAAGTCGTCGAGCAAGGTGGAAAGACTGTCGGTCATCGGTCTTGTACCACTTATCAACGATCTGCTGGTCGAGCACATCGGGAATAAAATCATATCCAATACCCTCCACCTTATAAGACTCATTGGCATGCTCCTCGTTCAAAAGCTCAGGCAGAGCAAGGATACTGCCGTGGGGATCCGCAGCAATGACCTTGATGTCCTGGTTGTGCTTCTTAAGACCACGAGCAAGACCAGTGATGGTACCACCAGTACCGGCACCAGCGACAATAGCGTTGATCTTGCCGCCAGTCTGCTCCCAGATCTCCTCAGCGGTGCCGAACTCGTGGGCGAGAGGGTTGTTCTCGTTGCTGTACTGGTCGAGAATATGGGCGTTGGGAAGCTCCTTCTCGAGACGGCGGGCAACACCAATGTGAGACTCGGGGGCATCCCAAGCAGCTTGTGTAGGAGTACGGATGATGGTGGCGCCGAGGGCACGGAGGACGGAGACCTTTTCGGCGGACATCTTCTCGGGGAGTGTGATGATAGTCTTGTAGCCCTTGATAGCTCCGACGAGAGCAAGACCGATACCACTGTTACTGTCAGCTGAGATCCGAGAGCTTCGAATCTGGTGATCTTACGTGTTTCCACTGGTAGGCTCGATAAGAGTGTCACCAGGCTTAATTCTTCCACTCTTCTCAGCCTCTTCAATCATGCGTAGAGCAATTCTATCCTTAACACTGCCTCCAGCACTGAACAGTTCTGGCTTGACGTAGACATCGCACTCGATGCCCAGCGACTGGGGGATCTTGTTAAGTCTGACAAGAGGAGTATTTCCGATGAGCTCCGTCGCCGAGTGGACAGTAGCAGCGCGAGGCGGAACGTGAGGGACCTGAGAAGCCATTTTGAATAATTATGTATTTTAGATTAGAGAAGAATAAAGAGAGGAAAGGAAAAAAGAGTTTCTCATACGAGAACCGACGACTTAAGCACGCCACGGGACACATACATTGTTAGCTAATGGTAAAGGTGGCGGGGCTGGTATGACAGAAACTTTAGATGTGCCCCGCCAATGCCGAGTGTATCCTCTTAAACCCGTTCTAGAACACGGGCTAGAAGGTTGAGAGGGCGGAATGCGGTAGGCGGTGAAGGTGTCAGGAGATCGTGCTCGGTTTTGGGAGAACCGAAAGCCGTTGGGTTACCCGGGAGCATCGGCATCATGAAGTTTTGGGTGAAGTTAAGCTACGCATTAAGCTTAAATGCAGTCCAAGCCAAAAACCATTTCTTGTTATTACAACTATTGAGGCCTCTAGATAGATATGCTAGACATTTAACTGCAGAAGGAGGTTGACTTGTTTCTTGTCTTTGCCCTTTGTGCTTCAAAGATCCATTCTCACTTCCTCAATTCATCAGAATACAAGCACATCAGCTTTCCATGTATGACACCATAAGCTGGCCGTCAGTTTTTACCGATTCATGTCATGATGCTGAGTAAACTTGCTGAACTAATTGACCCATCTCATTGATAAGACACCATCATCCTCGGCCATTCACCCCAGCTCTCCATACCAGTCTAGCTAAAAGGAAGCATACCTATTCACCCTCTTCAAAAGTCCTCAAACCTTTTACAATAGTTCCTCCGCCACTTGCTCGAACCTATCATTACCCTCCCGGACCTGGCTTCCACCCCGCACCTCCTTGTAGATCTTATCTCTGCCATGCTTGTTTATCGTTGGCGCCACGACATGGGTCGTGAGCACCAGTCGATGCCAAGACTTTGTATTGTTGCGACCTGCCATTTTCGCATCGTCTACCGATAGGTTCAACCGTCTGATCAGTTTCTGGATGGGGTAAAATGTGAGCTTCGCTAGACTGTGTTGCATCGAGGTTGTGTAGCTGTAGCTATACGGATGACAGCTGTATTGGTATAAAAAGGAAGGGTCTGTCCCATTGTTGGGGGACCCTCAGGTTACATTCTCGTCTTCTAGAGGCATTGTTACTCGATTGACAATTTTCACCATGAAGTTACTTAATGCTTTGCTCTGCGGAGCTCTCCTATTCTCTGAGGTGTCGGCTACCAAGAAGCTGACTCCCAGTCAAGTTGAGGGTGACATTAAAAAGTCAAAGTATGTCAAAACTCATCTCAATTGACAAAACACCACTAACATCAACAGGCTTCGCAAGACTCTTGAGGACCTCAACTCAATCGCCAAGAAGAACGGCGGCAACCGAGCCTTTGGCTTCCCCGGCTACAAGGCTTCCGTCGACTACATCTCCAAGCAGCTCAAGGGTCAATACGGAAAGCATCTCAACACTTACATCCAGCCCTTCAACTACACCTTCGAGCAGACCAAGGATATTTGGGTCCGAGGACCTGATGGTGAGGATGTCTATGTCATCACTCTCATCTACAACGTCGGCACACCTACCCCCGATGGTGTGACTGCTCCTCTTGTTCTCGTGCCAATTGACGATGAGCGCGGATCTGGATGCTTTGCTGACCAATGGGAGGGTGTTGATGCCAAGGATAAACTCGCCCTCGTGAAGCGCGGCTCATGTGCGATCTCAGATAAGCTCAAGCTCGCAAAGAAGGCCGGTGCCCGTGGTGTTCTCCTCGTCAACAACCAACCTGGCGAGGGTATCACCAGTGCGACTCTCAGTGCTGAGAACCTTGAGCTCATCGTACCTGTTGGCGTGATTCCTCTTGAAGTTGGAACTGCCTGGAGAACGCGCATTGAGGGTGGCGAGAAGCTCGAGGTCACTTTGCTGGTGGACTCGTTCTACGAGACTCGTGAGACCTGGAACATTATCGCGGAGACTAAGCAGGGTGACCCTAACAATGTTGTCATGATGGGTGCTCATCTTGACAGTGTTCAAGCTGGTCCCGGTATCAATGATGATGGCAGTGGAACTGCCGGTATTCTTGAGATTGCCAAGTCCTTTACCAAGTACACTGGTTACAAGAACAAGGTCCGCTTTGCTTGGTGGGGTGCTGAAGAGTGAGTGACACAATCCACGTCTCTCTGCTGTTGACTGATTTGTGATACAGGAGCGGCCTTGCTGGGTCTTACTACTATGGCGAACAGCTCACCGAGGAGGAAGCTGACAGAATCCGATTCTACTTCAACTACGACATGATCGGTTCTCCTAAGCCCAAGTACTGGGTCCAGGCTAGCAAGCCCGCCGACCGAGTTGGAGGAGATATCCTGGCTGCTTGGCTCCGTAAGAAGGGCAAGACCGTTGAGTGGGAGTAAGTAAAACATTCACTACTCACAACAAAGATGCTTACAGCTTATAGGGAGTTTGGTGAATCTTCTGACTACGCTGCCTTCGTCGAACTCGGCATCCCCTCCTCCGGAATCTTTACCGGCGCTGATGCTGAGACCGATCCATGCTACCACTTGGAATGCGACACCATCAACAACATCCACTGGGGAGCTCTGACTCTCAACACCAAGACTGCTGGCCGTGCTGCTGCCCAGTTCGCTCTTAGCCTGAAGGGCGTTCCTCCACGAGACAAGACCTCTGCTAACCCCAAGAGCAAGAGGGCTGTTGCTGCGCGCTTCGAGCAGTGGCAGAAGAAGAAGACTCTTGCTAGCAATGCGCATAAGTGTAACCATAAGACAAAGGTTGTTGTCTAAGCATGGCAAGAATGCGTTGGCGGATAGGAATGAGACGAGAGATGATGAGATTATGATGATGATGAATTAGTGTATATATTATATGAATGTGTTTGACTATGCGATATTCATTATGTTTTATTAAATGTCGTGGATAATAGATGAAAATGCTCGCTCGCTCGATTGCTGATCATAAATGCCTCCCGTCTGACGCCTTGACTGAACAATAGTCTCGTTCCCCATCACCGCCCATTTCATTCGTCGTGCCCTTCATTTCACATTTCTCATAACTCATTCATCCCGTAACTGTTTTGCTGGCAGACATGACAGCCTATCGCCAATATGTCCTCGGTGGATTCTCTCCCTTTCTTGGGTTAGGAATAGGAATCGCCCTATAAGTCGGAAACTTCGGTCCACCCGGAATCTGCTCCCTCTGTACAACCGGCGATGGAAACTGAACAGGAACAGGTCTAGCAACAGGAATAGGCACAGGCCTCGTCCAGCCCTCATACGGCATCCTCTCAGACCAACCATCTGAAGAGTCCGCATAACTACTTCGATAACTCCTCCGCTTCTTGGGTTGCTTCGGTCTTCGGCAGCAACATACCACAACAAAAGCGAGTACAAAAACTCCAACGATGGATCCGATTATTGCTCCGATTTGTGCACTGCTCAGCCCATCGCCGCTGTGTTGAGACGTCACGACGGGACGGTCCGTGGCTGGAGCCGAAGCTACACCTAGCGTGACTTGCGTGGTGTAAGTGGTCGTGGGGAGGTAAACAGTCTGCGTTATAACCTGCACCTCTTGGCGGGCATTTATGTGGGGAACTCCCATATTGAAGAATAAAAGGCAAAAGTGAAGTTATTCACAACAGAAAGTGCAAAAAAGAAAAAAAGAAAAATCGGGGGCCATGACACCCTTTTTGAAACATCTGTCCCGTCCCACAAGAGGCAACCATCATGAGCATCTGCTGATACACTTTTGTTTCACTGTACCAACAGCCCTATAGACCAACGGCCCCCAACTTCTTTTTTATCTGCAGAGGAAACTGGTTAGGACGCGGGCTTCGATGTAACTGTATCTAGGTCAGTTGGTCGATGGTTGACCAATGGCGGGTGAGGTTTGGGATGAGGGGGTGTGTTGATGCAGGCTGGGCTAGGCTGCCATAGCTGATAAAGATGACTGCAGCGAGATTTTTGCTTGCGTTTTTGTGTTGGTCCTTGGGATTTTGGTTCGCATTTTGGTTCCGGCAGGCAAGGTGGCTTTTGTGACTGTTCGGACAAGATGTATGTCATGGTGGTTTGAGACTAGCTCCAAGAAAGATGCAGCATTATTTGCTGGCTACAGATATGGTTTCATGCACGTTACTTGTATAGGTAAGGACTTATTCCACTTGGTTATGATGTGTTGATTTCATGCTGCCACTCCGATGCATGCTATGACCTCGCAATGCTCTCCGTATTAGTGATCATATCTACCGGGAATATTACCACCGAAGTACACCCATGATGATGTCCTGGATTATTATTCGAGGGCTCTATCAGGTAAGCTGCATCAATCTTGTTTTATAGCAATAACAGCTTGAAGTGAACTGTGCTCTTCTGCGCCCATCACGCCATATGTTAAGTAAGATCTCTCTTCTCGCACTTCAACATCTTGTATCGACGTATTTTGAGGAGGGAACAAAGATCAGGGGATCAGATTAGCGAGTTCGATGACTTGTATTTTATGATAGGCTACAGATGACAGGACATGGGCCACAAGGTTGCATGCAACATCTCAGTCGAGCGTCCCGTCCTTGATCTGCATCAAGCTGGGCCCAAGCAGAGTCCGTTCATGTCTTCCTTGACAGAGTGATAATGTTGCGGTTACACGCTGGCCTTCCACGTATCTCATAAAGGCGCGCCTCGACGATGTCCACATCCCAGCCATTGACATGCAGCTCAGCTGGCCACTCAGCCTCCTTCGGATAGATATATTCACTCCGAAAGTAATCCAAATCCTCTGGATTACAATAATCTTCTGGATCATCAGCATCGAAATACGGAACATCATCAAGATCTGGATTGTACTGACCAAACTCATGCCAATCATCGTATCTCTCCATCCGAATCTCGCGGAGATTAGGCATACCGTCGAGAAGCAGTTTGTAAACTTCCTGTTTATACAGCTCACGTTCAAACTCGACCCAATCCTCTAGCTCGTAAACTTTACCACAATGCAGATAAAGAGTTTCAATTGATTCCGGTAGAACATCACTCAATCGCAAGAACGACTCACTCTCTCCGATTAGCGCTTCTTTGCTGAGTTTGAGGTGTCGCAGGGATTTGAGCTCTCGGAGGGAACCAATTAACCCTGAAATGGGGCTTCGACATAGATAGTCTGCGCTATAGCTGTCATAAAAGAAAGTGTTGAAATCGACCTCTTCGAGATTTTGACCAAATTTTCGAAGAACGTTCCCGAAGTCATCGAGGTTGATGATGCAATCAGCGTTTTCACTGTCTTCCGTTTCGTATTGATCCAGCAGCTTCCTGTACTCGTCAGGCAACCTTATCGCTATTCCCGTTAGGTTCGGACAGCGCGTGAGAACTGTCAGTAGCCCCTCGGCGTCAATGTATGTTTCCATGAGGTCTAAATACTCCAGGTTGTAGTTCTTGTGTGTAGGCCATTTAAAGTGAGAGAGCTCCGTGCCATACCAGGCGGTGCCGAATGTCCGTAGTATTTTGAGCGAACGATTGAAAAGTAGATCTTCGATCACCCAAGCGCTCTGGATGTCCTTTTCGCCGACCACCGCCCTGATACGAACGTCGGTAAGGTTTGGAAAGCAGTAGTTTGCAAATGTAGCCTCCGAAATACCCTGGTCTTGGTCTTGGTCTTCAATGCCCCCATCCTCATCTTCGTAGTCGAAAAAAATACTTCGAGGATCAATAGGACATACTGGCCTTCTCATATCCGTCCTTGTACTCAACAGCCAATAGAACGGGACTGCCAGGCCTTCTGTAGTGCAATCGACAACCTGCACAAGAGGCATATATGCTATGATGAGAGCAGCAAAGCCACAAGACATATGATGATTTTCCTTCATGTAACGTTTTAGGGCAGGTGGAAGGCTCAAACTCTTCCACGCTGACTGAATGATCTCTTTCCTTGCAGCTTCCCCCAATACGTCCATTTTGGCTGAATGATCAGCATTGTCTGTTAAAGAAACAGTGCGAACTTGCTCTCCAAGATGCGGGTCCTCGACGAATGTTCTAAGAAGAAGAGTCTCGACAGTTCTTGCGCCATCGCGACCTTCAGTAATAACGGTCTGATATAGTAAAGGTTGTGCGATGTGTCGGAATTGGCGACAGACCAGGCAGAGGTTGCGGAGCGTGGCTGAGCCTTGATGGTCCAAACGAGCTCCATACATATGCCATCTTTCTAGAGGCAGTCGATCCTCTAGTTCGGCAAATATTTGATGCAAGACCTCGTTTGGAAACGCTACCATGGTGAGGATCAGGGATGGTGAGTGTTGATATTCAGTCTTGTCGTCATCACGGGTTATGGAAAGGAGAGGACTGAAGACCGTCGCGATTCCTCCGTCTGAGCGTGAGTTAAGGCAGTCACCGGACTAAAGTCAATGCATTTCGGCCTGTGCCAAAAACCCAAAAATGTAATTCTCCAACTGTACATCAGGGCCCAAGGCAACAGGGCTTATAATTCGTTCAACGCGACTCCTGTAAAGTAGTGATACCCGAAAACCATAGAGATTGCCGGAATGCTGAGACAATGACCGAAGCATTCTTACCTAGCCCCCAACAAAGCCAGTAAAGCTCATTCTTGAGAATTTGTGTAGAAGACGTTGTCAAAATCGCTTGTCAGTTGGTATCTGACTACTTTGGTCATCTAGTCATTTTCCCACTCTCTCAACTTCCCGCAAACGCAATGTACAGAAAACAACAGACAAGGCGCTAAGAGATTAACATAATACATAATTGAAAGAAGGTGCCCCATTGTCTAACTCTCAACCTCAGAGTCCTCGGGGGGTTCCGCATCAAACCCATAAAGAAGCTCGTACGCACCATCACATTCACACTTGAACAGCTCATAGACGAAATCTTTCACCTCTTCCCGTACAAAAGCCTCAATGTCCATCTTATCTCTGAGTTCATGACCTAACATGTAGCATCTAACAATAAGTTGCCAGCAATGTTCAAGGTAGCGGCCCAGTTCATCCGTACATTGAGGATGCAGTGGTTTTCCAGGTACTGGCAGTCTTCCTCGAGGGATGTAATCAGCGTGTTCGAGGATACAGTCGGACAATTCGACTGGAAGGCCTTGCTGACAGAGGATCCAGCGGACGTGTTTTATATCTGATGGGAGAGGTTGGAAGCCCATAGGCTTTTCGAAGTTGAGGAAGTCTTCGTAGGACATGAGACCATATGGATAGAACTCGAGCTTATAGAAGCGATTTCTGATCTCTTCAGGATCTTCCTCTTCAGACTCATCACTGGACTCACCACTGGATTCGGCACTGGATTCATCGCTTGAATCATCACTAGATTCGGCTTCAGAATCGTCATCAGACTCTTCGCCCGACTTGATGCCAGGTTTCCCGCTAGATATGGTAATCGGTTCATAATCAGAGTCGTCGAAATAGGTCAAACCCTTCTGATATCTTTCAAAACCAAATTGATCGAACCTCATAACGTGTTTCCAACGGGAGACATCAAGGGGTCGAGGAAAACACCTGAACTGGTTTTTCCTGATACCAAGAAAGTCCCTATGTGGGTATGTCGCGATATCGCTTTTATATCCAGATTCTGTACACCATCGGGCTGCTTGCTGGTATGCCCTCAACTTGCGATAATCGTCAACAGGGGATCCGTTCTCATCCCATGTTTGGGGAAAGTAGCGTAGAAGGTTGAGTATCATGTACATCTTGATTCCATTTCCACATATTCTTCTCCATCCGAGAGTCGCTGATGTGCACTGGCATTCTTGATGCTCCCACCATTTCGCTAGATGAGAACCTTCGTATGCGCATGAACGAAGTATTGGGTCCATCTCTCCGTGGAGTATTAAAGTCTTAACAACTTCGACATTGCGGAATGATTCGAGGTTGTATGTATCAAACTCGTAACAGTCGTTGGGGATTTGCTGTCGCTGGAACGCAGACATCTTGCGTTCTCTGAAGGGCAAGACGCATCCGCACTTATCAGACTCGTCTATATGAGGGCATAATTTTCCAGCAGTTGGTTGTTTGAAGACATCGAGGTCGTCATCATCATCTGGCCAATATTCCTCAGGATGCCACCGCCAGACTGTTGATTCAATTTTGGTTGCCGCTTCATCTGAAATGATTACTTCATTCTCGTCGGGGACGTCGTATTTCTCTGGATACTGCTTGCGTTGTTGAGCTGCATCTTCAGCGAGACTCTGCATAAAGATTTGAACAAAGTTGGCGAGTTTTGTTTTGCTGTCTGGTTGTATACGGGCGTGAAGGTTGTACGCGCCATGTTGACAAGGATTGGTACGTCTCAGCTCAAATACCGAGGCGAGAGCCTCCCAAGGTGGCTTTTCTGCATGATGTGCCATGTTGAACTTGTGGATATAATCGTTGAGAGTTATGCTGGTTGGTGACATGGATATGTGGTGTTTTATAAAGTAGCCTGCCTTGGCTGAGTCACTTCACCGAACCAATTGCAACTGTGCCGCGTGAGCACTGCAAGATAGAGTCAGCTTGACTATGAACACGATGTAGCAGGCAGTGAGAGAATGAATTTCTCGTATTGCATAATAAGAGTTGAAGCTTAATATTTATTGACTCATATACTTGTATTTGAGTCATGACATTGCGCCTCGCGTCAGATCTTATCACTTTACCTATTCTGTTTGTATCATCTGCAGGTGCTTAATCCAAGGTTATTATTGCTGCTTTAATTATACCTTTGCTCTCTGTCTTGGTAGAATCCGTGTATGAACGGCTGTCCGCATTCTTCTGCCCTGCAGTCCTTTAGTTCCAGATATCTTAACTGGGACAAGATGATCATAAATTTCCCTCGGGATCAAGCTCATCCAGTTATAGTCATAGACAAGCAAAATAATCTTGACTTTTGTTCGCGATCTCTTGTGTGATCCCTTGTTGCTCAGCTCTTTTAGCATCTCGTTGAGTTGGTAGATCAAGCTGACTTGGCCAGATCCTTTCGGACCAGGACTCACTGTTGCAAGATCAACGATGATATAAATCTGCCCTCCCAAGTCTTGAATGATTAACTTGAAGAATGTGAGCCAATCTTGACTAGTTTTGGCCTCCTCGAGTTGCGAATGTCGTAACGACATTTGCTTTTCTGTCGTAACTGTTCCCTCAACTTGCAACGCTTGATACGTCAGATATCTCACCAAATCCGCTGGACTTAGCATTGCATTGGGGCTCGTCTTGTTTGCACTACCCAAAACCCAAAGCGCTGGTATGCTCATCATGGTAACTGCTTGAATGATATCTATTGCGAAATCCTGGATCGCCCAGCGGGTCGTGAAGCTGCCTCTGATGATGGTGAGGGAAGAATGTGGACAAGAGGACCATCTGGCGAGTTTTGGAGACAACCAGAACTCATTGGTGGATATTGCTGCTCCTCTACCCGACGCCCGTCGATTGCGAAGGAATAGGTGGTGTTTATACAAGGACTTGGGATCTTCAAGGCTCTGAGAGAAGGTTGCCAATGCTTGGGATAACTGCAGAGAGGAGAGCTTTTGGTTGGTATCCAGTTGCGCACTTGTCTGAATAGAGTGAAAAGCTGGATACACGTCAGCAAAAAGACCTTGAACTCATTTTGGAATGTCACATACTCTCTATCTTTGTTAACAAGTCGTTAATTGTCAACCCAGAAGCCTCGAGCCACTGCATGATCAAGTCGAGCTTCCTGCCATGGTCTCGACTAGAAATCTCCAATCTCGAAATAGCGCAATTGAGGCCATCTATTTGTGCTTGCCTAGTCTTCTCACTGGTCTGCAAACTTAAGATGATTTCGTTGAGCTTCGATGACTGGGTGTTATGCATAACTCGAAGCTCAGTCTGTGACCCCACGGTCGCAAGTTCGTTGATGTTGTCCGTGCAAGTGCCTATCCTCTGTAAGAGATCGCTGTATCGCAACTCGTGTGGTCTTGTGAAGCTGTGGTAAACATGTTTGAATTTTGACTCATTGCACCATGAGTGAGCTATTAGTAAAAACTCCATGATGCAAGAGTAGAGGCTTTCGATGGCTAGCTTCATGTTCTTGGTCGGATACAGGGCGGATAGATGTTCGATGCGTGGAAGACGCTGGGCCACCTCATAAAGTGATTTCGACAGTAATTTGAGTGTCTCGCCATGATTGACCACGCTCTAGTATAGGATGGTGAGATATCGGGGTTCAGCACGAAGACTAAGCCAACTTACGATAAACATCACCTTCATCAGTCCCCAGGCCAAGGAGACGTATTCAGGATGATGCTGAACAAAGACATCGAGTACTTGACCATAATGGCATATTGATTCAGAAGCTTTTTGCAGCCATTTCCGTGTTTTAGAGGCTTCGCTCTTAGCTTCGTACTTTGCGAAAGCATCGCTGACTGCCTTTTCAACGTCTTGTAACGACGACTTCTTCCCCAAAAGAGCCTTCTCGTCACCGCTCAACGAGTTGCTCTGTTCAAAGTGTTTCTTAACCGACTTGAAGGCCTCTTGCGCTATACCCGCTTTATCTGACGGAGTAAGCTTGTATGAAGTGTTTCATTGGCCAGTGATTGCTTACTCGCATCATCGCCCTTATACCATGACTGAAAGACGAGGTCGACGGACATCACGATAGAGGATGTTGAATGAGTGCTGATAAGACTATTCTTTCTCGGAAGCTATTCGACTTGAGTCTCAGAGGCCAACAACGGAAGAAGAGAGGAGGCGCTGAAGGCTGAGCAATCACGAGGCATAATCAAGATGACACCCTGCAGCTTCATGCATACACCCTTGTCAGGCGCTTTTGCGGCTGAGCTTCAACTCCTCAGCCTGATTCATTCTCACCTCAACACCTCCTCATTTCATCTCATAATCAGTTTATCTCCAAAAACCTAACAAATCATGGACTCACCAACAAGAAGCGTATCGCCTGGCCCAAAGAACAGGAAGGATAAGGATGATGATAAGGATGATAGTGAAGAAGAAGACATCCATAAGCAGCTTAGCCGACTTCTGAGAAGAGAGGGTAATCTGTTCGCGAGACCCTCAATGTTGGCGATACCTCGGAGACCTCGACCGGCCCCTTCAAACGCTCGGACAAGGAATCCTCCACAAAAGGCCCCAAAAGGAAGAATACCTCCACCGCCTCCCCCCATGGTCCTTCCCAGAACTCCCCGCAATCAAGTGCAGGTGGTGCCACCTCCTCCACCTCCTCCCATTGATCGTTCTCCTATTCCACTGAGTGATTACACAGAACATTATGAACGTGAACGGGTCAACCTTAATCCTCCACCTCCACCGCCTCCTCAGGACTATCAAAACTTACCCCCAGCACCTGCACGGTCACCTTTGCCACCTGTTGTCAAGCCCGCTCAGACACATTACACCATCTCTGAAGACGCTATAGGAGCTAGTAACAGAGATAAGCTTGCAGCAATAGATAATGGACCTATTATGCCAAATGGACCCAATGCCGGTATCAACGGCTTCAACAACAACTTCGCACTACCCACTCCCCCAGCTCCCATACCATATCACTTCAGAGCGTCTGGATCGACTCGAGGCTATCGAATCCCAACCTTTACCAAGGCCAACAAAGATCAAACAGAAGCACAGGCAAAGCTTTCAGAGCCAAACGACACTGGACTTCAGCATGAAAGTGAGCCATCAAATGTGGGAGAGACAACCGAGGCTCATGGACTTTCTCAAATACAGGAGGAGGGATCTCATGACTCTACCGAGGTTGTTGGAGAGGATATTACTTCCCACCAGATTCTCGTCGATGAGAACACATTGCAGGCATTAATCCAACGTGTTGAGGAGTTGGAAGAAGAAAATGCCACCCTTCGAGAAGACGCGGACAACGCCTCCACTGTTCCCATGGAATTGCCTGCCAAAGTTCAGCTCTTCTATTGCCTAGAAAGAATCGAGCTCGATGACGACAGTGTCGACGAAAGAAGTCGGACAGTTTATCTTTCTCCTCCTGAATGGGTAGTATTTGGCGATGATGTCGACCTCAGGGGCCGATTCCCAATCACAGACCCCGGTGACTACGCTGAAGAACAAGGCGCATCACTCATTGTTTACAAGTATTACTCGGTGGACTACCAATACGACGCGGTAAATGCAGCCAAGAGAGCAAAGCAACCGCTTCCCGAACCAGAACCAGCCAGCCAGGATGTCGTTTTAGTGACGGAAGAAATGGTTGAGGCAGTTGAAGCCTTATTCGACCTCTTCCCCTCATTCAGCGACGACTTTCCGTATGTCTACGAGATGGGCAGTTTGAAAGACCCTCATCTCTGGTGGTATCACTGCCGAACTAGCTTCAAGATGGAAGCCTTGTCAGAGAGACACGCCCAATTAGTTGGACTTCTCGTTGAATGGATCGAAAGTAACTTCGCACCGCTTTACGATCAGATCGACGATCAATTCAAGAGAGGAAAAGTCTCAAGTGATTCCATTGAGTTCTTGATACGGCCAGGAGATACGCTCGTCGCAGACAAGAATGGCAGATATAGTGGGCGCGTTGCTACCACTCGACCGGCCCCTCACAAACAGAAGAAGAAAACGGATGATTCAGATAAGGACCAAGATAAACAGGGCACACACACGTGGATTGTGGAAACACGTTCTTACGGATATGCAGGAAAGTTCTTTGCAGTTGATAAAGAGCTGTTCATCGACTTTCCACCCAAATACAGAGGTGGGGAGATCAACATCACGGATCTCAACGTTATACCATTGTCATATGCAAAGCCGAAGGTAAAAGAAATACTTAGGCAGCGAGGCAAGAGGTTTTGGAAGTTGCGCGAGAAAACTCTCATCTCATATGAAGGCAGTGATTCTGATAGGATACAAGCGGTAAGTAGGCCTCACTCAGGCTGGCGCATTGTACTGAAACCCAGTAGGGACAACGTTTTATGGTGGACTTTGATACCTATAAGGAACTCCATCCAGGAAGCAGTTACATGAGACAAGAAGGTTATATATCAGGCCGAAAACCCAACTTGCCCAAGGATGGAAGCGAGCCTGAGGAGCCAGAGATTTACTTGTTCCCGAAATTGATTCCGGGGTTTGACTTGCGGCGTAAGAAATGGGGTAAGTAACTTTCCTAGAACAATTCCTTGAACCTGATATACTCATTGAAACGCAGTTGATCTCGAGGTCGATCGAATTCGAGACGTCAGTTGGAACAAGGAGGCTTTCAAAAGTCTCGTAGCAGACGAAGCTATGAAGGAGCTTGTGCTAGCTCTAGTGACTAACCAACTCGACGCCGAGAAAAACACAGATCTTATCGAAAGCAAAGGAAGTGGTCTCATCATGCTCCTACACGGGTCGCCAGGAACAGGCAAGACATTTACAGCCGAGTCCGTGGCCGAAATAGCCA